ATTCAGATTGATAGCTCTCAGAGCGCCATTGTTTATTTATACACTTACACAATGTCTGCTGTTATTCTGCAGAAGGTTAGATTTATTACTTAAGAAACTTCTCATTAATTAAAGGTATTTACAGGTATTACTGATCATTTGTCTTGTCTTGAGGTGTTGAGTACATATTATTATAATTAACCAGAAGGTTAAATATTTGCACATTTCAAAAAGTATTCAGTAATTTTTAAGTAAACATTATAAGGTGTTGGTCAGATCTTTATTGAAATGATCTCCCCAGAATTAAATCAACTGAGTGCATTTCATCCTCTTGAAGATAAGAAAAATCATTTTTGATTACTTTTGGTTAAAATCGCAAAAATTAGACTCTTTTACATACTTTAGGGAACTAATATCTAAATGAACACTGGTTTGCTTACATATATGAACTGAATTAGAATGAACATGAAAAAGTCGAAAATCTCCATTGATCTTAACATACAGATTATTGGGAAAGGTCACGACCACTTTGATGATGTATGGCTTGCACTGATGAACTTGCTAAAAGAAAAAGTTAAGGAGATAATTTACTTCCATAAAGAACATTTGACATTATGATTGCCGTCTTACTAGTTGAAGAAGTTGGAATAGGTTAAGGGTCTCTTCATATTATGGCTTACAGTTGCTTAAATTAACCTCAAATACTTGTCTTTTATGAGAAAATCATTGCAGTAACTATATCATGGTAATCTATGTTTATCCTCAGAGCAACCTGTAATTAGTAAACCTTATTGACCAATAAAAAACCACAGATTGGACTAGAAACTTTAATTAGTCCATTTGGGAATTTCATTTTGATAAGATGCATCCTATGCCACCATGCTTAATCTTTTCCTTTGGTTCACAACCTTCTCCTTGTGAGGGATGCATACACGTTTTTGATGATAGACACACACTAGACGAGGCTTCATCCATTCATATGCTTTAATTTCCATTGATTTTGATCCATCTTGCAAAAGTTAGGAAAACTTGAATACTTTTATTGAGAATATTTTAATTTGTTGCAAGATGTTAACACATGTTTACCATAGTCAATCTGAGGAACTTATGCTTAGTAGTTCATGATTGCTAGGGTTAAATGACGGCACACTTGTTAAGAGGGGGCACTTGATAAAAAACATTAGGATCCCTTCTGAAATATTAATTAAATTAATCCACCCATCTCAAAATATCACATTGAGGTTCTCTATCCATTCATAAGTATCTTATTACATATGTTGGTTATATCATATACAATATTGAATTAGATTCATCGGAAAGTGGATTGTTTTCAGGTAAATGTCAGTAACCGTTAATGTTATCCCCCTGTGATTTTGTGTGAGGATATGGTACTTGACTGTATTAGCACTCAGATCAACATCATCTTGTTTGCCAACTTGTCATAAATATAATACTGATTATTAACCCTGAGCTTATCAGCCAGTTCGCAACCCTCTAACTAGGATTCATCATTTTACTGGCTGAGCAACAAACCAGCTCTTGATTGCCTCAGAGATTTATTGCTCTTGTGTAGAGTAGGAGTCAGAATCAATCTCTTACAAAGAGTACCAATCATGTGAGATGTTGTATTGCAGTATTGCATATTGCATATTGGGCCCATAGAAGATATGTTTTTCATATCAAATATCAGTTGAATATGCCCTGTTTTTAGTGAATGCTTTTTGTACTTCTGTACGCATTTAACCTTTTCTGTTTGTTTCACAGTTCTAATTTATTTGTTACAGAAGCCCTGTACCTGGCCTGAATTATGTACAAATATATGTGCCAAGTAGGCCCACTTGTTTCTTCTGACATTGCCCAGCCACTGGTTACATGGTATGCCCTACAGTCATTCTAGTCATTTGATACATATTTTCTATAGACTATTTACATAACAGTCTTTGATGTTCCTCCACTTGCAGTTATGCTTCTTTTCAAGATTATATTCAATTCAATTCCTGGATTCTGCACATCCATAAACATTGGATTTGGTTTCAGATCTGAAGATAGTATAATTGTTTTAAGAAGGCTGAGTATATAGGGCTAGTGGCATATATGTATGTTGGTTGGAGAGAGGGCTTCTAGGTAGGTGAACTGGCTAGACACTTACCTATACTATTGCAGCAAGGTTACCCACCTTACATCAAAACATTACACCACTCAAAACATAATATTTGTATCTGCATCTCCTGTAGACTATAGGTACAGCCTACATTCAAACCTGCCAGACTGAATGCCATTTTAGAATTCTCCCTTTCGCGGTTCGCTCTTTGAATCAGAACGTTCGCAAATATGCACTGAAAAAGCACTCAAAAAGGACAAAATTTGATTGGTTTATATTTTCTCATTATGCATTTCGCGTAGCTATTTGCGTGACCCGAAAGTTCTAATTCAAACTAATTACGCAATTTTGTTTTTACACCCGCACGCTAAATAAAACAATGACAACATCGAAAGTATTCTTCTTTGTCATTGCTTTAATAGTCTGTATACCGAGTTTAATCAATAAAACATTGTACAATGGACAACAAAATTCGGAAACGAGTACTATAGATTGGCTTTCGGACCACTGAACAGAGTGACCTAGATAATAGCGACGCTTCTTCTTAGGTCTACTGCTCAGTTATTTGTTGGTTTTCAACGTAACTCTATGATGTAATTTGATGATGAATACTTTTATTCCGTTGTTGCATCGATGATGCAGTTTGTAGTGCAGTAAGATTGGCATGAAAGTATTGAAAGTCGAATGGAATTGTTTTTTCCAATATGGCGACTAGTCAACTGATCATGTGACCTTCTCTTCCGGAATATTTTCTCACTTTTCAATCATCGTTTTCACCACACTATGAATCAATACAATGAAAAAAAATAGCTGTTATATTAAGATTAATAAAAGATCAATCGTTTCTAATAATTTTTTCTGTACCCCCGTACGGGAATATGAACGAATATATCGTTTGAAAAATAGGTGTTTAAATCCCCATGTTAAACCTATGAGGGAAAACAAGGAAGTATAAATTTGTTCCTCCGCGAACTGCATCATGGGAAATATTTTGACCTTATAAGGAAAGATTTTCGCGTCTCCTCTTTTGAAGAGGCAACAGCGATTTCGAGAATTACTAGTGCCACCACAGTGAATGTCTTTCTGTTGTCAATTATCAAACTTGCCATAGTAGTACCTTGGTCACAATTGCTCAGATTCATCGGCCGGCGCCTGGCTGGTTGAGTATATTGTTCAAATTTGTATTCAGGTTTGAACAAAATACTCAATCAGTTTGGCTCCGGCCGATGAATCAGAGCAAATGTGACCTAGGAATTAGGGACAGTAATATGATGGAGTCCGATTTGGATTACCTCTGTTTCATTAGCATTGATTGATTTCAAAAAGAGTGTACACTGTACATTGATTTGAAAAATCATTGTGAGTTCAATTTTACATGTGCACACTCCTAACACAGATTTTAGTCACTTTTAAACCTAATATATCATAAACATGTATACCTTTCAGCTTATACAGCATGTAATATGGCTTTTGTATCAGCATTTTAACCAGCACTGTGACTTTTATCTACAGAATACATGGATCAGTAGGAATAGATTGAACTTTGAAGCTCAAAGACAAGTGTGATACATATTTTAACATTTTAGTATATAGGTATAGACTTTTTATCAAACATGGGGAAGTATGAGAACATTTTTCAAAAAGAATATGAACAAGATTTATCATGCTTGAATGATGATGATACAGTCATTTGAGCAACAATGGAAGACAGTGTGATTATCTGAACTTCCAAAATCATAAGGCAAACAAAATTTCAAGTGAGAGAAAACAATTTTAGCCAGGTATCACAAAGGGGGTAGTCCACATCAAAAAATGGTATTGAAAAACTGGCGGTTATTGTGACTACCATCCACTATAGTGCTAAGATATAGGAGGAATTGCATGGTTGGATGCTGGCTGGTGAAACATCACAATTAGCTTGTTCATTGCTCCTGACTTCTCTCTGATAATGTCTGTTCAGACTTAGGCTAGAATGAAATATAGGAGACAACTGAACTGATCCAGTTCTGTGTGGCCAGATATATATTTATATGTACAAATGTGATGGAATCTTTTAAGTTCAACATTAATGAAACATGTCCCCTATTCTGATACTTGCTTTCCATTGACCAAAATCAGCCTCATTAATTAGCCACCATAATGAAACTCAGCAAAAGCTACCACTTCCATTGAGATGCCATCAGTTCCTTTCTAGAAACAAATTTCAAAACTGAAAGCCTTGGTTTATTTGAAATAGTTCTTGGTGGTTAAATTTCACTTGCACTAGGATGTGAGTGTACATACTGATGCTGGATTGTCTGAAAATTTAAAGTTTACCAGTAAAACATGTCAAAGGTACATGATAATAGACAGGTTCATAAGGATAATCCCTATATTATTATTCTTATATTCAGGATTTATCTGCAGTTGCATATTTATATTTCAAGGATATCTTGACGGGGATTTGATTTCAGGGTAATCTATATTCCAGTATTATTCTTGATACTTTGATTCTTAGATCTCTGAAATGATGGCTCAGTGCAATATTAGGCGTGCGGCTATATCATTTTGAACATGTACATGTATGGTGCTGCCTTGATCTCTGTCTAATTCCTATAAATAATTTTATTCTTGCTAAATCAGTCTAAAAGGAGTTTGTATTTGCCACCTGATAATACATGATCATATTTTGCTAAATGTGTTCCAAAGCTTAGGGTTGATGATATTTTGTTGTTTCAGCATGTCCAGAAACACTTAACATTCTTATAATTATTATACAGTTATAATTAGTACACTGTATTGTTATAAATGCATATTTCTTTTGGTTTATGTGCTCATGTTGTATTTATTTCTATGCAATATTTTACAAAACAAATGCAAAATTATTTGGTAAGGTGTGACATTTTACAATGTTTAGTTTGTATGCTGTTGTGTTTGACAGATGGCTGTTTCCGCAGGGCAATCACGCAGCCCCCACCCTCTACCACCCCAATCCCAGATTTGGAAAATCACAAAGTTGAATGTGAACCATTGGAGGTGACTGGCCAGGGGTGCCTAAATGGGGGTACCTGCTTTGTTGTAAAAATAGGAGACAATCGCGTCACAAATTGCGCGTAAGTATCTATTGAATACTGCATGAGGAGATATGGTCATGTTCATAATTCAATCCATGTTTGTTCAATGTTTATCCTCCATGCAAACTTCAAGTGAAAATTAGGATAATACAATGAATGGATGACATGGGTTCAGTTGTGAAAGTCACCCAATCTCTTAATTTGTGTGATTGTTGATTTGAAGTTTGTGTCTCCTTGTTTAGTTGCAGACAATACAGAGCGTTGCGTTGATTTAGAGCGAACATTCTGTTTAAATAATGGAACTTGCCACGCGGTCCTAATAGAATATACACGTTTGATAACGTGTCAGTAAGTAAAACATTCCCAGCATGCACTTCATTGATGTAGTCAGATTGTGTTGTCATGGTGACGAGAATTTAAGTATTACCAAATAAGTTTTACATTTTGATACTGGATGAATGAAGGCATTGGCCCAAAGCCTTCATATAATAGATAATAGAAAAAAGTATTGATTTATTATCAATATGCAAAGTTGAAAAATCTGACCATATGGAATAAAGTGTATCTTGCGGGTAAAATAAAGTACCAACTCACAGTAGACTAGACAACAAGCAGATAAGGTCATCTCAAATCAAATGGAAACACACAATATAAATGGGAGGTTCTGTGCAAAAAGGTGCCAAATCACCTAACATTGGTTTGAGATGATTATTATTTGATGTTCCCTGAGCTGTGAGATTCTGGGTTCGCTTTTGAAAAGGGCCATTGGTTCATCAGAAGCAGACTTGAGAGACACTGGTATCATAGTATTTGGTTATGTAGGGGCTAGCATGTTACGTGTTATTCTGTACCAAATCATTTCTTGTTTTAAAGACATTTTGCATAAAATGCTGCCACCCAAAAGCCCTGAACAAACCTGCCAATACTGTGAAACCAGTGTTTGGTACAAACTAAACCAACAGCGGTGTGTTCTATACTCTAATCTATAAACATTTCAGTATAAATGTTCCAAATTCAGTTTTAACTTCAAGTTGCTTTTTTCTATTCTATGCTATATTTTTTTTGTTTTAGCTGTTATTATGTCACTATCATGTTGAATCTGTTAGACTGGCTAATGTTGGGATATCCACATTTACAAATGAAACAATGTATATTTGACATGATGGGGACATAAATGATGTGTTACCTATCTTTGTTACCATGGCAATTTTGTATTATTGACGTCACACATCTGTGAGTAAGTAGAACTTGGGAGACATAAAACATGAAAATATAAGGTTGCCTTGGTAATAAAAGGTAACCAAGGTAAATTGGCAATATTGGCTTCTACTCGTATAGGCCTGTTACCTTTCCTTTATTCTAATGCTGTTGCTTAGAATCTGTTTTAGAAATTGCTATAACTTCCAAAAATGCTTGTTTGCCTTCAAATTCTTAATTCAAAAATTCATTTTGAGGAATTGTTTAGATCTTTCAAAACATAAGAGATGAGATCTTAATTTTGCTTGATGCTTCTCAGTTAGAGGTATTGGAGTATTATTTTAGAACTAGTTGTAGTTTTGCTTTGTTTGTATATGCTTCATAATAGAGATGATTTGATGCAAGTTCATTGCTCTTTTTAGTGGTATGTTTCAAATATGTTAAACTTATTTTTATGTCTTCTGACAAAATATTTTTGTATAAAATGCAGATATTCTGAAAAAAAAGATAGTTTAATTTTTTCATATGATGGTATCAATGTTTTTCAAATTACATGTAGTGTTAATAAAATTTCATTTCATATCTGTCTTAATTTCATTAAAAAGTACAATGAAAGACAAAATGCATTCTATCTGCTACAGAAATTCATTCACACAACATTATCTTTCCTCTATATACATATATGGTGTAATCATATATGGTGTAATCATATATGGTGTAATCATATATGGTGTAATCATATATGGTGTAATCAGTTACCTGAAGAAGAAAAGTGAAACCGGTAGTGACTGAATTACTTCTGTTATTTTCTGTTTTTATAATCACTTTATATATATGGTATATATATATACCATATATATTAGCATTTATCATAATAAGAATTTAATATGATAAATGAAGTTCATAATTGGGAGTTTGTATTACATCTAAATTGTTTTTTTAGTTCTTCTGGTTTGTCTGTCATATATGAATCATTACAAAGACAATTCAGTGATTTGGGGTACTGCACCATCAATTTGGAATTCATTACCTATTGAAATAACATCATCTGGAAGTATTTTTATTATGAAAAAAGAATTGAAAAAATATTTTATCAATCAATAATATCAATTTCAGATAACCATAGTGGGCATTATATGACACATTCTTAGTCAGACATAGATAGTAGCATTCATCACACAAGCAGATCCCCAATCTGTACATTTCATGATTATAAACACGGGAATATACACGAGAAGTGTCACCCGTTTACTGTACATTTGATGTTGAAATATATATGAATAAATAAATAAATAAAAAAAAAATATATATATATGACCTTAGATTTTACATTGCCCATTGTATTGCAAAAGACCTCAAACACTTTGAGATTTTGTGTTCTTTTTGCAATTATCTTTAAAATCATTTGGTCATACACTGCATCATAAATCATAGAATCTCTGTCTTTATCTATAAAGTAATGCTTAAAGAGCTTTGCATTCTGGGATGGATGGGAGGGCCTCTTTTGTGTAATAACAAGGGTACACTGCTGTTAGGTTGCATGCTGGGAAAGTTCTCATGTGCTATTATCTCACTCAGTTCATACTTTAGAAAAATTGTTTCTTTTGATATATTCCTGGAATGTTATACTTTGTCTGTAAAAATCAATTATGGAATAGCAGGCTGAATTGATGCATTTAGTCATCAAATTATAATATTATAATTACTTACATTCAGATTTTTTATTTAGTCCTTTGTATTTATATTTTCAGGTGTACAGAAGATTATACAGGTGAAAGATGCCAAGAACGGCACATTCCTCCCGATCTCCGTAAGTATATTTTTGACAAGACCCATTGGATCTATCTTTGAACTAAGACATGGTATAATATAGGGATAACAGCAAATCTACTATCTTTTACATCATTTGGCGAATTACTCTTATTATAGTCGCTTTTGTGTTTTGTGTCATTTCTCTCTAGCCACCTAATTCTAAGTTCAACCTATTTTGAGGAAGAGCTCATGTTATTCAAACCACTCTTACTACCTTATTAAGTGAACACCTGAGTGTGTGAAGATGATTTGGAGCTTGGAGCACAGAGTCCTCCCAAGTTTCTCCAGTTGCTATCATGTTACATCAAAAATAAAAGATTCCAAAGTGGTTAGATGCTATCTGGATTTTATCACTTATGAAACAATTACGAGCAATTAACACCAAATGCCTACTTAGCAGATTAATATCAACATTTTGCCAAGTACTGTTGTATGTTTTGATTTAAAAACCCCCACATCCGGTGTCTGATTTACGAAATATCACAGAAGTTTGAGGGGAATTATGATCGTTCTATATTGATCAGATAAACAAAACTTTTAAATTGACAAAAGTTAGATTTGGACTACATTTACATAATATGAGCTCTAGATTTTTTATTTAAAATGTAGTTTTTGAGAAAAACTGCAAAGTTTTTATATAAGGGTGCACTTCTGTTAGCAATTTATTGACTTGTGGTCATATATAAATTACTCAAATATTTGTGGACAGATACCAGATGCTGGGCCAAAAATACAAAATTTCACAAATACTTGTTGAGATAATACCTTGCAAGCCCAGGATGCTCCCTCTTGAGATCCGCTGTTTTTGGTCCACCCTATCCATTACAAAAAATTCACCATGGTTATAGAACCTACATATTCTCTTTACAAAATTTGAAATAAATGTTTGAGTTACTTGATTTTAGCCTGAGATTTGATCAAACTTTGAACTGCATTTCAACCAATATTCTTCAATTCTTCTATCTACTCGTATAAGATCTGATCGTGATTTCTTATCATGTTATTATGAGAGGGATTCTCACTGATGTAACCTTTGAGTAACAGCTTGGATGATTAGTAAATATTTCCTCAAGAGACAGGAAGCGAAGATTTCTTTACTCAGCTGCATGTCCAAAACATTTCATATTTTACATTCTTATGAGATTTCAAATTAGATGTTTGTATCATATTTCTGAATTAGATAGCCATGAACTTAGCTTTCAATGATATTCCATGTTTCTGTATGTAAACCATATAATAATAGTTACCATATTTGATTTGAAAGTTATAGTTATCCTGTAATCCTTATTGAGTTGGTGATAGGCCATCATAAAAGAAATTTACACAATTTTAATTTTCCCTTTTCTTTAGGTCAAAAAAGACAGAGACGTCTTATGTTGTTAAAAAATTTTCCCTACACAGGTGATGCCTTATGTAGCGATTACCATACATGTAAGTCGGGGGACAACCTATAGAGGGCACTGTCTAGCTCAGGGTTAAATCCCACGTTATCACAGGCCCCTCAACTGCAATTGATTATTTTTGTTTGCAGTTTTCGTTACCTGTGCATGCATGACGATTGTGTGACTGCAGTTGCTATAGAAACCAGTAACTATGCTTCTAGAGTAATTTATATTTATAGCTGCAAAAATCAAATTGAAGTAATGATTGATGTAAATGAAGGTATGGAATTGATTCAGCGCTATATGTAGTCTGCTCTAGAAGCAAGGTTGAATTGTTTAATTTTATGTTTTGTCTGTTTTTCTGTCATGTGAGTCACACGTAGCAGTATATATATATACTCTTAGATAACATTTACACAGTTCACAGAACGACATCTAGTAGCATAATGTCTTAATATTATATAAGTTATTCAGTAGAGTGTTCTGTTCATTGTAAGTGTTCTAATGGAAATCCACCTTGATACACCTTCAAATCAAACAGAAGATATATTTGTTACATTGTTGATGTTGACTTTGAACATGGTCTCTTGTGAAAGTGTAGACATTGATCGTATCAAGGGGGGTCAATGTGGACTTTTTTCATTGTTATTATTTTGATTAAATTGTTTGACTAACAGAGAGGTTCATGAATGACAAAAGTAAGCATTAGATATCTCATGCACTACTGATGCCCTCTATTTAAAAAGCAACAAACTAATATTTATTTCATTAGAAGACTATCCGATGATATTTCAATTTTTTTGATAAAAATTCTCTTGATAAGACTATATAATTGCTATTTATACAAGACTAATTGCATTTTGCATTATCCATTAACATATGTAGATATGATGAAAATGCATTACTAATACCTCCCTGGAATGACTCCCATAATGCACCACTGCATCTTGATTCAGACGATAAATACTGATATATTGTAAAAGATTGAAACAACTTTTAAGTCATTGTGTAATTCTATCTATAAAGCACTGCGAATGGCACTAATATTTATATATAAATACATATAATGCTTTGTGAGATTTCCAGACAATTTTGCGTAAATCTGATGAGTGATTGAATGCTATGTTTTTGTGAGAAAATGCTAATATTTATATAACTGAAGTATTGCAAGTACTGTAGATATCTAAGATACTGATAATCAGGAATTCTGCCACCTCTCTGGCTGTCAACAATGATCATTCCCAACAATAGATGTCATCTTGGTTATGTGTTTTCAAGTGCTATGAGATATTGACTCATTCTTGAGCTGCCACGATCATACGTGATCTAAATAGAAGTATATAGGGCAAATGCTCACATCACAGTTAATCTTTTATGTTGCGCTATGGAATATTCTGTTCCAGTTGCTCGTCTACTTTTGGGTTATAAATTACTTTTCACAATTGAAGAACAGAAATATTTCTGTCAAATAAGATCATCAAGCCAAACTTTCTAACCCATTCCATTCATGAAACCCTGTATTTTCATGGAGTATATAGTACTTCATAAATATTCACAAAATCCCTCCTCTATCCTTTTGGAAGGCATGGCCAAAATGACATCTATCTTAGGGTTTATATAACAATATATACATGTACCCTCAATTTTATTTCTTTGCCGTTTCAGGAAATCTAAATTTTGACAATATGTTTTTGTTATTTCAGTGCCAAGATTGCACAGAGACAAGATGAAGACTGCGAACATTGCCGCAGGAGTCGTAGTTGCAGTATTAGTTGTATTTGTCGTACTTTTAGCAATATATGTATATATCAGGTAAGTAAAAACAAACAAACAATTGTATGTGGTTCATCTTTTTTTGTTTAATGTTACCATGGAGCTAAAAAGATTGTAGTAATTTACCATCCTCTCGCTTGGATATGGAACTCTGAATTTGAGATTTAGCTATTTATGAAGGAGTAAAATTCTGTAACCCCATTAGATATCTGAATTCAGATCAACCTAATATAATTGGGCAAGGCTACATATGGAATGTCTTATTCAAATAGTGTATATGATACTCTCTTTTAAGAAAGAAAATTAAAACAAATTATTGAAAATGGTACTTTTGGCCACATATAATTCAAGCCAAAATAACTTATTTTACAGTAACTGATAATACATTTTAAAATAGATCCAGACTTCATCAAGATGGTCATTAATAAAATGAAAGAAAAAATAATCTTCACCAAACATGTTTATGCTCAATTTATCTAACAGAATTAATCTACTAATTGCTCACTGTTCACTTTCACATGTTTGGCCTTCATTTGTCTTCCAGTAGATAGTAACTCCCATGTGAGATACTTCATTGAACTGCAAATTGTAGATTTACACTACAAATTCAGATCTATACCACACAGGTGTTATTTTCTATCAATGAGGGTTACTTTTATTCAAAATACAAATGTATACAAAAACTTAAACATCTCGCTAAATGATAGTCTTGTGAATGTCTGAAGATTTTTATCTGTAATTGAAAATTCTACCAAATTATTGTTCTCTAACATGAAATGAATTCTTTTCAGGTGGCGACGAAAAAGAGAACTAACTCGAGATCGGGAGTTTAATGCATCACCAGAAGAGCTTGGTTATAGGCAACCTTTTAATCGTAGGTCTTCAATCATAGAGAGTGAACATAGGGCATCATTTAGACGACAAGGGGTATGTCAAACATTGACCAATCAGAAGCCTTCCACAAACACAATCCAGCAGCTAATTTATTATTTGTGCATGTGACTAATTCTTAGAATTCTCAATATGTTTAACAGTCTTTGTACACTGATATTCTTTCGGAAAATGACTTCTAATATACTTCTATCTACTTTTATAATTGCTTTTCTGGGAATATATTTCAGTACCTCACCTTTTACCTAAAATTTCACAAGCAATAATATTTTAATCATTTTAACTTCTGTTTAGTAAAATTGAAATACTAATCCTGCATTGAGTAACAGTTACTGTAAAATGATCAAAACTCTAATCCCGCATTGAGTGCCACCCAATTGTAGAATAATCGAAACACTAACCACTTACCCTGCATTGAATAACCAGTTGTAAAATGACCAAAACTATTAATCCTACATTGAGTACCCATTTGTATGTGACCAAAATTCTAATCCTGGATTGAGTACCCAGTCATAAAATAATCAAAACACTAACCCTGCATTGAGTTCCCAGTTGTAAAATAGTTGAAACACTAACCCTGCAATGAGTACCCAGTTATAATATAATCAAAACGTTAACCCTGCATTGAGTTCCCAGTTGTAAAATAGTTGAAACACTAACCCTGCAATGAGTACCCAGTTGTAATATAATCAAAACATTAACCCTGCATTGAGTTCCCGGTTGTAAAATAATCAAAACACTAACCCTGCATTGAGTTCCCGGTTGTAATATAATCAAAACACTAACCCTGCATTGAGTACCCAGTTGTAATATAATCAAAACATTAACCCTGCATTGAGTTCCTGGATGTAAGATAATCAAAACACTAACCCTGCAATGAGTACCCAGTTATAATATAATCAAAACGTTAACCCTGCATTGAATACCCAGTTGTAAAATAGTTGAAACACTAACCCTGCAATGAGCACCCAGTTGTAATATAATCAAAACACTAACCCTGCAATGAGTACCCAGTTGTAATATAATCAAAACATTAACCCTGCATTGAGTTCCTGGATGTAAGATAATCAAAACACTAACCCTGCATTTGGTGACCTGTTGTAGAAAGATTAATACACTAACCCTAACCTAACAACCCTGTCTTGTTTTTGTGGAACGCTTCTGAAGGTCATGCTGCATGAGCATGGGAATGTTGATATTTCAAGCCAATATACTAAACATCAAGATTATGATGTATTCTATGTTACATTATCAACCATTACATATATCCTGTTATGTACAATACATGTATGTGTACAGTCTGCATGCCTTGTGATGCCCAATCAATCCTCATATGTATGATTTTAAGAAACTAGAATAAAATCTCTATATTTCTTACTTAAAGAGTAAATTAAATGATTCCTTGGGATGACTTTTCAACTCATGATTATAAAATTATACAAAGGCCAATCCAGAAGCTCTGATAAAAATTCTGTATCTTTGGTCATTTTAGTATGTACAAAACTAGTAGTATTGTATATGTATATTTTGATAACACATGAATGAAGCATTTCGTTAACATTATGTGTCTCTCTTCCAGACACCGAACCCGAGTCCTAACACAAACACAAATGATGTGAATATTAATATTAATAAAGACTGCCATTCACCTCAGGCCTGTTCTGAGGCCCCAACAGGTTCAGACACAACAGTGGGAGGTGGTCATAATCTAACGGTAGCTACCATAGAGCCTGGGGGAGGTGCGAGAAATACACATGCTATCCCGTCCCACACACAACCAACAAATAACATAGAGAAATCTGAACATTTGGAGACAAATCTTTAGCAGTAGTATAACATAACAGTGTAAGCCAAGTACATAAGATTCTTGGAGACGAGGATTTAGTGCCAACTGTCCATCATGATTCGGATGAATCCTGTGTCATGGAGCACTTCTTAATAAAAGCTGGACAAAGACTCCAAAGATTTTATGTGGAGGTTTGAAATTGTTTACAAGTTTATAATCTATGTATATTTTGGCTAGATTTTGTACAAGATGTGTATATTATATTTGTAAGTTTTTAAATAGATATTGAAGTAATACGGTTTTATATAGACTTTAATATTGTTAATTGTTTGGAAATGCCTATGAGTAAAAAGTCTTAGATTGTAAATAAATAACAGCCTTTATATTAGGATCTTCAGACCAAGTGCAATGGATGTCATCTAATTCCATCTTGGCGTCAGCTAATAAATAAATGGTGTTAGATAGTGATAGATAAAATGAACCTAATGGAGAACCTTATTCCTATAGCTTTTATTTGAAATGGATAGTAAGAATTTAAGAACTAAAAATGAAAGAAAACTGAAGTATAATCTAAAATTAACAAGATATTAATCGTGTCTCTATATTTACATATTGATATGAATGTTTTAATATGGATTCTAAAAAGCTTAATTTGGTATGATCTGAAAAAAAAATTTATTTAAGAAATATTGGTTGTTGAATTTTACTTGTGACATAAACGATGAAGGACCATGTCGAATCATATTTAGAAGTGTAGTACATTTATACTACAAGTGATCATATTTGCGAACACTTCTATGAAGTGTATATTAAAACCATTTACAACTATTACTAAATTGTGTTACAACTTCACACAATTATTGCATGTTTGAATGATAATGTATTTCAAGTTGAAATCAATGTAGAAAGGGTCCTTAGATTTAAAGGGCATTACATAATATACCAAACAGTATAACAATTTAACAAAGGATATATTTTCCGCTTCTTTTATTTATTATTTATCACACACATTCATGAGTTCATTCAGTTCTATACCATGCAATGCTAGTATAAAAAAAAATACTGAATATCCAGTAATTTTTGTGAAAAAGTTCTAGACTATTGATTTTTGTTTGTTTAAAAATTGTGAAGCACAAATATTATTAAGTTCAACAATGTATGTTCTATAGATGTACCAAATATCAAGAAATAATTCCTCAAAATGACAATGTTTTTGACTGACCCATGTATTTACCTCTGCAAATTTTAATTTTACGTAGTTAACGAATACACATTGAGCTTGGAGTAGTAACATTTATTTGAAATATGATTTGTGATCCCCCCTTCACATTGAGTCAGCTGATGAGAAACTGAAAATAGTCTTTGTTATTGAAAAATTCTGGTATTATGAACAAGTTCAGACAGTTTCATAGGTAAATGGGAATGTTGCCCCATTTGAATAAAATAGATCTAGTATGTGCATATACCCTGATAAGGTTATTTCTCCTAGGCTATTTGTTATGATACATCATTCGTTCATATAGGTCATGATGACATCATAACATGTTATTATTATTTTATGTAAATAAGGTATTAGTTGTACATTATAAAACAAAACTTAAAATGCTTGGTGAAAATACATTTTCAATGACTGCCATTCCAAGTATGTGTTCCAATATTCACCGGAGCAAAGACGTAATATTTAAATTGTATATCAAATACAGGGTGGACTACAAATAAAGTAGAATATATTAAATGGTGATATTTATCATGTATGTCACCTTGTATTTTGTATACCATATTGTGTATTGTATTTTTAGTATGTTCAGTAATATACCTCTTATTTATAATGATTGGACACCCAATAATGAATGTAACAAGAAGGGTCAACTATGATCATCCTGTAGGAAGGAACCTTGCCCTTTTCAATCATTTTGGCGATTTTAAGGGTAGTCACTGGACATTGGACATTGACAAGGTTGGACACTATAGGATGTTCATTTGACACTCTCTACAGGGTGATCATTTTACATCCTACAACTTGAAGGTGATTGTTTGACACTCTATGGGTTAGTCTCATGGCATTCTACAGGGTGGTCACTTGGCAATCTATTAAGTGATCCCTTGATTCTTCACAGAGTGGTCATTTGGCATTTTATAGAGTGTAACTTCACATTCTAAAGGATGATTCCCTGACAAATAACATATAGTGATTGTATATTATATTATTATAAAGTAGTGCTATCTTATCATTTTTCAACAATTAGTTTACAAGATTTGTGATTTTAGTAATCTAAAATAGAACTAAATCACATATATTACCTTTTTGCTAAATGATAATATAGAACATTATATGGTGGTACAATGGACTTTTTTAATTAAATATTCCTCAACAATTGATTGGCCAGTATTATGATGTTGTCAGGGGTTACTGGCTTGGCTATTTTTAAGGATATTTAATTTGTAGTAAATTAGTTAAGTACCTGTACCACCTAAAGTTATGAATCTGTAAATTTTGTTATTTATGTGTTGTGTATAGTGACTGTTTATAACCATAGCAACTGCTATGTTGCTTCCATAGCAATGTATAATTGCCATAGCAATGTATATGTTGCTAGCAACTATTATGTTGCTAGAATATGCAACTATTTGTGCTAATAAGTAATGCTTCCAAAGTAGTGACATTAAGACATGTTAGATATTACATTGGTCTGTACTTTCTAAAATATTAGGTATATGCTTGCATGTCAGTATGAATATAAAAAGTATGAGCAATTTCCATTGTTTTTGGTACAGCGTAATGTCTGAACTTTGCTTTATTAATGAATGCTAGCCTGTGGTGTATATGTTTGTTGTAAAGAAAAGCTATAGACAAACATTGTTTGCAGTTTAATGTAAATTAATGAGTAAAATGTATACTAGGCTCACTTAATAATGTTAATCTGGCTATAGTTCACAAATCAATATTCTATGAATACACATGCAAATTAACAGCATGTGCAACTTGTGCAATAGACAACAATAAACAGAATCTTCAAAACCACATTTAGAAGAATTTACAGAAACAATATTTTACCCATATTTTGAGAATGCAAGATTAGTACCCACTTTCAAAGATTTAACTTTTTGAAAAACCGCCTGGTTGTTATGTCACCACCAAAAGTGGTGACATATTGTTATGGTCTCCGTTTTTTTGTGACGGCGGTTGGCGTCCGGCGGTTGGTGGTTGGCGTCCGGCGTCTGTAACAATTTCTTACAACTTCCTATAACTTAACAAATACTGTTTAGACTGACTTCAATTTTTTTCTAAATCATCTACATGTTCTCAGAAGTTCAAATCTGACTTTAGATTTGACATTTGACCTTCAATGACCTTCTCAAGGTCAAAAAGGTCTTTTTTCAACTTGCTTCACATTGACTAAATTTTTTTTCAAAATCATCTACATGTTCTCAGAAATTCAAATCTGACTTAAGATTTGACTTTAGATTTGACATTTGACCTTCAAATCTGACTTTAGATTTGACATTTGACCTTCAATGACCTTCTCAAGGTCAAAAAAGGTCAAAAAGGTCTGTTTTCAACTTGCTTCAAATTGACTAAATTTTTTTTTCAAAATCATCTATGTGTTCTCAGAAATTCAAATCTGACTTTAGATTTGACTTAAGATTTGACATTTGACCTTCAATGACCTTCTCAAAGTCAAAAAAGGTCAAAAAGGTCTTTTTTCAACTTGCTTCAAATTGACTAAAAAAATTTTTCAAAATCATCTACATGTTCTCAGAAATTCAAATCTGACTTTAGATTTGACATTTGACCTTCAATGACCTTCTCAAGGTCAAAAAAGGTCAAAAAGGTCTGTTTTCAACTTGCTTCAAATTGACTAAAAAAAATTTTAAAAATCATCTACGTGTTCTCAGAAATTCAAATCTGACTTTAGATTTGACTTAAGATTTGACATTTGACCTTCAATGACCTTCTCAAAGTCAAAAAAGGTCAAAAAGGTCTTTTTTCAACTTGCTTCTAATTGACTAAATTTTTTTTCAAAATCATCTACATGTTCTCAGAAATTCAAATCTGACTTTAGATTTGACATTTGACCTTCAATGACCTTCTCAATGTCAAAAAAGGTCAAAAAGGTCTTTTTTCATCTTGCTTCAAATTGACTAAAATTTTTTTCAAAATCATCTACATGTTCTCAGAAATTCAAATATGACTTTAGATCTGACTTTAGATTTGACATTTGACCTTCAATGTCCTTCTCAAGGTCAAAAAAGGTCAAAAAGGTCTTTTTTCAACTTGCTTCAAATTGACTAATTTTTTTTTTCAAAATCATCTACATGTTCTCAGAAATTCAAATCTGACTTTAGATTTGACATTTGACCTTCAATGACCTTCTCAAGGTCAAAAAAGGTCAAAAAGGTCTGTTTTCAACTTGCTTCAAATTGACCAACTTTTTTTTTCAAAATTGTCTACATCTTTTCAGAAGTTCAAATTTGACGTTTACAAGTTCTCAGAAGTTCAAATCTGACTTAAGATTTGACCTTTGACCTTCAATGACCTTCTCAAGGTCAAAAAGGTCTTTTTTCAACTTGCTTCAAATTGACTAATTTTTTTTTCAAAATCATCTACATGTTCTCAGAAGTTCAAATCTGACTTTAGATTTGACATTTGACCTTCAATGACCTTCTCAAGGTCAAAAAGGTCTTTTTTCAACTTGCTTCAAACTGACTAATTTTTTTTTTCAAAATCATCTACATGTTCTCAGAAGTTCAAATCTGACTTTACATTTGACATTTGACCTTCAATGACCTTCTCAATGTCAAAAAAAGTCAAAGAGGTATTTTTCAACTTGCTTCAAATTGACGAATTTTTTTTTTCAAAATCATCTACATGTTTTAAGAAGTTCAAATCAAACCTTCTTAAGGTCAAAAGGTATTTTCCAACTTGCTTTAAATTGACCAAATTGTTTTAGGTGGTGACATTTTGTCATGTTAATGCCTTGTTTAGAAGATTGGCATTGTAACATGACATGTGATATGGTAAAGAACTTTGTAATTGGTAAATTGAAATTTCCATGAGGGACCCAAAGGGGAGCCTTTAATGTGCATTTATGTCATTTTTTACTAAAATTGTACAAAAAATAAAAAAAACAAAGGGATTCCCTAATAAATAAAACTCACAAAACACTACAATTTATTTGTGTATATTTCTTATATCCATTGATATATTGTGAATGAGAATTTTTATCGCACCCTTTGGTGTTCTATTATGATCAGGTTGCCTGGCAGCTGGTTGGTGAGTGAACATCCTGATTAGACTTAACTATCCTTTAAAGTATCCCAGCCCAGCAAAGACCTTTAAACAAAACTAGTGGCATTTATAAAGGTGATTTTCTCTTAATTTCAGCATAAGCATATAGGTAAACACTGGCATTACTCATCAAATCAAAACAAATAAAACCTCTGTCCATGCTTAACCATCTTCCCACACTCTGGTCTTCACTGCGTTCAAAAATGTCATCAACTTTCTTAGCGTAAAACACAAACACAGGCTGTAAATGTGAACTGTGAAACTGCTCCATCACAGCGGACAAAAAATGCAAACATTATTATTTATTAAAAAATTAAAAAGACCCAATACATCAATATCTCATTAATACATTCAGAGTTATGCTAGAGACTGATCCCACAATGGCTACATTACTACTAATATCTGACATCAGGTAAGTCTCGGTGTCTAATTAAAATGAAACTCCAATAAAGTGCCAGTTATACGTTTTGTAATTGTCTACAAAAAATGGGTTTGTATTTCCATGTAAGGTTGACGATTTTTGTGAATTCAAAACAAATCTTACACGTTTTCTAATGATCTAATTATGTTATATATTCGTATTTTTCGTTCTCATGGGGTACCCGGTTTTTTCGACCGGGTACCAAGTCTGAACCCAGCATGGAGGATTTACTACCCGGTACCCGGTTTTTTCTACAAACCATACAAAAAATCGTCAACCTTACATGGAAATACGCACAGGTCCCAAAGGAAGGGAATAAAAATTGTTGCAGAACCAGGAACTTGGAAAAAGAAAACATCATAGGAGTACCACTGTTGTAAGAAAAACAAACTTCAACTATGCCAAACCATAATCTGATTTGAAAGAAATAGTGTCTCATATTCCCCTCCCCCACCGTTCAAGTGGCATCATCACAATCCAAGACCACAACACCAAAATGCCATTTCATTGATATTGAAGTCATTAGAATACATGTTGAAGAATAAATTTTTGATTGATTTTAAAAAACCTACCTTTGAAAATCATCAATTTCTTATGGGAGAAAAGACACAGTACCTTATCACCGTGTTATTTTGGAAATGACTCCAGAAAATCCCACATCTCAAGATGTTTTGAACAAGATTTGTGCAATTAATTATCCCCGAATTAGTCTAGATCTTTTATATAATGAAACAAAAATAGGGCAGTAAAACTTGTAAATTGAACATTTTTTGCCGACGAAAAACGTTCAGTGTTCACTACAGAGAGGGTAATTTATACCGTAGTCAGTCAATAGATTATCTGCTGAGGAAGGATATCTACTAGAGACAGGTGTTCACAAGAGAAAGGTGTTCACAAAGACAGGTTTTACTGTCCGTTTAAGGTCATGACATGTATTTATATCTGGAGCTAGTGAGGCGGCACCCTTGCTTGATGCCCCCCCCCGCCCCCCGCCCCCCCCCCCCAACAAATCCGGTATAAGTTGGTGCGTTGCCAAAAGCGCCATAGACGAAACCTGTGAAGTTGCCCCACACGACAGAGAGATATTTGAAAACAGAGAATTCAGACTTGTCCTGTCTCTTAAGAGACGATAAAGACTACAATAGACTGGTAGATATTCAATAGATAGTTGTATGACTAGACAAAACATTCAGTACTACTGTTTTCCCAGGGAATATGAAGGAATAAAAATCGTATTGAATCGGAAAAAATCGTATTGTCCTCGGGTAAAAATCGTATTGGACCATATTCTTCCCTGTAAATAACCTATATGTCTTGGATATGTCTGGATTCATACATTTTTGTTTTTTCACGCAGAACAAAGCGAAATTGTAAGATGCTGAATTTGAAAAAGATGTCACCGTTGTTCGAAATACACATGTAAATATTGATCCGAGTTTGATTTCTCATAAATTCTTGGTGAAATCACAGAATTTAAATAAAAAGAAAAAGACAGGCATTGATCATCCTACATTCAAAGGACTTCATTTATTATTCAAAGAAAGAAGTGAAATACCTAGGACCAAGGATGGGCATTGATAGTCTTTGCATTTGTTTAACACTTAGTCACTTCCAGGTTAGAACTTAAATCTTGACTCAGGGTAAGTTATTGACAAACGTAACATTTCGTACGGAGGCTGAATTTATCTCTTTGAACAGTCTGTATTATTTGCTATTTGATAAAAAAACTTAACACTAATGAGTCTCCAACCATTGGTGCAACAATAGGCTATTTATCAAATTGACGAGAGTTCAACTTCCGATGACCTTGAATGTATTATCGGAAAATTAAAGTAGCGGCAGGTCCAGAGCTAGGAGACTTTCAATTTGTGATTTGATACTAAGTGGAGCATTTCACTTCTCACGTTCTTTGAGCAACGTTATTCTGTCAAATTGTAAGTCTTCGTGATCGAAGTCAGCAAAGCCTGATGTGCATTTTCTGATCCAGTTTCAATCAGGTGGCAATTCCTTGTTCTAGTTTTGTTTGAAACTATTTATTTATCCTAAATTACCTATAACCTATTAGATAGTACATGTTATGCGGGATGGGGGTCTGAGATATCTAGTTGTTGCGTCTGCCGCACACTGTGTGTATAAAATGTATGGAATGTTGATTTCACAATTTCCTGTTGTGAATTGCTTTTGTTTGTCCCGAAAGGGTAATATCGTTATCATCGTACGTAACAGCACTCGGGATGCTTACTTGGCGAGTTTGATCGCTTGTTACCCTCTGAACTGTGTAATAATCACTGGTGAGGACACCATCTTCAATAATGTCACTAAAGTCTCCGTAACTTGTACTAGCATTGTGATTAAAAGTTATCGTAAACAGATCCTTATTTTGAACTGAAAGTTGTTGTTTTATTCGGGGTGGAGCAGTTCTGCATTCACGCTCCCTCAGGATACGTCCACGGGTAGGTACCTGTCCCTGGCTATGGCCTTCACTAGATCCAAAAAGTTCGGACTTAGGAAAATTGCGAATGTATGACCTAGAGGTCATGGCGGTGTGACACCTCGTGTCTTTTGTTATCTTAGTTTGTCTTCTTTGCCATCGTTTCAACATGGCGTCTTTTTGATCTCCTGAGGTGGAAAACAAACGTCCCGGAACTGCTGCTGATTTCGTTAGAGAAGGTTTCATTGGGAAACAGTGTAAAGATCGTCCTAAACTACTTTCTAATGAGACAGAATTATCTATGTCAGCGTCTGGCACAGTCGTCGTTATTTCATTTCTTTCAGCTTTAACATCATCATTAGCCATAGAGACAACATTAACTGGTTTTATTATGTCTGCTCCAGTCATGTTTCTTGGAGAAAATGCAGATCTCGATCTTGCAGGCTTTCTGGGATTATCTAACGAGTATCCACATGCAATTGATGGAAGATATTCAAACCCTTTCACTCCACTTTGAGCAGTATTGTCTTTTTCATCAATGTCAATCCTAAGTGGAGTATGCTTACATGTCTTCCTCGAATTAGGATCAGCGACTGGTGCGATGTGCTTCATAGGTTCAACAGGACATTCTCTCTGAGATTGTCTTGGCGACGGCGTAGGAAGGCCTAATTCTAGACGTTCCACTGCAAACGGATTTTTTAGATTGCTTTGTTTATTTTTGCTTGTGTATGAATCTATCGCTGTGATAGCTTTCAAAACATCGGTATCAAAATTTCCATTAACCAGTAAGCTTTGTTTCACCTGTGATCTAGTTCTTGAAGAGCTCTTTGATTTCGGAATCATTTCTACTCTTATAACACTATCTTCCAGTGTGTCAAATTGTATTATATTTGAGGCCATTTGCATCATCCTGGGGGATCTAATAATGTGTCTGAAAAAGAAAATATTGATGAAAATAAATCCATATTCCAAAAATAACAAAAGTTTAATGAACAGATGTAATCAACGGTTATCAATAAATCATAATAATCAATCAATTATTCAAAATAATCCAATAACTACAAATATATATTTTATAAATGTTTACATCCACGAGGCCGAACCCTTGAGAAACGCCGAGTCTCTAGCCTTACGTAAAATAGTTTCATATATCACATCCGTGACCAACTTTGTAGTCAATTACAACATCATCTGGATTTTATCTGATAACTGTTGAACTCCTACCAGGTGGAACTCCATTAGCATCCTTCCGTGCCTTCTATCCTGCTCTTATGCAAGCATCCTCGTTTTTTACACCAAACAGATCTATATCGGGAACTACATTGTGATCAGTACTCTAATCCAATACACTGTTACTACGTTATTAGTAATATTCAAACATTAAAGTTCCACTTCAACTTGGTTATCGATGCATTAAAATACAAAGAAAAGTTGAATGATTTATGCGCCCCATTCTTGCAAATCTTCTATTGAATGTTCGACTTGCTTCTTTGTTGCCGAGATATAAGGTTAAATGTTTCTTACTGAAAACAATATTTTTGTTAGGTCTTAACCACAAGAAAATCCATTTCTTCGAGAAGAAAACGTCAATTCCACATTTTGTATATGTGCCATATCGGTAGTTCATATAAACCCCTCAATTCTGCTACTCAAATAAGATCATTTTCTGCCAAATGTTTATATTACAGGTAACATGAATGTAATTTTTCTTTCAAGTTCTTTTGTTGTGTAAACGTTTAACATCTGTGAATGTTTGTAAGATCAAACTAAACAAATGTCTTGAACGTTTGCATATTTTTTAGAATATAAATTCAAGAATGAACAAGGTCTGTAAACGATAGTGCGGTTGCCGTTACGATAACATATAATCAAACAGAATAATTTCATGAATCGAGTCTAGTGGGTTATTTTAGAAAATATATATAGACTAGGAACTATTACTTTTTGTTTCATAATTATTTAAAATAAATGTTCAATAAAGGGATCCGCCATCTTGGACAAAGAGCTCTGTAAACGTTACAGAAACTAGAGTCACCGAAATGTCTGCCGCCCCCCCCCCCCCCTTGTATGCATAGTATATACAGTCAGCTAGATCACCGTGAGCTGTTACTGTGAACAAGTAGTGTGTTTGTGCTAAGTAAAACCCTCGATGTTATGTTTTGAATTATGATTCGATCACCACATACATCACCACACATATAAATCTAGTTGCAAACTTAGGAAATAAAGATCAAGGGCTCTTAGGATCATAGGTTTTAGAATAGCACCGTTATTTTAATATCAACTGCATTGATTTGAAATGTTTATCAACTATTTTTGTAATATTTTGAAACAGTTTTAAGTGTTTAATGGTTACATGTACGTTATGCCACATGAACATCTGTTTGTTTTGAAAGGCTCGAATCTATGCATAGAGAGGTAACTAAGACGTTCGGCTTGTAGAGAAATTTGTATTTTCACACTGAGGGAGCATTGAGTTCAAGTAGTTGTGCTGGATATATATCCATTGTGTTGTTGCTGCAACGTCTCTCTGCAATGAGATGCGGCACTAAGGCATTCTAACGTCGGAAACACCAGCCGCTCGTACAGCCACATCTGACTTTGTATGTCGTTAATGGATTGATCCCTGGTCGTTCCGGCGCTTGCCTCTAACGCTGTGATGTTTTGGATGTAGGTGGTAGGTAAAAGAGTAGAAGTATTCTTGTTTCCTATAAAAACATAACATTGCCACGTCGAGTCTGAAGAGAAGTCTGGCCTTGCATTACTGTTAACAAGCGGACAAAACGCATTGACGTTTATGATCGGGGAGATTGATAGCAGACATCAACCAAAGACGTCAATTGGACCACAGCATCGACAAACCCACGCATGGATGACCATGCTACTATATAGCCGATCGAATTATTAGAGAGAGCATTGAAAACGCAAACACTAAGACAAATCTGCGTCCTATACGCAAGGGACAAATTACCCGCATGGGCAGAAAGTTGTGATACTTCTCAACACTCGATACTTCTTCGCTAAGAGACATCTCACTCTAGTCAAATACATAAAACAGGAGGGGTAGATTATGGATCGCAAACTGCTAGCCCAGACACTGTTAATGCTTCTACTTTTTCTGCTCATCCATCTTCCTCAAGGCAAGGTAAGATGACTGCACTCTATATCTGCTATACAGCTGACTTATATAACAATCCTTGTTAAAGTTAACTTGTTTGGGAAGTCTATGGAATAGACAAACTCGACTAGAAAACAGTATCTCCACAGAGTAGCAAATACCAACGAACAAGAACAAGTTATGTCACTATAAAATTTCGGTATGATATGGCCATAAGTTATGAGATCTAATTATTAAACTAAATTCTCGCATTAGATGGTAGTTTTGGATTTTCTGAATGAATAAGAAAAAATGATTTGTTATCTACTCTAAAATGAAATAGCTTCCATTTGAGTACAGTATTGTATATATATAATGTTTCAATGAGATCTCGAATAACTACAAAATCGTACATCAAGCGGCCATTTCGGATTTTCAAATATTTCTATTACTTTCGAGGGAAAAAATCTCGAATCCCTTTCATTTGAGTATGATAAAGCCATAGAGACAGTTCAGTTTTCTCAACCCCCATACACTCTTATACATTCCAATAACAACATATCAAATGGTAATAGAGATAGTTGGTTGGAAATGAAAAGGCGAAAATTGCAGCCATTAAAGCGGCGGCCATCTTGAAAAAAATCTTTTTACATTTTTCCACCAAATAAGGAGACAATTTGTTCATTAGCTAGTATTAGAGTTATTTTCCGGACGGACTGACCATATGACTGACTGACGGACGGACGGACGAGGGGCTTTACTTTATCCCTAACGAACTTCGATGGAATAATAAAGATGTGCTTGTGGCCAAATGGAACTAGTCTGCGCTTATAGGTAAATTGCGAACTTGATCTACAATTTATATAAAATATCAAAAACATAAAAGAAACCGGAAACCTCTACCCAGGGATGTTTTATCTCCCGGCTTGATCCAGGCTTTTAGACATTTCCCTAAACAATGTTCTGATATGGACGAGACATTTGGCAGTCTGCCATCAACGGCGAAATACAAGCAGACGTCAGTTGTGTTATTTTCAAGATTTATGGATATGTAACAATTGATTCGTATTCATTTTGGTAAAATTTTTGTTTGAAGATGAATTTATAGTCTTTTTCTTGAAATAGGAATTGTGGGTGTCAGTTAATAAACAATGTTTACAACACTGCCCTGTGGGATGAATCCACAGCATCTTAATCCTCACATGGACCATCCTTCGTTTTGTAATTTGATGTAACGGAGTTAACAAATGACTTATTTATGTCTTGTACTGCCTGTTCTCGTCTACCCCTTTACAAATGCACCAAACCTGGATCGGTTATTAGTTAAATCACTTCCTAGTCTTTGAACTTCAATCTGTAATTAATTATAAAGATGCAAATACCATTAAACCAAGCAAATGTTTTGATTCAATCCACTTTGTTATAACAAGAAGGCAAAGGACCTTGCATTGCCTCACTTCAACAGTTCAAGTTCACTTTTTTGTTGAAATGTAACAGAATATCACGAACTGGATTTTAACCAGAAACAACAAAAGTTCATTTAGAACACAACATTGCATCAATATCCTATTAAATGATATTGTATCTCTCTTAGACTTCTGGTTAGAATCCTGTTAACCAGGCACTGGGCTCTTTCTGTTTCACACATTGCGGATTACTGGCTCTTTTTCGCAAACTATACGTAAGATTTAAAAAAACAAAAAGAGAAATTTGGAGTTCCTCTTTTACCCTGTGATCGCCTAGTTTAATGGCTGATACATGATAATGGCTTAGAGTATATGTGTCTGTGGTAAAGTGTTTAATGTTGCCCTTTCAATTGTGTTATTTTTCTTTCTAGGCGACTACAGAGCAAGGCCGGAGCTTCAGAGGTTGGTATATATAGATTCGTTCTACCACAATAACCTATAGCAAACATTTAAACATAGAACAATTGTAATCTAGTATCTATGTATTTTCATGGACGGGAACATGAAGGTGAAAATATTGTTTGGATATTAGATTATTTTTTCATTTGTTTTAGATTCTGTGGAAGAAACATTAGAATCATTACAAACATATGAAGTAACAGTACCATTCCTAGTTAACGAAAATGGGCAATTCATATCATTTGAAGTTGAGACCCATCTTCCTACTACCTCTCATGATGATAATATATCAGGCCGAGCAAAGCGATCAACACAGGCTTTCAACGAAACAACCCTTATAAACCTTATGTTCAATCTGAACGATAAAATGCTGCAGCTCCAGCTACACAGGGATGATAAGATCGTCGCTCCGTTCGCCACGGTTGAATGGCCGGAGGGCGACATCACTGAGGCGAGTCCGATCAAACGGGGATGCATTTATGATGGTGATATCAAAGATATGGACGGTTCACACGCCCTTGTTGATCTATGCGGCGGGATAGTGAGTACCTTGGTGATAGCCTGGATATGAACCATGTAGTTAATGGTATCCGTTACAATCGTAAAATTAATGTTTCCTTTTACAATTATTTCAAAACTTGAAATTGATTGTCTGTGTTCCAAGAAGAATGCGTCAGTATCTGTTGATTGATTCGGAACTCCGCTACGCAAACATTACTGCTGGGCATATTCATTTCCTTATTGTTGTCAAAACCACACGTTATTCTCCCAACTCAATGATTCACAGATATCGGGGTAAACTTTAGGGTGTATCAAAATATGAAGAATTTTATGAAGCATGCCTTGAGCGCATAATATAAAGTCATCATTAACTAATTGAGTATCCCACTTACGGAAGTAAGTAACTTAGAACCTTATATCAAAAGAAAACAAAATCAAGGAACTATCAAAAACCAGAACATGTGATTGAAGATTGATAGTTACTGTAAATGATGAAGGCAGTCATGAAGTGGTGTCACAATATTGGTGTAACCTCTGTAAACAAATCAAGACATTGTTTACTTTAAACATATTGACATCATTTTTAAGTTAAAGGCAATACTAATTTCTTGACTTCCTTGTTTTCGCATCCTATTGTTAGCAAGGTATTTATACTTGTTTTTTAATGGTTTTAGACAGGTGTGTTGAGCACAAAAGAAGATGATTTATTTATAAAGCCCCTTCCACAAATGACCAATGACCCCAGGCATCCGCATGCTGTGTATAAAGTTCCCGTAAAGAACGTCACGAGGGACCTTAGGAATGACTTTGTCGAGCTAGATGGTAAATAAACTATGTTTTTCCCGAATAAGATTGATTCGTTTATTGTGAACAATTATTTGAGATATTTTAACATAGGCCTACCGCAAAAACAATAAACATTGATAAAACCCCATCCAGCAGTGGCACAACACACAATAACGTAGTCAAAATCTACATTCGTCCAGCACGGTTGTACTGATCCTATAATATTAGTTTAAAACAACATAGTATACTCTTGAACTTCATGAGAATATAACCAACAAAAAATAATCATTTATATATACAGTAAAACCTGTCTCATCCGAACGCCATTGAGACCGGCTTAAAGCGTTCAGATTAGGAGGTATTCACATTTCGAGGTTTTTGCATTCGCGAGATTTATATTCTGGATTCTGAAGAAATGTTGACCACATAGCTTTATGCATTTCAGAAATTTGAAAATTCAATTCAAATGAATCTAGTCATGCTGGAAAGCCCTATTATAATCAAGACCATTCAAGTTTTTTCCCAAAGTTTTGATATCATAACAATATTTGAGCAATTTTGTCTGAAACGTGTGAAATTTTATTAAAAGTGTTCAGATTAGACAGGTTAAATTTTCAAATATGATTGTTCACTGTTCAAATTGAGAAGTGTTCACATTTCAAGGTATTTTAGCATGGGAATCTCAATGGGAGGAAAAATGGGTTCCCATTTCACGAAAAAAGTGTTCAGATAGGGAGGTGTTCGGATTAGCCAGGTGTTCAGGTTCTACTGTAGCTTCATTATTCTATGGATACGTATATAATGCCAGTTATTCCATATTAAGTTCAACATATTATCATCACCGATCCGCACTCTGAAATAACGGGAACGTATACGGCACCACACGGTTCCGTTTTCACGGTACCGTATGGTATTAAGGGTATGGCATCGTACCGTACGGTATTAAGGGTATAGTACCGTACCGTACGATACGGTAAAATCATGAAAGGGTACCAAAAATATCGCATAGCCGACAATACCTCTCTTATAAATACAAGTGGAACACTGTTTTGAAAAGATGTTTATTCTTTACGAAACAATTAAGTAAATACATTTGTAATTGTAGAAACAATCGACCACCATAGACGACAGAAGCGAAGTAGAAGAGAAGATCTAAAACGAAGAATTCTGTATATGGAGACAATAGTTGTGGCAGATCAAAGTATTCTAAGATTCCACGGAAAGGATGTATCCGAGTTGTACCTCCTGACCCTCATGCATGTGGTATGTAAAACATACGAGTACATTAAAGTCTCCATTTTGTTTCCATAACGTGTTAGGAATTAAGAATAAAACGTAGGCCTATGTGTTAAGTAAAGCATGTATTTTGCTATAAAAGTCTCAATTTTGTTCCTTTAAAGGATGTTGTGACTCCACTAACACAGAATTTATGTAAAATCTGTTTCGATGAATAATGTAAAAGAAATAAACCATGACCATTAGACAATTGAGATGGCAGGTGATGTCCAAGTACATTGTTTCCATTGCATAAGATTGTACATGTTTGAAATAGGTTTGTACATGTACCATCAATGTTTGGAATAGGTTTGTACATGTACCATCAATGTTTGGAATAGGTTTGTAAATGTACCATCGATGTTTGGAATATGTTTGTACACGTATCAATGTTTGGAATAGGTTTGTACACATATCAATGTTTGGAATAGGTTTGTACACGTACCATCAATGTTTGGAATAGGTTTGTACATGTACCACCAGTGTTTGGAATAGGTTTGTACACGTATCAATGTTTGAAATAGGTTTGTACACGTATCAATTTTTGGAATAGGTTTGTAAATGTACCATCAATGTTTGGAATAGGTTTGTACACGTACCATCAATGTTTGAAATAGGTTTGTACACGTATCAATGTTTGAAATAGGTTTGTACAAGTACCATCAATGTTTGGAAGACGAACACTTAACATGGCCTTCTGGAGGTTTCCGCCTTTAATGACAAAGTTATTCCAAAACAAGATTTTCTGGTCGCATTTTCTGGTTAACACTGTGGTGAAGTGGTTCTCACGTATTTCTATCGGGATGTGTTGTTATTAGTTTTCATGGTTATTCATAGTTGTAACACCACAAGATTGTCTAGGTCAGGGCCGTCCAACTAGCACATTTAATATAGTGTGGTGGGTGGATATTTACAATAAACAGATGACGACCCGAATGGCTTAGATAAACTAAAAAATATTAAAGTGGATGAAAGTATAAAAAGGAGGAATTCATAGTATATGGAGACAATAGTTGTGGCAGATCAAAGTATTCTAAGATTCCACGGAAAGGATGTATCCGAGTTGTACCTCCTGACCCTCATGCATGTGGTATGTAAAACATACGAGTACATTAAAGTCTCCATTTTGTTTCCATAACGTGTTAGGAATTAAGAATAAAACGTAGGCCTATGTGTTAAGTAAAGCATGTATTTTGCTATAAAAGTCTCAATTTTGTTCCTTTAAAGGATGTTGTGACTCCACTAACACAGAATTTATGTAAAATCTGTTTCGATGAATAATGTAAAAGAAATAAACCATGACCATTAGACAATTGAGATGGCAGGTGATGTCCAAGTACATTGTTTCCATTGCATAAGATTGTACATGTTTGAAATAGGTTTGTACATGTACCATCAATGTTTGGAATAGGTTTGTACATGTACCATCAATGTTTGGAATAGGTTTGTAAATGTACCATCGATGTTTGGAATATGTTTGTACACGTATCAATGTTTGGAATAGGTTTGTACACATATCAATGTTTGGAATAGGTTTGTACACGTACCATCAATGTTTGGAATAGGTTTGTACATGTACCACCAGTGTTTGGAATAGGTTTGTACACGTATCAATGTTTGAAATAGGTTTGTACACGTATCAATTTTTGGAATAGGTTTGTAAATGTACCATCAATGTTTGGAATAGGTTTGTACACGTACCATCAATGTTTGAAATAGGTTTGTACACGTATCAATGTTTGAAATAGGTTTGTACAAGTACCATCAATGTTTGGAAGACGAACATTTAACATGGCCTTCTGGAGGTTTCCACCTTTAATGACAAAGTTATTCCAAAACAAGATTTTCTGGTCGCATTTTCTGGTTAACACTGTGGTGAAGTGGTTCTCACGTATTTCTATCGGGATGTGTTGTTATTAGTTTTCATGGTTATTCATAGTTGTAACACCACAAGATTGTCTAGGTCAGGGCCGTCCAACTAGCACATTTAATATAGTGTGGTGGGTGGATATTTACAATAAACAGATGACGACCCGAATGGCTTAGATAAACTAAAAAATATTAAAGTGGATGAAAGTATAAAAAGGAGGAATTCATATCTAATAATCTCGCATCCATCTAGGCATTGATTCGCTGTTAGATTGATCGTGCAACAATCTACCACACCCTTCAAAATAAAATTGAAAACAAGGTTAAAACGTGGGCTTTCAACTAGACATGGATTGTAGGCACGATATAATCTTCAAATCATGTATCATTTTTGTCACCGCACCTAAGATGAATCTATTCTTCATGTAAGACTTTGGGTGGTGACATTTTCTTATAGTCACCAGCAGCGTCTGTTTCTGTAACAGATGTTTCACGTTTGCATAATTGCAACCAGGTGCTGACATTATGTCATTTTAATGCTTTGTTTCAGTATTACATTCATCTTTCAGGTGAATATGGCTTACAGACATACTAGTCTTGAGATTAAGATCCAACTTGTGGTTACCAGAATTGTATACTTAAACACAAAACAGGTATGTGTCTAGCTTGTCTAAGTTTTGTACTTTTAGAGTTCTTACTTTGGAAGATATAGGTCACCTGCATTCTGATTTATCAGAGTCTCTCTTTATCTAAGGCTTCCAAGGGATAATAGAGACTTTGGATCCCACAATGGGTCACATATGTTTTCATAACATTAACGTCATCGTAACGTGTGGTAAATCGCTCAGCTAGACACCGTTTTGAAAAGTTTAACATTCATCAAGTATTGACATCCCAATTCAATATTTAAAAAAACTTTCTAGACCACATGTAGTCGTTTTTTTGTTCTTTAACTTATTTCTTATTTCCCTCCAGATGACTGGTCTCGTGGTGAGAGGGAACGCTATAAAAACTCTAGATAGATTCTGCGAATGGTCCAATTCATTGAACAATAAAGCCGGCCATGACTTTGCTATCTATATTACCAGAGAGGAAATAGGTCCAGCTGGTGAGTCTCCCAACCGGAAATGAAAGTTCCCGTAGGCTTAATCACACTACTATACCTTGCATTTGGTGTTCATGAGCAACCCATTTGGCTTATCAGTAATGATTATTTATTTGTTTTTATTTGTCTGTTCCTTATGAATGGTCTATCGGTTGAAAATTAGATGCTAGTAAGGCACTTTCAAAAATATATTAAACAATTCAATTAGACAAACAAAGTATCTTATGCATTTCTAGGTGTTAGGTATAGTAGTGTGTTAATGTTTCAAATAGAAAATACGTTTTTTCTTCATTCGATTTTTCTATCTAGTTCTCGTCCAATGTTGCTGTTTTCGTTTACAATTTTTTTGTGGACACATTAAAATTATATTATTTTAAACACCCAGGGTATGCCCCAGTGACTGGGATGTGTAACCATAAACGGAGTTGTGCAGTGAACCGGGACGATGGGATAACCTCTGCATTTGTGATTGCACATGAGATAGGACATGTGTAAGACAATGTTTCCTTAATTGAATTATCATATCAAAAAAGGTTGATGTTATCTTTAGCGATTTTAACAGAATAATCGAATTTGTACATTTCTGACATTGGAAAATTAGATTAAGATTAGGACTTCTGGATGCCATACGATTCTTTGCTGTATACTACCTGAAATATGTAGAGACGTTTGTCTATGAGATCTCAAACATTCATTTGATGTGAACAGTGTACACGAATGATATCAAGTGCCATCTTTTTTAAGATTGGGTATGAAACACGATGGAGATACGAATGATTGTGACAGTGACCCCACTGACGGGAAGATCATGGCGCCAACTGTTCAGTCGACGTATGAGAAGCATTACTGGACAAGTTGTAGTAAAGACAGCCTCTGGCACTACATGGAGTATGTTGGTTCTTGAATTTATTAGTATCGCATCAGGTGAAACGTGTGTATGCATGACATTTTTGATATATAGAGGTCCATGGTTTAGTTATCACAAAAATCACCCATTTTAGTGAAGATTCCCAATATTGTATTTTTTCTAATTTGAGCCTCAGAAAAGCCAAAAACGCCGGCTTATGAAACAGAATTCTAAATGTGACATATTTCAGGTTCACAAACAATTTGTTGGGATTTGCTACTCCGTGGAGTTGCCGTTTTTAGTTTTCAAATGTTAGAATTGTTCTCTGTGAATAACAAGTGTTCTCCAGTTCATATATTGCAAGGGTTATTCAGCACTGAGAAATCTCTGTCTAAGTTCAGATACAGATTTGTCAGCGTTTCTAGTTCGATTGGGCCACACACAAAATAATCCAAAACACAAAGACGGAAGTGTTTGGGAAGCATAGATCGCGGAAATGGAGTTTAACAGTTTGCGAATGCAATGATTCTAATGCCATATGTGAAATGTTGCAAAACTACCTTGTTACAATATGTAGATAGGATTAACCTATCAATATGGATTTCTTTAGTACTGTCTAGACGACTGATGTAGGTTGGAGAGCTCATCATGGCCCATGTTCAACTTCATTATCACTCATATGGAAACCATTTCTTTTTGGGCAATGTTTCCACAAAGATCAGCTGTTACTTACTTACTTGTACATCTGTACAGTGAATTATTAAAATGGCTTTCTCATTGGAGTCACATGTTATACTTTTCATGTACCCATAACTCGTTTCCTACATGGTTTACATATTTCAATTTTGCACAAACAGGGGTTTTCGAAACTAAAACTAAAAACTAGTGCCTTTAAAAGGCCGTGTTTAAATTCAAATCGCGTTGAAAAACGCAAAACGTAACATCGTCTTGGTCTGTAATGTCATATTTTTAAGTGATGTCTCAGTTTTTATAAGACCAATTTCATTCTGCTTAGTTACTTTTATAGTCACTATTACAATATTTTAAGGCTACAAATATGGTCGGTCTTTTACATGATTTTCCTCAAACCCTGTTTCGGGGCTACCTGTGGAAAACACCGACCGCGTACCGCTCGGTGGTCGCTGGTGTCGATCTTTTTCGTTAACCTCAAAAACAGTGCATTGATGTATTAATGCGTTAATGATAACAGTTTTTGAGCAATGAATAGTAGAATGAGAAATTCTATTGACTTATTTCATATTTATATTACTCCAATACACAAAGTCTATCTACATTAAAATCCATTATTTTTGCAAAATAAATTCAAAGATGCAATCCATGTGGGCAATTAGTTACGATGTGTCCCTAATAAGGATGCCGTTTTAAGATTTCCGCACCCCCTATTTATCCATATGATATTGCTCTGTTTTTAGCACATATACATGTCTGTTGGATGATCCATTTGAAGAAGACCATTTGAAAAAGTGGCCGTCAATAGACGAACCATTTGGCACAAACTGGGGGTTGGAGAAGCAATGTGTTCAGGAGTTTGGAAAAGGCCACACTCTTTGCAAAGTGGTATGTTCGAATGCAGTAATCAAAAACGAAAAGAACAATGATTCAAAAATGAAACCGAGGTTCTATCACCACTGTGCATAACTTCTGCAACTACTAACATAACGATCATACTATTGTTTATATGTACCTCATAATTTTCATTGTAATAACAATATTTTGTTCCTTTACACACTGGTGATCCATTCGATTACGCTGGTTACCAAAACGGTTCGTTTCGGTAACAAAATGTCGTAACATCGAAGGTTGGATTTGTCTTTTTCCTTATTTTACACGTTGTAGGCAGAATTCCATAAACGGTATTTCGAAAAACAGTTAAGATCTGCACTTTTAACCCAAACCGTTTATGTAACTTAAGTGAGGAATTAAATCGACGATTCTGTTGTCTTCTGAGCTATTTTTTCGCAAACATGTACATTTTCTAAAACATATGATACTGATATACGTTTGTGATAAAAAAAAAACATCGTGGGGATTCTGCCTACAACGCGTGAAATAAGGAAAAGAGAAAACTCGTACCTTCGACGTTCCGACATTTTGTTACCGAAACGAACCCTTCGGTAACCAGCGTAATCGAGCGGATCACCAGTGTTTACAGGCATTTAAGAAGTGGATACGATTCTTTATGAACATTTAGACAAGGACGACTCGTGTTGACTGTTGATCAATGATCGTATTCACCAATGATCGTATTCACCACTCGACGTATTGTGATTTCCTAGATTTTCTACTTCAGCTATTCGTTTCACCCCATTTTGCTTTCATTTCAGTTCCCTGACATGGATCCATGTGAAACATTGTGGTGCAGTGAGGTAAAGAATAAATACTTGTGCAAGACAAAACGAGGACCTCCACTCCCAGGAACTGAGTGTGGACCTTACAGGGTGAGCACAAATTACACGCTCTTAACGTTGTATCCCAAGGCTACGTGTTTTGTCCATTGTATTGGATAATCGAAATTAGATAAATTTATTAATGGACGATTTCTGGACCCGTCCATATAAAAACTTTCATGCGTTTTAATTGTTTAGATAATTACATGTACTATCCAGACGACAAATAAAAACTTCGCTTCGTTTGCATGGGGGCCCCACACTCTTATTAATACCTTTAGTTGGAAGCATATTATACCACATTGGCGTTTTATTTTAGTGGTGTATGAACAGCGCGTGTGTGCCAAAATCAGACGTCCTGCAAGATGGCGCTTGGTCTGATTGGACCTCGTGGTCCAAGTGCTCTAGAACTTGTGGGATGGGAGCCAGGTTCAGAAAGAGGCTTTGTGATAATCCACCGTACGTTCTGCATGCAATATTGATAGTGTTTTGTAAGCTGCTTTAATACTATAAGCCTGGCAGCTCAACCATTTGTTACAACATAGACATATTGGGCATTATGCTTACAAAATGTCGCAAAATGTGCATCATTATAAACAAAATCTAGTAGGTTAATGAGTATTTAAAAGGGAAACTTTATAGCCTACATATGTACATTTGCATTTTGTTTCAGACCAGCATATGGTGGGTATGAATGCGAGGGATCACAGGAACAGTTAGAAATGTGTAACAAACAGGTATGAAAGTCTAGATTTCAGAGAGCTCTTGATATTTTCTTCTGAGTTTCGTTAAACATAACACATTACTAGACAATAATTATCCAACTTATCATTAAATGTTGATAAAAAATGTTTAACAAAATTTTTTAATTTTCAAATGATTTGATCTACCTTTCAGGAATGCCCAGGAGGCAACAAGGATTATCGGGCAGAACAATGCACATTGTTGAATGATCACAAAATGATTGGGAATCGTCTCCACACATGGTTGCCATGGCAACACCGAAATGGTAACATTTTTCTCTTAGATATTTGGTGGATCAATTTATAACCTTAAAGTCTTTAATTTCATAAAATTATGATTGTAGTCTTGAAATAACAATGTTGGTGGGGTTTCTTTTTCAGAGAGTCTTCACTGTCGATTGACTTGCATTTCCATGGATACTAATGATATCTTGACAACCAGGACAATGGTTACAGATGGAACGTTCTGTAACTATGATGATACAAACATGAGGTGTATACGAGGTGAATGCAAGGTACAGTTGATTAATTCATCAATCAATGATCAAGCAATTTTTGCTCAAGCTTCTTCAAACTGTAAGAGAAATAGATAATGTAGATCAGACATGTCAGAAGGACAAGATACGTTGTACTTCATGCAAGGCTACTCATTTCAACATGTGCAAAGTTTGATTTCTTTTATCAATCAAGTGGGATATTGACTCTTGGAATCAAATCAAAGTATTCCCAGATTGACTCTAATAATCATAAGTGACCAATACATCTTAAGTACACTTGCTGATCAAAGTAATTCTATATAGTTTTTAGAAAAACACTCCAAAAAGCCCCATACTTCGGATTTAGGTAATATGATGTTTATGTTTTAGAAAGTTGGCTGTAATGGTGTGATTGGGTCTGACATAGAGAATGATCTATGTGGCACATGTAAAGGGCAGAATAAGGACTGTCAGTTGGTCACTGGCACATATAACAAGACACCTCGAAATGGTAGGATTATTAAAACCTAAAGAAGGCCAATAGAAAGAAGCCAGTGGTGATTTATTTGTCAATTAAGAATATAGCCGGCCTTTAAAGACAGTGCAAAGTTTGAAAATATAGTTTAAAGGCCCACTTTGGGAATTTTCACCATTTTTGGCAAAATTAAGACTTACATTTAAATTTCATAGTATGTCCAAAGTATTGATAAGAGCCTTATCTGTCATTTAACACCAACAACAAATGGACCACATTAAAGCTTACATTAAATTATATTATCAGAAAATATTTTCAATCTGTCAAGCTTTATATATCAAGTTTTTATCAATGTCATTGAAAGATGGCAAAGTTGTTTGTATTACATGATACATTCATTTTTATAGAAGTGTCACCATCTTTTAAATCAATAGTAATTTAAAACATGCACTTTGTTTAACATGTGCATGCATGTCTAATGATCTATGAACTTCAAACATTTTTTTCTTTGCGAGTTATTTTTTTCTTGGTCCAATATTAAAGCAAATCAAACTTTGTGTCATATTTGAACAAGTGTGTGACTAACATGTTTCAATGATTATTTTTTCTTTTTTCTTATAAATTAAGTATAGTGTGCCTTTAATCATAGCAATATTACTTTTCATGACTTGAAAAAGTTAAGCTTTTGATAATCAAATACGACACTTAACACTGTAAAACACATTATTATTTTCTATTCCAATGGATATATCAGGCAAAAAAATCTGCTTCCTGGCCAGCTCAATCCCAAGTCAATCAACCCAAGTCATCTCAACCCAAGTCAACTCAACTCTTAGTCAACTCAACCCCTTTGTTGACCTGTTTAGATTGAAAATAAGTTTTCATAATGTTTTAAATAAGAATTTGATTCAATGAGAACTGAATTTTCAAAATGTTTTCTTCTCTGAGGCACTTTCTATACTTTATGAATTGATTTCTTGTTTATTTTTCAACCATTTTTTTCAACAAAACATAGGTTAGGATGTATGTTATATATTGGTGTTAATTATTACTGAACAATGTATGTGAGTGACAGGTAAAATTTCATTTAAAATAAATTCACGTCCTTCAAAATGAACCTTTCGAAATTTAAAAGTTTCACATTTTGATAACATTGGGTAAGACTGTAACGAAAGCCAAAGTTGTTTTAACTTTATATGGGGCCTTTAAATAGAAAACCATTACTGCCATATCTCAGTCACCCTAGTCTCTTTGCTAGAACTCCTTCTGTAATATGTAGGAAATCGAGCCCCTCCTTTCCCTAATATTTGAACAGGGAAGTGGAGTGTTTCTAGACTACATCAAAGAACCAGTTAGTTACAAATAAAAAAATTAATTAAAAGAATTACTTCCCCCATGTGGCAAGCTATCCATCTTGTACTATATCTGGACTGTATATCCATCACAGCTATGCCTCTTCGGATATTTTATTAATCAATGGAATTAAACACATTTTGTAAGTTTAATCTATTACTGATTCAATTTTAGGTTATAGAAAAATGCTAACTTTACCAAAAGGAGCTGCAAATATTGCTATTAATGAAACCAAAGGCTGGTACAACTTCATAGGTGAGAATCAAAAGCATTATACTTAATCTGGGATGCGTAAAATGTGAGTTTATGTAATATAATTGAAATATGGTGATCCTAGATATACCTCACCTTGTGTATTTGTAAATTTGGAGCTATGAAATTGTAATAGTTGCACTCATTACTCATTTTATCAAATATGTGTCTTGTCAACCAACTTTGTTTGCTTCAATTTAAGCAATTGTGTGGCATAACTTTAAAGATGCTTAATTCCATGCTCAATAAAGGGTTTACCATTGATGAGCACTGTTATAATGTATGAAGGTTCTATGTCATTACCAAGAATTGGTGACATAAACTATTTTTTAATTGTAGCTCTACAAGACACTGTTGACAATGAGATGTTCTACCTGAATGGTGATACCAGGCAGAGTTATTCAAGGCAATTTGTTGTGTATGGGACACGGTTCCAGTACCATAATAACGATTACCAGGAATCTCTTATTGCTAAAGGGCCTCTCTTAGAACCTCTCAATCTAATGGTAAGGAAACTGATTTCTACTCCATAGAAACTCCATACCATACTTATTATAGTTAGTTCTTGTTTATTATAACATAGACTTAAATGGGTAACAAAGAAAGAAATATGAATCGGGCTTAGAATTCTTGAATATCAATATCAGATTTTTGATGGTAAGTTGATATTTTTCATTGAAAATATTGGTTCAAACAAAATATCCTTTGCTGCCGTTTTAAGCATCTGCATATTGACACCAGAATCTGGATTTTATTCAGGCTAGCCCAGTCTAACAAGATACCTTGTTACCTTCAGTTGGAATTTGAACCATTTGAACAATATCTTCTATTCTTCTTTTACATATTTTAGATCTACCCTGTATTGGAGGAGAAGGTTAAGATCACATACTCTTACACTGCACCTAATGGGGAACTAGAGAAGTCCAACCAGATACCTGGAACAGAGCCCCGGTTTTCCTGGGAGTTCCACCATTGGACTAACTGTACAGAAAAATGTGGAGGTGGTGAGTGGATTGTGTTTTCCTATGAGAATATTACCTCTAGGAGGCCTTCAGATAACCCACATTGGCCAATTCTTTACTGCATGGCACTAAAAGACAAATATATAGATATTTTGGGGATACAGGTCAGAGAAAGTTTTGGTCAATTTAAAGATATTTGCTTACAGTCTGCACTATAAAATGCAACAAATTCCAGCTTTTATCCATGGTTTTGACCATATAGGAGCTGTACCTTGAAGGCTAGTTAAAAATTAATTGCGCTTTTTTATGACATCATGATTTCCATGAATTGACCTAAGAATCTTCCAAGCACTCTAGTTATCTCAATATGCTTATTATATAATATTTCTAGGGTATGAACATTCAGAATACCATTGTGTAGAGGAAAATTCAGGAGAAGTTGCTGACCCATGGAGATGTCGGAAAAGCACTAAACCCACAAAGTCACGCCAGTGTAACACATTTGGCTGCACTAAATACAGGTATGCATAAAAAAGGAAATTTGAAAAACATATATTCTCTCATTCGGGTTTCCCAGACCTGCTCTTATCAGTCATTTGCGAAGAAGGGGCGTGATTATCATGATGATATTCTCTAATCCAGGCATATGTAGGCTAAGGAAGGTACAGAAGGTCCCATTTTTTTTACAGAACACAGAATTTTCACTTAGAATTCTTTTATTTTTTATTTCATATTGTTGATATAGTGTATATATTTTTCATATGTATATATTTGTGATATTTTTCTACAATAGTATAATCTTTAACAGTATATGTGTATTAAAGCAGTTGATTATATCACAATATTGTTACATAAATAGAATCCAAAAAGTTTACATAAAATTGACAAAGGTTTTGAGATTACACCTATTAAGCAAAACTTAAAGGTAGAAAGCTGGGTAGAATATTTTAAGGAGGAGTTCCAGATCAATTGCATATAACAGTAACTTTACTTTGACAATAGTCAGTATGGAGTTGTGATTTGGAGCAAGCCCATATCATTAGTCTACCTTTCTTCTGGAGAGAAGAAAGTATAGATCATGACTTGGGCTTGCCCAAATCAAACTGCATATGGACTGTGACTTTGACTGTTTTGGAGGCAATGTATAGGCCTACTTTAAATGTATCATCCTGGACTTTTCAAAGTTTACAATTCTGATATTGCAGACAATTTGGATTTCTAGCTGCAGTCAATTGACTTTCATTATTCAGTTTTGCCTAATTGAACAATAGGAGCCATGCATTCTGTACAGAGGAGAAACATAATGACAAGTTTGCAAGAAACAAACACTTTTGATATAAAGATATATATAAATTATATCAGCAAAGCAAAGCAGTATTGCACAATTTGCATTTTGGTTTCAAATTATCAATAGGTGATCACATACTCCTACTTGTAAATCTATATAGGCATGGATAAATTGATATGTATCAAAATAGTTTAAGCCTGTATAATTTCATTGTCCATTGAGCATAACATATTTACAACATTTTCAACAAACAATTCTTCAACAAAAAATGTCCCAAAGTGATTAAAAACAACACATTTTCCCAACAAGAAAAACTGACCATTAACTAAATAGACAATCTAACTATACAGGCATTTTGTTTTGACAGCACAGTACAAGAAACTTGTTGTTAAACTATGACAGAGTATAATATGAAGTTCAAGTTAAAAACATACATGTACTGAATATAGAAGCTAATATAAGACATGAATGGAAACAGACATCTGATACCAAAGAACCAGTTGGGATGCTGGTTTTTCATGTTTATGACATTCTTGTGACAATAATAATGTAGCTACATCCTAGTTTGCCTTTATTTAATATATTTTATGTTTTATATTTACAGTAATTCATATAAGTATTTACAATATATTCCAGAGTCTAACAAATGCACAAATGTCTAAAAATACAAAGTTAACATTTATCATATATACGCTACCTCTTTTAGGATATTCTTTAATATACTGCAATGTATTGATATACGTTTTGAAAATTGCTATTAATACGCAAACACCTTCAATCAGTCAATGTAGGAGATTCAAATACATAATATTACATCTCAGAAATTTAATTGCAAGCACTCTAGATTTGAGATCAATAAAGGTTTGCATTGAAGATCTTCTGGCCTTACTTCTTAAACTGTGGATAAATCTCAAATCTCCAATGAAGATGTGATATTTTTAGCAATTAATAACAACAGTAACACCTGGGTATGTAAACACCTTGAAATGTGAACGCTAATTCAGTTACTCTTCAAGTGATATTTCATTGGCTTGTCCTTATTATGAGAACACCATTCAATGTGAACACTTGTTCATGTAACAGCTGGGTTCATACAGATGAGTTACACTGTATTTACAAATCTGAAGATGCTGTTTAACTATTATGATAAATACACACAGAAATGTCATGGTAACATTATAACAACCTATGGAATATAGTATTATAAATATGAAAATGAGAGGAAATGGTGAAATCCCCTCAAAAGGAAACAAACAAGATGCTGAAATTTTCTCACCTGAAACAGTGTTAGAGAAACATAAAGAATGACAAAAGTGGAACCAAATTGTGACTAATCTCTAGTGCTGAGGTACATGTTATATATTGCTTTGTTTGGAATTGTCTTATCCTTAATTGCAAGGCTGTTAATGTTCATGAATGCATTGAGGGTATTCCCAATTCTCATGATTTGGGTGTGCCATACAGGATTTCAGACATATGAGTCGTTGCCTTGCTATTTCCACCACATACTGAAAAATCAACTGGCCCAGATCAAAAATAATAGACTCAGGGCCAGTGTTAAATGTCACACCCTGCTAAGTTTGATGGTCTTTAAAGTTAACAGCCCAGTTATGGATTGGTCCTTATGAAGAGAGGTACCATAGATACTTGTGAACCATATAAGACCCATCTGTGTCAGAGTTATTCTTGAATGATGTCTCTAAGAGTTTCCAGCCTTTCGCATTCAAATCATGCACAATCGCCATTTTAGAACATGTGATACTTGGGATGTTAACTGATTTATAGGGAGCATCTATTTTCTCCAACTCCCGAATTGTTTTAGCAGGTAGTGGTAGAGTTCGTAAAGCCATTGTACTCCCTGACACTACAATCCCTCCACTCTTAAGCTCTGTGTTGATACTCTTGGGAGGGTCGGAATAAAAACGGTGAAAATAAGCAGTTTCCTCAAATTCGAGAAGTTCCAGATATTGCCCTGGTTTATTGCTCTCTCTGACTGCCGCAATCAGGTCTGGGATTTGATAGAAATCAGCCTCAGCCTCAAGTAAATCATAATCTGTGAATGACTTAGGCAAACATAGGCGATCAGACCGTAAAAAATTCAACACATGTCGGAAAAGTTCACCATCTCTGTCAATGAAGTAATTTCCAGCATGGTCTATTGTGCTTGTCATGAATTGTCCCCCAAACATAGCTCCCAACATGGACTCTGGGTACTTGGTAAGAGTGGTCCTGGTAGTTGTGTAAAGGGTCCCCCCAACATTGAGGACGATGACATTAGATTCTCCATTGTGGTGAGAATCCACATGGTTCATTCTTCAAACCTGAAAGTACAAAAATGAAAATCTTGAAATTGTATTATAGCTTTACTGTGTATGAAATGGAGCCATACACCAAATCTCTAACCTTAGATATTGATGGATGAAGATAGATTCTCCATTCTCCCTAACTGAACCCTACTCCTCAAAGACTGTGAGGGACAAAGCACAGTACATGTAATTGTTAATATTCATTGCAGTGAGTCATGCTATTAAAGGCGATATGCAAAATCTTATTTTGCTTGTTTAAAATTCAAATGAAACCTCTGTTATTGCAGATGGAAGGCCTCCGAATATAAAGAGTGTACAGCAACGTGTGGAAATGGATGGCAGTACCGCAGGATAGACTGCATAAAGGTGCAAGACAATAAAGAGATCAGCTTATGGCATGGCTATTGTAATCACACAGAGATACCAGAATCTGAGAAGACATGCAATATTATACCATGCCCTGGCAACTGGCACTGGGATGACTGGGGAACTGTACGTATAATTATTTTGTATAGCCTATTAGAAAAATAAAACTTATTGTTTTAACAAGGAAATGTGAAAGGCATTGCTATGACTGGAGAGCCATAAAGTATAAATAATTATTTTATATATTAGAGATGTTCTATATGTTCATTGATTTATTTCACACATTTCCAGTGCTCTAAATCATGTGGGACGGGTGTACAGAAGAGACATGTATTTTGTGGGCACAGGGCTAATGATGAGGATCATGAGTATGTGTGCACTGATGCCAAACCACCTGAGACTCGACACTGTAGGAGAAAAACCAAATGTCCCCAAGGTGAGAGTCCTCCCTTGTCCAATGGCTTAAAATGAGCTATGGAAGTTCACAAGCATTCTTACAAAGTATATACTGGTATGTTAGCCTATCCACTGATTGGTCATACATTTTAAACTCAACTATGATTGCTTTAGAGCCACATAAGTCCTTAAATGAGTGATAATACCTCAATAAGACATTATGGGAGTTTCATGTGATGAGAATTTATATGTTATTTTCATGATTCTAATTACAAATGACTGAAGTAGTTCATATTATTCACATTTTAATATGAAGATATTTGCACATTATAATAGAAAGCACATTCAAAATCAAATAATTCAATAAAATAGAATCAAAATGACAATTCCCAAATTTTATTTTTGCACTCAACAATATTTGAAAAAGAAAGTAAATGAACAGTCATAAGTTAATAATAACATTGAATTGCATTAATCAGATTGAATTTTTGGTGCTTTGAAACAATGCTTAAACAAGAAACCCACGGCCCCTGCGCTCAAACAGTGAAATGTAAAACCCAGTGTATGGCAAAAACTATTATTCACAAGGCTGTGAATGTTTGAAGTCAAAACTGCTAATTACTCAAAAACAAGGAGGACTTTAAAAACTCTACATTCATGACTATTGAGTGTTACGAATAAATAAAAATGTGCATATGAATTGCAATTTTACATGAATGATCAGTCATAAAACCTCTCATTGACTTTGTATGTGAGGAATGCCAGAAAAAGACGGTGTCCTACTTTTTTTTTCGAAAGCGTAAACACAATAACTCCAGGGTGTGTGTGAACAATTATTGATTTTTCATATATTTTTTTTTATCAGAGGGAGATGAACAGAAGTTAGTGAATGAATGGCACCACTGCTAAGCATGAATGTTTTTATTACTAAATTAGCACTACTGATATTTTTGTTCTAGATGGAAATGTGAAATCAACCAGGAAACCAAGGAGAAGAACTAAAACACCTCAGCCTCAACCAACCACGACTAAACCTAAACCAACAACAACTACAACGCAGAAGCCAACCACAACAACGCAAAAACCAACTACAACAACACAAAAACCAACAACCACAGAGAGTATTGCCACCACAAATGCTAGACGAACAACTACACGCGAATCAGAAGTCATTAGGTATAATGTACCTGCAAAGAAACGAGGTTATAACAGCTTTCAGAAAGTGCCTCAAAAGAAACCGAATCGGAATTACACAAAGAAAACTCCAAAAGATGCTGGCTGCAAAGACCGCTCAGCCTTATTTTGTAAAATAATGGCAAGTTCAAAATATTGCAAAAACTATTCAAAAATTTGCTGTGTCACTTGTCAAAAGTTTTTGTAAACTTTGATACCTATTACAATACTGTACTAAAATTTGGAAATATCGATGTCAGGGGAATGTGATGAATATTGTTACAGTTTAATAGCAAATATCAGACTGTGGACTAAATATTGTGGTTTCTATACTCCTTCAGCATGACAGTAGAATGTATTTCTTCTTATCTCTCCAAGTTTACTGCCACAAACAAGAGTTCACATGAGATTGAGGAAAGCAATAAAACAGTACTTATGTTGCCCTTATATTTTATTAATGAAGAGTGAAACATGTTTGCACATTATTAATTCGAAACACAACAATTCAGAGCGAAAAAGTTCACAATGGAATCTTTCCTAAATTTGTTTTGCCTACTGGGCCATCCACTTTTTCATATACTCTCTTATGATAAATGCCCATGGTTGAAATATTGACTCATTGTGACTTTGAGGGTGGTAACCTCGACAGTGATATGATAAACAAAAATTTTATTCTGTTGTCTCGTGAAAACCAGGGCAATTTCACAAGATGATATTCCACTAGCTATCAAGGCTTCATGGAATATCACTTTTGAAAAGATGCACAGGTATTTACCTCAATAGAATACAATATTTGTGTAACGTCCCCTTTACAGCATTTGACAGCATTATAACATGTAACAAATTGGAGGAAAATTAGTCAAAAATCTCTGAATATTCACTCTTTTGTTTTAAAATGATAACACTTGCATTTAGAGTATGTTTTGTAATAATTTATCTGTAACATTGATGTTATGTCTAATTTTTATGTAATTTGCAGTTTATGCCCTATGGGTATCTAGCTGCTTGCATTTATAAATGTTTTTTGTTAAAATTTGATTTTTTTACTTGCATTGAAAACATTGTTTATTTTTTTTACCAGGTCAAGTCATGCACAAATTGTAACAATTTAATGATTGCATGTATATTATTTTAAGAAATTAAATGTTAATGTAACTTATTTTGTCAAAACTTATTTTATTGAAATGTAAATTAAATTATAAATTATAAATGTATTATATAAAATGTTATTCATGGAAATGTATGTAACCATTATTTTTAACTTTCATGTAGAATCTGATAATATAATATTATATTAAGCTATGCATATGTATGAAATATCTAGTTGTTTGATTTATAATGTCAACACCATTTTTTGTGACGGCGATCGGCGGATGGTGGTCAATGGTCAGTGGTTGGCGATCGGCGTCTGTAACAATTTCTTACAACTTCCAATAACTTGACAAATACTGTTTAGACTGACTTCAATTTTTTTCAAAATCATCTACAAGTTTTCAGAAGTTCAAATCTGACTCTAGAATTCAGATTTGACCTTTGATAACCTTTTCAAGGTCAACAAAGGTTAAAAAGGTCTTTTTTGAACTTGCTTCAAATTGACCAATTCTTTTTCAAAATCATCTACAAGTTCTCAAAAGTCCAAATCTGAATATAGATTTGACCTTAAAGCAGATATGAAATGGTATTTTTGACCTAAAGGAATCAATATAATTTTTTGATAAATGTATTTAGACATGCTTTCTCATCAGTATTGTGAAAATTATTACACTCTAACGATCATTATAGCTGCTTAATAAGCAATATTCGAATAGGTTGTGATGATCTCTCACTGGTCTCCACATGGCCCATTTTTGTCCATTAAATCATGACGTCATAATGCCAAGATGTTTTGTTATCATATGGTTGCCGTAAACTTTACGTTAAGTCATGATTACCAAGGAACCAATAAACCAAAACTATATGTACGACGTTACTAATCACGTGGGGGCCAATTTGATTGATCAGTTAATTTCATTACGTTATTTATGACCATTCACAATTATCTAACATTTCTTTCTGTGTATCGCAAGATATCTGCGTTGGGCTTATAATGAAGAAAACCACATTTTTGTAGCTGCAAGTTGAGAAAACCTATTTCATTTGTCCTTTAAATGACATTTTCAAGGACAAAAAAGATTTGACTTTCAATGACCTTCTTAAGGTCAACTAGTCAACAGCAACGCCAAAGCTAACAAATCCCATCGAACAGCCATGGCTGGTATTTTTACAAACAAAGTATATAGCAAAAACGGCAGCCATTTTTCAAAATGGCCACTTTCTACCAAAAGTGTCATTAGACAGTGTACCATGCTTATAGTATTCACATACCAAATATGAACAAAATCGCCCCACTACTTTTACAGTTATAGTAGGATACGTTAAAATGTCAAAATGGCCACCTTCTACCAAAAGTGTCATTAGACAGTGTGCCATGGTTATAGTATTCACACATACCAAATCGCTCCACTACTTTTCGAGTTACAGCAAAAATCGTAAAATAATGAGTAAAGGCCGCCATGTGCTTCTTTAATATCTACATTTCTAGCTTTATTAATGTCCTATATAATTTTTTTACATTTAAAACATATTGCTATTACAGTTTTACGAATTGCACCTAAATTACTGTAAAATCAGCACTAAAACGGCCCCCATTTTTAAATGAGCGGCCATTTTGAAAATCGCCTTTCAAGTTGACCTTTTTTTGAAATCATCTACAGAGTTCTCAGAAATTCAAATCCGACTTAAGTTTGAACTTATAATATTGTGAGCAACTAGGTGGTGACATTTTGTCATGTTAATACCTTGTACTTAACTACAGGATACATGTAGAAAAATATAGCATTTTTAAGAAGAATATTAATTACTAATCTGGAGCTATTTAATTTGGCAAATTGGGCATTCGAAAATTGGCCATATGAATAAATACTTATCGCGACTTTCTAAGATCAAAATGGTCCAAGTTATTGGATTAATCAGACTGATCTTGAAAATTAAAGATTTAAACTGTGATGCACCACGTGATGAACTTTAATCTAACTTCATTTTCCAGATTTATTCTCTCATTAGAGAGTAAACTTTAAATTATGCTTTGTGACATTTAATGCAGTTTTGAATGTGATCTCAGCACGAGTATTCAGCATTACATAAAAGGCAATCGCGTGCTAAGACCGACCGGAATGCGTTCGCATTTTTTCGCCGTTCAGTATTTTACCGTTTCAGCATTACACAAAAAAGATTTTTAAAAATTTCAACAAAATGCGTGATTTGCGTGATATTTGATCATACACGCTAAATTGATGCGTGATTTCTATTTTTCCAGCAAATGCGTGACAATCACGCCTAATGCGTGAGGGTTGACAGGGCAGTTATGGAGATGATTTTTGGACGTCTTGATAAATATATCATATGAACAAATGGTTTCTCTATATCTTAACTTGAGCATTGCCCGGTAGGATAACTACCCATGAAGCCATGTCCGTATTATGATCAGGTTTCGAATTGTGCAGGATGTTGACAAATGTTGTGTAAATTGTAGAAATACTTTATAGACACCCTGGATATCAGAAAGTAGAACAGTCAGGCTCACTAACGGATTCAACTTCCGAAATTAAAAATCGACAAAACCGCATATCCCAAATTGCATTCCAAATTTGTCAATTCTCAACTTAAGCATTTCTGAAAAAAGGACTAAAAATAATAAGTTAGAGATAATTGGAATATGTAAAGCAATATTGGTGCCGCATTGTATTTTTGAGATTCAAACAATTTAATTGCGAACACATGGCAATAAATGCTAGAATAAGCAACCATTTTGAACAGAAAAGTGATTCCTTTGCTTTTACATTTACTGATTCTTAAACATTCAATTTATCCATTAATGTTACCCAATGAACAAAAGCCTTATTATCGTGTTTACTGTAATTCTGTACTTAAAGAGAGAAACATAGATTTGCTCATCAGAATTGAATATGCAGGTTTTAGATACGTTGAGCTGAAACATTGAGCAAAGTCTTTTAAATTTCTAACATGATATTTCTCTGTGGTCCCTCAGAAAAAATCATAACAACAAATATCATTAGTTTTCAGACGAATAGGATTCAGACAGGATTTGGATGATTGGGATTTGGACGAATGTAATTCAGATGATTGGGATTCAGATGGTTGGGATTCGGACGAATGGGATTTGGACCATTAGGATTAGAATGAATGGGATTTGGACAATCGGGATTCGGACCAATGGTGTACAGCCCATTTCACTGTTTTATTGCGTCAGTAAAACCCCAAAAATAAGAAATCAGGAGACCATAGTGCAGTAATACACAGGTATAGAAAAGTATATTCATATTGTACATGAATGACAATTGTATATTTCAGATTATTTAGTTGTTTATGTAATAAGCTTGTGCCCTCTTGTAATAAAAGGTAGCATTAAAGTTAATCAAAAGTACAAAAAAGTGGCAGCCATATTTTTTTGATAAAGTCTGGTTTCCTTATATGTGAATGCATTTCCTGACTAAAGAGCCATGTCAAAGAAAACACCACATTTAAACGCATTTTTCATAACTATAAATTGGAGGTGCATGAGTCCACAAAGCTAGCATAAAGACCTTGAAGTAAGGCTAATTTTTGAAAGTTTCAAGGAGTAGCCGTGCAACAGTCACACATTTGCAAGAATCCAAAATTTCCACAAATTATCTTACCTTACTAATGCGATGCCTTGGTCACATTTGCTTCCATTTTAACTATGGCGCCCGGCCGAATGAGTATTTTACTGCTGTAGATGTGTCTCTGGTCAAATATTTGGAAACCTTACACACTTAGATTCCTTTTTACCTTATATGCTTATCAAGTTTTCCTTTGGTTCCTTATACTTACAGTGCTGACAGTAAATAATAAAGGGTGGGTTTTCAAACTATGACACCACTGCCAGCTTTTTTCAAATAGAGTTCACAGTATTTCAGATGAAATCCCCTCTAGCCAAGTATTGGCTAGAGACTCGAGTGGGTGTATACTGTTCTATACTTAGGGGGAGTTTGAGACAGTTAAATGTTAAAATTCAAGAAAATATGCCAACTATACAACTTATCAATTAATTTGTATCAGCATTGTAGGCCCCGACTCAGACCTACAACTTGGAGAAGCTTAGTTCAACGTCGTTAAACTCAATAAGGGCGTTCTTTATTATTAGGAATTTTCTTGGGGCCATTATTGAGTTTAACCTCCATGCTATTCTTTCCTTTGATGCAAGTTGTGGATCTATCGAAACCACTTTTCCTCGCTAATATGACACTGATACTTAACAATAATATAAAACCACATTTCATCAGGCGATTTCACATAATATTATTGTGTTAAATGTTCATTTTTAATCGTAAAATGAGTCTTATTCTTACCAATTTATGAGACGAATATTTCAACCGGCAATGTCTGTCTGTGCGTCGCCAAAGTAAACTTCGTCAGCGAAACGAAATTGTTCTTCAATATTGATATTTATTATAACCATCCAGTATGACACGAATCTTTGCTTTATTCAAACAGCGCGTGTATTCACCCAAGTTTACTCTATTGTTATTTATAAAAACTTTAAAAAGCAATACTCGCGACATTATTGATGCATTTGATTACTGGTAATTTCAGCTCAAAGAAATATAGATGTCATTGATTGTGCTAGATTGTGATTGTGTTGAATAATTGTGCCTAAATATTAAATTATGGTAATTGTTCATGGTTTTCTGTTTGCAAAAACGTACCTAGGAATACACTCAATTGTTTATAACTGGGATCATGTATTTTACTCAGCATACATGCTTTGTAACAATTGTTACATTTTAATAACTTCAATGTGGTGATGTATTGTGATAAGATTACATGTAACTGGTTGTTTTATTCCTAGCTCTTAAATGTATGATGTTCTTAATAAAATTAAACAGAAGTTTTGTTTATGCTATTTTATAAAACATATTTTTCTACAATGATATTTCATTTACTCAATGAGAGAAAAGTTAAACACATGTGTTTATCACGATATTGGAGCAAGTAAATGTACTTTTAACCTATACTTCACACTTGATTTATCTCGATACCTCCAAATGATTTTTTCAAATCAACACTTTTCAGCTTTTTTCGATCTCATTACTCTAATGTTAAAAAACCTTACTTGATCGTCATTAAACATTCAGTCAAAATGATGTCATACTATCTAGTATTTGAAATGTACATGTAAAAGTACATCAAGAAATATTGCTTCAAATATTGTTGATCAATTTTGAAAAAATTTTGTTTTGGAAAATGTAAATGCTACTACGGGGAGATTCAACATATAAAGTCACAAAAAGTGAAATATGTTTTCTTGTATTGGACAGATAATATTTTCTTTTACATTATTTTAATTTGCATAACTATGTCATGCTATGTGACCTGAATGAGCCACCTGGTGGTGAAACTGGTAACTACCTACTCGCATCTGAGTTATTACAATGGGAAATCACTGACTTTCTGGGAGAGAAAACTTTGGCACAATATATATTTAAACATGTTAAGAAAAATATCTAATTATTCAGTATCACATGCTTGCGTCTGTCCAAAGATGTTGAAAGCTTTAGCATTTTAGCCAGAAATTTACCATAATTCTGAAAATAAAACAGGAAAAAAAGTAGGAAACTTAATCATGTTTATCGCAAGCCTCCTACAGTATTACAATATTTTGTACTTATATATAGGATAACCGGGGTTCGTTTCGTTTTATGAACTTGTTTCGTTCAGTGTTGCTAACGGCGGTTTATTCCTGAAAGGATTTGCCATTTCGATGTTACCGGAACCAGAACAGAGTTTTCTAAACTAAGAAAAAGCCTTCTCCCAACATTTTCATAATTATACATCGATGAGGTTACAGGGGGGTATGTGATGATTTGTATTTATTCATAAGGTATGTATGCATGCGTTGATCACATTATTTCTGTAACGATACCATCTTATTACGGTTTAATTAGTTCCGCATGTCGAAACCTGCTGAACGATTAAATGATCGCATCAAGGGCAAAATCATCATGGAAGTTAGACCTAGCCGGGGCCATAAGACATGTCAGATAAGAAACGAGGCCCAGGCTAGGTCTAATGTTGGACTAGGAGAAGCTGAACTTCACAAAAGGAAAAAAAATCTGATCTACTAGAAGTTGTCATCACCGCTGCTTTGTTATAAGTTTCGACAAAATAAACAATGCATTTATGTCTTCCTGAAATTATTCTTATAAAATATAGAGAAAGTACTTACCCTTGTGTTGTAATAAGTGTCGGAATACTCAATTTTATGACGATGACTTATAACAAAATTTCAAACCGGAAATAGAATGATGACGGGCCAGATTACTCCTAGTACACTAGACGAAATAAACTACACAGGTGGTATTACTCCACTATTGACGAGGCTTCATGATTTTGAAAAACATGTATATTATCCGAATTTTCAATCAATATCTGATTCATATAACTTTTAAAACAAGAGATGATATTGATAATAATCAACGGAAATGATGCAGGGCGCTGTTTCTAAATTGCAGGATTAGATTTTGTAATCTAGTTTATTTAAAACTGAATACAAACATGGATCTAGGGTAAATTATGAACAAAGTGAGAGAAAATTGAGTGCGAATTTTATTATTTTCTAAAGATATGTTAATCTAAAAAGTAATTTGTCATTTTTTCATTGGGGACAATTAAGACTTCTTCGTTGTCTCTTTTGATCGCACAAACTCTCTTTGAAACAAGAATGATTAGAACTAAGATCTCATAGAAAAGGTATCGACAAAATAAAAAAAACGAATGTATGTATAATGAAGAAATAAATATTAAATAAAAAATAGATATGTGTTTGTAATATTTGGTGTTAACTAAGATTAAAAATTGTCACTATCACTTTCATTTTTCAACAAATATAGTGTCATGTGACTCGGGGAAAATCAGATCTACGAGGGTGACAAAATTACATGCAATATGTACAATTGACCTACCGATCTATTCTTTACAATCTCGAATACAATATCTCCAAAATGGTTTATGATATGTTATAAATTGGTGAAGTTATAATGGATTCAAAGTACAAAATGGGTGAAAAAAGTTAAAATACTCCCAAATAATAATACAATAAAAATCTTTAGTTTTCCTGAAATAAAGTGTGCAGTGGGATTTTTAGAAAATAGACTTGAAAAGGAATGACATAAGCCAGAAATATTCTAAAATTGCTTTTTTGTCAGATTGCTCACTAGATCTGATTCTCTCTTCAATGTCAAATATAAATATATGGCATTTTATCTGATTGGCAATAGAGGTCATGCATAGATTGTCATGTGAAGATTATTTGGTAAATGAATGTCAAGGTCAAAATCCTGAATTTTATCAAGAACAGCCAGTGTAATAGGCTCGTCCGAAGGATTTGCGAATGGATGGGATGTATTGCTGACAAACCAAGTGCACCCAAGCAGAGCATCACCAGTGCATGCAGAGCCCAAGAAGCTGAAGCTAAGGATCTCGGGCATGCTCTCGGCCCCAAGAAAATTGAAATTTAGACCCTCTTTGGTGCATTCTGAGCATATCTTTACCATATTTGCATCATTAAATAAAAATCTATAATATCTTTTGAGGCTTTTATTCCAAACTGTGACTCAAAGTCACAAAAAGTCGGGTAACTTTATGGACCTTCCTAAGCTTTAGTAATATATCCAAGCTTGTTATCCCATTGAATCAATGATTCTATTTGTTAGCAATGAATATACTGGTGATATACTTTCATAATGTTTTACAACATATATCAATCTGTCAAATCATGAAATGGAATAAAATGAAATGGAATGTAACATGTTTCCAAAATGTGTGACACCCTGTATTTAGCAATCTCGTCGTCTGCTATTCGAGATTTTGGATGAGATTTCAAAACGAGATGTCACGTGTTCATGGCGGATGTTTTTAGAAACATTCGTTTGTGGTTTGACTATATTTTTCAAATTATGAATAGAAGGCCTGAATTATGTTGCCTTATTTTGTCATTTATAGTAACATTGGTATCAAAGCGATCTGATAGGTAAGTACACACGCTTTGCAATATTTATTAAGTCTAGAAAACCCTCAGTTGAAGTTTACTGTTGATCTAGGCTAGATCTTGAAAGTTGAAGATTTTCATTTCAATGAATCCCAAGCAAGGACTTATTTAATACCACAGGGGCTTGTCTGGAGTGTCCGGCAAGCCCTCCGATGAGTGTGTACTTCTTATTAAGAGTATAAGGGAGGTCTTTTTTGATGCTTCCTGAAATTTGTAGAAAATGATTGTTAGATATATCCTAGTTCAACGTCGTAAACTCAATAACGGCGTTCTTTACTATTAGGAATTTTCTTGGGGCCGTTATTGAGTTTAACCTCTTTGCTATTCTTTCCTTTGATGCAAGTTCTGGATCCTTCGAAACCATTTTGCCGCGATAACGTGCAATTGATACTTGACAATAATATAAAAACACATAACATCAAGCGATTTAACACAATATTATTGCGTTAAATGTTCATTTATACTCGTAAAATGAGGCTACACTTACCGATCTCTAAAATGACATTTCCGCATGTCCGTCATTGTGTCTGTTCGTCCGAGTGTTCCGGATCGTAAAATTTTTTTTTTTTTTTTTATAATTTTTTTATTTCAAAGAATAAGCATGTTAAAGCAATTGCAAAAAACAATTACAGTACAGTTACATGTAATCCTACATTTAACAATTTTACAATACAGTACAGTGGTTAAATATCTTAAGAGACGTTATACCATTGGCATTTTTTTTTTATTTATTTAAAGGAAAAAATCATCAGTTTCATTTGTTTAATTTTGTTTCCATGATTTTCCACTTATCGCCTCTGCCAACCCGTTTGTCCATAATAAAATATTCCTTCACATTACTTATAAAACCTTTAAGTGTTGGTTTTAGCATAGAATATTTGCACAGATAAACATACCTTTTAAAAATACATAGCATATTATTTAAGATGATTGTCTTCTCATTTATACTCTCAGGTCCTATCAATACATTTTGTTTAGTGCATAGCAATGTGAGCTCTAAAGGAAGCCATTGTTTAATGTCATTTAATACGGCACTTACAATAGTACATTCATACAGAAGATGGCAAATCGTTTCAGGATTTGCTTTACAAAAAGTGCAAATGTTTGACTCTACGAGTCCACACATTTTTAGGTATTTATTAGTTGCTAAAAATCTGTGAAGGACTTTATAAGTGAAGGATGATAACTTAGGTTCATAGTTACTCAGTTTGTTAAGTTTATTTATCTTCTTCCAATCATTTTGATTGAGTGACAAATTCAGATCTTTATTCCATCCTTCTATATATTTTGAATTATTTTCTAAATTCTGAACAAATTCCCAGTATATTATTTTACTAATCTTTGACTGAGTAAGGAACTTTTGTACGTGTGCTTTATTTCTTTCATAATCAATGGTATTCTGATTATTCTCCATGACGTCTCTTAGCCAAGATTTTGGAATAGTGTTTTTTAGACTCAAATAGTCTAAAAAATTAATATTACTGTGGAATTTGTCATTGAATTCTAAAAGCGTTAGAAGTCTTTTTGAATTATGAAATACCTCCTGTAGTACAATTACTTCATTGTTAACCTTTGTATTTTGCAGTATATATTGAACATTTTGATTTTTGGTATGTTTCCCCCATGTATTACACATAGCTTGTTCAGCTCTCAGTTTAGTATTATGTTCAGCTTCTTTTTCTTTCTGTTGTGTGTAAATTCTCAGAACATGAACAAAATCTCTCCAGAAATTATTCGAAATTTTTTCCTCAATTTTTTGAATTGATTTTGAATCATACATAAAAAGCTCGTTTCTTGATCTTACATTGATGATTTTTAAAGCAGTTTCTTGCCAAGAGCCATCTCTAAGAAGTTTTTGCATCCATGTAAGTTTGAGGGATTGTTCAAAGAGCGTTGGTTCAATCATTCTCAAACCTCCATCTTCAACATTTTGAACTAATTGTGAGAAGCTTACTTTTGCTACTGTGGAATTCCATATAAAAGAAGTAAACAGTTGTTTTATTCTTTTATGATTCGCACATGACAATTTGGGTAACACTAGAAATAAATGTACTACTTTAGGCAAAACAAATGATTTAAGAACCGTTATTTTTCCTAGTATTGATAAGTTTCTTTTTCTATATCTACTTATTACAGTTTGCATTTCCAGAATTTTATTTTCAAAATTAATGGATTCAATATTTTGAAGATCTGATGTTAAATTCAACCCGAGTAACCTAAACTTAGATTCCCATGTGAGTGGAATGTCTTCACACATTTTTTCTGAGTTTTGTTTACTTCCTAACCATATTGCTGATGTTTTTTCTTTATTAAGTTTTAACCCTGATGTTTCATGAAACTTGTCAAAAATGTACATACAATGTCTCAAGGAAGACGGAGTTCCATCTAGGAAGATAAACGTATCATCTGCATACATGCCAACCTTTATCTCTTTATCGAATATTTTGACCCCTTTAACTTCTACATCTTTTTTAATTTTTGAACATAAAGGCTCTAGAGCTAAGATGAATGCGTAGCAAGAGAGCGAATCTCCCTGCCTGCAACCTCTCTTTAATTTGAAAAAACTTGAAAAGAAACCGTTGTTTATTACGCAACTTTCGCTTCCATTGTATAAAATCTTAAACCATTTCAAGAAGCTATCTCCAAAATTGAATTTTTTTAGACATTTTTCCAAGTATACCCATTCGATACTGTCGAAGGCTTTCTCAAAATCTGCTAAAAGTAAAAGACCCTTTTGCTCGTTTCTATTAAGATAGTCCATAACGTCATACACAAGTCTTGTATTTTCAGCCATCTCTCGACCCGTTAAATATGCTTTCTGTTCCACGGAAATTATATATGGCAAAACTGATTTCATCCTTGTTGCTAAAGCTGATGAGAGAAGTTTATAGTCCGCATTCAATAAAGATATCGGTCGCCAGTTCTTAAAGTATTTTCTAATTTTGTTTAATTTTGGTAAACAAGTAATAACGCCTTGCTTCTGTGTGATTGATAGTTCACCTAAAGTATAAGCCGCGTTTAGAGATTTGAGTAGGTACTTACCAATATCCCTATAGAAGAATTTATAAAAGTCTACAGAAAAGCCGTCTGATCCAGGGGATTTACCATTTTTTGCATTTTTTAATTCAAAGATTAATTCTTTTTCCGTTAAAATACCCTCACAAGACTGTTTTTGTTCTTCGTTTAGTGATTTGATATTATAATCATTAAGGAAAAAGTCTATATTTTCATCAGCACAATTTACTTTGCTGCTGTAAAGGAGTTCATAAAATTTTTTCTGTTCCAGAAGTATTTTTTTTGGATCAGTAATAAGTTCTCCATCAACCTCTACTTGGCATATAAGTTTATTTAGAAAATTTCGCTTTTCGAGACTACTAAAATATTTCGTAGCTCTTTCTCCTGATTCGTACCACTCGACTCGGGCCCTTGTCATAAGACCTTTTACATAAATATCTCTATATTCTTTAATTTCTTGTTTGACGCTATCCAAATTTTCATATCTTTTTTCTAAAATGATTCTCTGATCGTCATCCTGAGCATCGCCTGAATTAATAATATTTTCTATTTCCCTTTCTATAACCAAGACCTTATTTTCAAGATCACGTTGAACTTTTTCTCTTAATTTTTTCTTTTCCGATGAATATTTAATAGTTTGACTTCTTATCTCTAGTTTAAGCATCTCAAAAAACAGTTGATCATTTATTGAGAGGTCAAAATCTATTTGGTCATTCTCAGGGATTCTTATTTCGTATTGATTTTTAATGTTCTCAATGGAATTTTTTACAATGGTAACATACACCGGATCCCTAAGTAAAGACACATTGAATTTCCAAAACCCATTCCCTCTTTCTGGCAAATCATTATTTATAATCAAAAGAATCGGACTATGATCCGACCGATAACTAGATGATATATCACATTTATGTGTTAAATTAATGAAATCTTCTGTTCCAAGTATAAAGTCAAGTCTTGCCATTTGTCGCGGTTTCCTTCTCAGCCAAGTGAATTTTTTCACTTCCGGATTCAATTCTCTCCAAATGTCAAATAATTCTAATTGTTCACAGAGCTCTAGAACCTTTTTTCTTGAATTCGGATTATTAATGTGCTTATAATTGAAAGTATCCAGGTCAGTGTCTAGAACTAGATTCCAATCTCCCATAACTAATATAGAAGCATTCTCAATAATTTCGAGTCTTGCCTTGAGATCGGTATAAAAGACAGGTGAGTCAGTATTTGGTCCATAAAGTGAGACCAATGAGAATCTCCTATCTTCTATCTGAATATCTAGAATTACAAAATTACCATTTGCATCAATATCACTATTGTACACTTTATATATGAGATTTTCCCTAATGAAAATGCCTACCCCTCTGCTGTTACTTTTGTATGAACTGATAAAGGCCTTGCTTCCCCAATCTTGTTCAAATTTCATTTCAGATTGTTTTGAAGAATGTATATCCTGTAAACATAATATATCTATGCGTTTTTGCTTCAAGTAATTAAAGACATCTGCTCGTTTTACATACCCTGCGTACAGAGTCTAGTTAAACTACACTCTGCCTAGTAGAGACCATATTACAGTTTAGTAGCCCCGCCCCCACGACGGGTACCGGTGACAGTTTGGGTAAATCACTTTTGACCTACACACCAACCTTCCACCAATCAGCGAGCTTGTAGAAACATACGCCAAATGTGTTCTAATTAAATATGCGCATGTCATTGGTCAATTCCGGGCTCAACGATGACGTCAGAAGGAATAACCATATAAAGAACGTCGGTCAAATTCGGCCGACGAACACTGATTGGCGCGGTGAGTTCACAGGTTTATTTTAGTTTGAAAGAGTGAAGACGAAGCTCTCTTTTAAGAAGTGAAGTCAAACGAATGCAAAGGGTACGTTTTACAGGATCGCAAAGCCCTTGACAGTTTACACTACAGAATTTTATCTTACCCACAATCTATGTAGTAGAAACATTGTAACTGCAACTGCTTTACTATGCTTCTTCTCATCCTTTTAATAATCGAAAAAAGTTTCATCCCTCCCCTTTCCCTGTTTGTCACTGTTACAAGAAAGAAAAGGCCCTTTTATGTTGCAGTAACCAGTGAAAAACAAAACTGCTTTAACTGTATTTACAGGTCACAAAGGGTTGCACTATAAATGTACACTTAAAAAAAGGAAGTCTTCCTTTACATGGGATATGCAATTTCTGTACACATACAGTACGCTTATGTTTGCACACACCTGTGTGTAAGCTATTTACAATATACACACATAATAAACAAAATATCTTAGAATAATTACGATACTTATTTACTTATTTATTATCGTAAAATTTAACTACTAGCGAAACGAAATTGTTGTCAAATAGATTGATAATTATTATCGCGATAAATCGCATTAAAAGATAAATTTTGAGGATAGCAGGTATCTTTGATTGATTTATATAGCGCGTGTATACACGTAAAATAGTTATTAATTGCAAACCTACTGTTTGTAAATGCAGTGCCGCGATGACGGTTAATTTCTGATACGATTTGCAATTTCAATGTTACCGAAACTGACCGACATTTTCGTTATATTCCAAACCTGTCTCCAATATTTCCGTAATTATGCATCAATAGGGTCTAAAGGAGATACGGGATGGTGTGTATGTATTCATAAGGTATGTATGCATGCTTGAATCACATTCTTTGTGTAATATGACCATGGTTTCAGGGTTTAATTAGTTCCGCTTGTCGAAACCTGCTGAACAATTAAATTTAACGCATCAAGGGCAAAATGATCATGGAGGTTAGACCTAGCCAGGGCCATAAGACATGTCAGATAAGAAACGAGGCCCAGGCTAGGTCTAATGTTGTTGGACTAGATATATCCTAGACTGTATCCTTCGTCTGAATAAATTCAGACTGTAAGTCACCTATTGTAAAATGTGGTGTTGTATAAATGTTACAAATAAGTTTGTTTAATGATAAAATGATTACCTTATAAAGAACTTACAATATTATTTTTTTGTATATTGTCCTCTTACTGAAGATATTCAAAAAATGTACAGACGCTTCTTGTAGCGAAGCCATTGATTAGGTCAAGCCATTTTGGCAATGCCAATTCTCACGATAAACAAGATTTAGCCAGTGACGTCAGTCTATTTGTAAACAAATAACACGTGGAGCGGACGGAGCAACATTACGGAAGCGTATTGATAAATTCCATTTGTGCGGGAATTTATTAGATCTAGTCATTTATTATCATTATCCTGATTAATTTTCGTCATTTATAGTAAATACAGCGGAAATGCTCATGAAGAAGGCCGAGGTAATCAAATGGTCATGTGTTTGAAGTTAAAAGTCAAAGTTCAAAAATTTGCATATCTCGTTTGGATCTCGTGAACTCAAACGTCCTTGACATTGATTTCGCGATCTACTTATGAACACATCCTGAAGTTTTGGTGAGTCTGAACATTTCATTATTTTATATCAACTTGTACCCCCCTTATACAAATATTTTTGCTTCTAGTTTAAGATGAACATCTCTTCAACATATTCACCAATTTTCAAGGTGAACATTCTTGTAATAAACGAGAAATTTATGTGCACAAAATATCGCCGCGATTTCCATGCCAAGGGTATCAATCATAACAGACCGAATATTATATTCGTTCTGTTGGATACATACTAGATATATCCAGTAAAAACACAAGGAATCCTTTAAATAATCGACATGCTGATTCAAACAACACTACAGAGCAAAGTTACCCAAAATGGTAGCAATCCATCCACTAGTTGTTGAGAAATCTGAAGAATATGTAAAGAAGTGATTAAAATACAAGAACCGGCAATTTTCACCTCCAAATTATTAGCTCTAGAGTCGATTTCTTCCTCAAGACACGTCCACTGTTAAAAATTGGTAGTTCCTAGAGTTATTTGTTTCCTTAGGTTCATTCCCCTATATTATTTTTAACGAAGGACAGCCTATATCGACTGCTATACGCAAAAAGATGCATGAAATTATCGTTTCGAAACTGAATGTTGAAAAATGGCTGACTATCCCGTGTTCTATGCGCTCATAGAAATCATCAAATCAGATGATTTCCAGATGATTGCCAATTCCCTGATTACAACATAATAGAGAGGTTTAGGTTAAGGTTACACATTTTTAAAAAAAACTTGTATGTGAACATGTTGAATTATGGTCTTATTAGTTCTTCTATTTGTAGTGTTTGATTGACCGATTGAGTATAAAGGATAGGGAAAATAATTGTAATTAGGTCCCTGGGAAAGTGAATTGAGAGCAAGATAGTGATCTCAGGGGGTTAAAATTACACGCTCAAGTTCTTAATAAGTTCCCCCTAAAAAATAAAAAAATAAATCATTGTGTATCTCTGTACATATTTATGAGTTAATTTGCGACCAGCGATCCCTCAATAACTTAACAAGTACCACGCGTGAGTACTGTTTAGACTGACTTCAAATTTTTACTCTGAACATATATAAACATGTAATGTTATGAGCTCCAACAAATTTCTGCCAATATCTGTTACCATGGCAAATAAGTGGACTTGTAACTATTTGCATTTAACTTAAAAGTAGTGTTCACATGTACATGTACTTGAAATTTTTACTGTAAATACTAAGTTATGACTTCTAACATATTTTTGGCAGTTTCAATTACCATGGCAATGAATATATGTATGGAAACAGATTATTTGTTTTAAAACACTTCTCACTTTTCTTACATCTTAAGATTGCATAGTCACATTGACTTGAAATTCACAAAGTAATCAAGAAATAGAAAACACTAGTGTTTTGGCAATATTGGTTACCATTGTATGCAACTTGGGTGATGATATTTTGTTGTCATGTTAATGACTTGTTATTCTTTTGAATTGATAGGTTTTGGTCTTTAATTGGAAGGTATGTGAGTAACTTTAAGTAATTTAAAGTATGTAAATGGTGATTAAATATAACTGCTATATCTAGATATTTGATAAATAAGTTACATGTTACCATAGTTACCAGCTGTTAGGTTTTGGTTTGTATGCTAAGTATTTAATTGATGTGTGCAGAATAAATTGAGATTCCAACTATACAAGTGTAACATTGTGATTGGAGGATCTAAAACATCATAGTTTTCTCTTTTCAGTATTGATTTTGTCATTAATAAGAAAAAATTAATGTCTAATAAATGCCATACTTGGGCAGTTAAAATGTCTAAATAGTTGTAATATACCTGAATTGACATATACTTTAGACATTGTTGTTTTACTTGCAATAGATGCATTTTCAATCTTTAAACCTTAAGTTCAGTCCGTTTATGTGAGACTGTAGGATCAGACATGTGTTTGTCCCTCTATCAATCCAACAACATTTTGTTGTCATTGACCATTGCTGAGAATCTGATATACATGCTCTATTCCAAGTTCTACACTTTCCTAATGTTGATTATATGTCTCTCATACCCTTCCTATTCATTCATAATAATACGACATAAGATCAAAAATCGACAATTGGACAATTCTTCTCCACACAGAATGAAACAGGTTAAAGAAAAGCTTCCTGTCTCCTGTAGACATCTGTTGCATTATACACTGTCATGTCAACTCCTTAGAGGTCTCCATATGGGAGATTACTTAAGTCTATTCCTTCACTGCAATTCTTTGATAAGTTAGACATGCTTTTAAATGGCCATCCTGATTTGATGATAATAAAAATACTTTAATAATAATAATCAAAGCAAGTGTGTCATTTTTGCAATCCACGAAAGGCCTACTACACCCATAACCAAACTCTACCTATTAAGGATACAACTTGACCATTTTAAATAAAATAATGTACTTTTCTTTGTGAAAGGAGGAGGGAAATTAGCGCAACAGATTTTGGACAGTCATATTTTGGATTTTGGCCATTTTCTGAGGATTTAAACAATTGCATGTGTTAGGCCAATGCATTACCTCTAGGAAAATCACTTCTAGAGATGATAAAATAATTTCGACTTTGAGACAGGGTAGATGCAAACAACCCACCCACATGTTTTTTATGAAATGTTTTCCTAATTTTCGACCCCTTCCATCCCTGCTTTTTTAATTTTTCTTGCATCAATATGTTGCATTTTGACACATAATTAACCACTTTAAAGGAATAAGTGATTCCTTCAGGGGTTTTAAAGATACCCATTATGGGTGACCAAACTTAGCTGAAAGCAATGATTTTTCCTATGGGAAAATAACATGGGAAATATTGTTTTCCACTTTATCTAAAAGGAATCATTTATTCCTTTTAAGCGATTAACTGTGTGTCAAAATGCAACATATTGATGCAAGAAAAATTAAAAAAGCAGGGATGGAAGGGGTTGAAAATCAAGAAACTGTTTCAGAAAAAACATGTGGGTGGGTTGTTTGCATCTACCCTGTCTCAAAGTCGAAATTATTTTATCATCTCTAGAAGTGATTTTCCTGGAGATAATGCATTCGCCTAACATATGCACCTGTTTAAATCCCCAGGAAATGGCCAAAATCAAACATATGACCGTCCAAAATCTGTTGCACTAACTTCCCTCCTCCTTTATGCATAAAACTATACATTAGTTTTTAGTTGTTGTCAAACGTTATTATCTGAATTATTATCAGATTATACACTGTATGTATTTTTATATATGAAATGAATTATTATAGAAAAATTATACAATTACACTTTTGAATTCTAAGATGTTTAATTTTCATTTGCATCAGGTTCGAGATGACAAGACCAAAATCAGTTGATGCGGCAGTCTAAATTGCTAAATTTTGCAATTAGTATAATTAGTTTATACATAATTTAGAAATAAACTAAAGCCAGATAAACTATGAAGTACACCCTTCATGTCCTTGTCAAAGTTTGTACATATTTATATGATTATTGTTATAACCTTTAAACTAGATTTAATAAACATCATAAATTCTCTCATTTTAGTGCAAGTAGTATCACAAGACCTCAACCTCCACCACAGTTTTTCTTTCCACGCAACTCTGCCGTAAAAGATTTTCCATATGGCCAAATTGAACAGATTGCAGACATGCTGCAAAGGGAGGAGGTCCTGTTTATCATGTTTTATGCCCCCTGGTGCTCAACTTCACAGTCGGCAAGGCATGATTTTCTACAGGCTGCAAAATATATGGAGAATGAAGTAAGTGTATCATTGTAACATTAATGTGCTTATATAAGGTTATGGCTTTTCTTGGAACTGTATCTGAGACTAGATTTCCTTATATGAGGGTCAGTGAGAGACAGCAATTACAATTAATGCCTTTAAACTAATCTTTGTACCATTAAAGTAACCTGAAGCATAGCATTTTGAGTTGTCTGAATTTTGGCATATAAAATATTAATAAACATGGTTTCAATAATGTTCTTATTCCAGATCAAATTCAAAGCCAGACTTCCTGCTTTTCAGACCAATACCTTAACCTAAAATATTAATAAACATAATGTTCTTATTGCAGATCAAATTCATAGCAATCAACTGCTGGTGGAAGAAAGGAGAGTGCTCTGAGAAGTTCCGTATCATGTCATTCCCTGTTATCTATGTGTACCATCACCATACAACAAATGGCTTCCACTACAGTGGTATGTTCAATGGATTTCATTTATTATTTTGTACTGTACAAATTTACATCTTGTTCATGTAAAAGGGGGAATCAGATCAAGTGATCAAACTTTCCAAGAAATTGTTTGAATTTTGTCACCCCAGTATAGGTGTGGTTCTGCTTTTAAGTACTTGCATTTCATTTGTGACACTTGACCTTTTTGTGTTCTTAGTGATGTGTTATTTTTATCTAGAAATGTAAAAAGGATATAGTCAGTCCATAAATTTACATGAGGGGAGAAGGTCACATGATCAGGAATCTCTTAGCAAGAGGATTGGAAGTAAAAAGTGAATCATGAATCAATTCCTCCTTACTCTCAAATATTTTTAACCATTTATTTAATTATTCTATGTACATTTTAGATTAGACTTGAACCTTCTGCTTGACTATCTTCATTACATGTACAGTAATTTGTTATAAAGTGTGCTTATTGTTCTTTATATTGTGTTGTGTCTGTAGGTCCTCTCTCTGCAGAGCACATGATCAGCTTCTTAGAGAAGTTCCTATATCCTCTCACACACATCCACTATGAGCAGGACGCACACAGCCTGGTTGCTCAGTATGATGTAAGTTCCTCATATAAATATTTGCGATTATTTTAGAGTTTGGGAATTTCAGAATTGCATCAAAAAAGCAGGAACTTGAGATTTAGAAAAGTCATGGTATTTTAAGGGAATGAAGCATTACAAGTTGAAAATCAGACCATAAACTGAAAATATTTCAAAAAATTATGCAATGCAAAAAATACTATTAGAACACAAACTCAAACACAAAACTACATGCAGTCAGGGAACTTGTATTTTATCATTTAGGTTAACATATTCATGAGCAAAGAACAAATTTGGTTAGGGAATTTCAAGCGTGAATGAAGGAAACAGGGAGTTTAGATTTGGAAATGTTGTGGCAACCCTGTAAAGAACCATTGTTGGAAGCTGCTTTATTTATTTTTTGATATTGAGACTTCACTTGAAATAATCAGTAGATGTGGGATTTTGTGCTTGTGTGGCTTTTGTCATTTTTAAAAGTTTAAACACTCAAAGGTTAGCCTTGATTTATGTTTTATATCATTCTTATAATTTCTTTTTTCATCTGATAGAAATACCATGCAGAAATATCATGTTTTTGTAATAAGGTGTATTAATAGTTTAATGTTTCAGAACACAGCATTTGGCTTCTTTGACTTCAATGTATCTCCCCAGCCTCCTGGCTTTACCAAGTATTACTATGCAGCTCTACGTACACTTGAACAGAGTAAGTAGAAAAACTGTACATTCATATTGACATATTGCAGTCCTATAGATCTTGTTTCACATCTTGAAGTATATCCATTCATAGAGCAAATCAAAATATGTTATTGGCTGCTTCTTTGACTCGTGTTCTTCCATTATTCGTTGAGAAACATGTAATTCTTATAAAATGTATTTTCATCCACTCTAATCTATAATTATTATTACATGTAATTAGAAAGGAAAAAATGAAAATCAGTGATTTATATTTTCTTCAGACCCTGTTCAGCATGTGCAGTTTGGTGTTATAACCAACCACCAGTTGGCGCTAGTGTGGGGAGTGGAAGTGGCTAACTCAATATGGCTGGAAAGAAACTTTAATAACACTTTGGTAGGTGAAAATGAAATTTGCATAATGATGAAATTGGACTGATATGAAAAGGGATTTTGGAATTAGAAAAAGGAATAGAACTCCTTTTTAAATTTTTTGACCAACCGTAAGTAATACTATGGACATGGTTCATGCATCACATTTTATTTCATTCTTTGTTTTGTTTGTTATTTAGTCTATTAATTTTCAATGCCTGATAACTTGATGAATTTCATTTCAGATGTACCCAGTAAATCTAGACAATGCTACAGCTAGTGGAATCGCACATTGGATAGGACGCCATAAACAACAGGTACCAATACTGGGTTAATAAATAAAGTCAAAATTATTAAAATATCGCTAGCCTTTATCCTTGCAATTAACAGGGTATTGCACCCAAGTGGGAATTTGAAAGTTTCTTTTACTCCGTTGAGTAATTCATGCGTGACATGAAAAATATGGTGCATTTCTTAAGATCCCAATAAATCATAATTCACTTTGAAACATTTCTGATTGACACAGTTAAGTAGAATCTATTAGAAAGCATTTTAAACCTAAGATAGGGAAATCTGCTTGCTCAACAGAGAAGAGGATCATAAATCCACCCCAAGTTTAACAAGAAATCCCCTTTGTTTTAGCCGCTAGTGAAAGTGTTAACACCCCCTGGAATGAAGAGTCTGCAATTGTCATCAGAGATAGAGAAAGGAGCTGCTGTTATATTGTTCACTCCTATCAACCCTATGGAGGATATTAACCAATATATATCAACTGTACGTATATATCATTATTTCCTTCAGGTGGGGATACCTTGAACAAAGGGTATCTTAGATATATGAACTCACCACCAAGAAGCAGTGCCATACTCTTTATTTTTTGCCATCAGCGTTTGAGTCAGTATTCAGAATCTGAAACAATTACTACATTTTTGCCAAAATTTTGTGTGTTGTCATTCTGTTGTGTTAGTGCCTTGTTGCTAATATGATAAAGAATCTGGTTTTTTGAAATAAGAAAAATACAATATTATTCCAGCTACGAGAGCTTGTGTTTGACTACAAGAACTGTTACAATGACACTGACATTAGGGGCCACATTTCAACCAGTATTCGACAACGTCTTACCTCAATACGTACCCTGCTCCACAATCTAGGACACTGCCCAGAAATTCTAAGTAAACCTAAGCCAGTTGTTGCGTATAGTAACACATGTTGCCAGAGTTATATGGCCAGGTCAGAGCAGAAACAGAATGTGTGCAATATATGTGTAAACCAAGAGAGGTACCAGCCTTTCGCCAATAATATGCAATGTAATACAAAACAAATGGAAAATGTGCAGAGTTTTTGCGGTGATTCTGCGACTCATGAGTGTTGGAACATATTAGAACATTACAACCCCAATGAATACATAGAACTGTGTCGTGATAATGTAGAAACACAGTCAAAAAGAATATCACCCAGGATGCTTAAATCTTTATTCAGGGGCGATAGTTATGTTAAAAATGCCCAAGAAACGAGAACGATAAAAAATTGTGAAAAAATAAGAATAGCAAAACTACAAAAGTGTTTATCCATGAAAGGAACAATGGACTTTTCAGCGAAAGATTTCCCAAAATTTACTGGACTTGGTTGCAGGACTAATAGGACTCTGAACTTTTACGTCATGGATACTAAACACAATGCTGCTTATGCAGACAGATACGGAATGAATATAGAGGGAGCTGCGGATAGGACAGGAATGGCTCTTGTTGACAAAAAGGTAAATACTAGGAAATGTAACAGTAACATAACCATTTCAATATTATCTGGAACATTCATTTAGTTTTCAAAGATAATTGGCAAAGATACCTTTTGCTTCAGTTCAGTTGAACAATGAGCATTAATTTCTTACAAATTGTTGTTTGCTCCAACCTCTGTACTTATTCTTTGAAAATGTTGTGGATATTACAGACTAGAGATATAGTTGTCATTACCTCACTGAACTTGATTGTATATGTGTATGTCATAATATGCTTGAATATGTTTTATCTGCATATTTTCTTCAAAATTGAATTTGCTTTCACATTGTTTTTCATTGACAGTATCATATCATGCTAGCCATTTATATTGTTGTGTTGTAGCTTTATTCATGGTACTGTATTGAAAATCTAGCACTGATTAATTCTTGTACAAAGTTATTTGACTTATTTTCAGGATGAGTCTAACTTTGTGCTGAATACTAATATCACCAAAGAAAATATAGGTAGGTGAATATTGAAACATTAAGAATATATTAAAAATATAATCATTTTTTGTAATTAGTTTTTTTTAATTTGTTAATGAAAATTGTTTTACCAATCCTGTCAAATAGCAAGAGAAGTTTTAAGTTATTTGTTTAGCTTATTTTCCACCTCTTCTCTTCCTCAGTCATATACACTTATATATACATGTATACCCCAGTTTTTATGTCACCGCCAGAAGTGGTGACATATTGTAATAGTCTACAGCTTTTTTATGGATGGTGTTTGGCAGTCCAGTCAGCGTTCGGTGCCTGGCATCTGTAACAAATGGAAGGTGGTGACATTTTGCATGTTAGCGCCTTGTCTCATATTGAAATGAACGCAGTTTTTAATAAGAGATGGTTTAATTTGCTTGGTTTGATATATTGCTAAACTCAAGGATCACATCTTATATTTTCAGTGAGTTTTATATTGAACTACACAGAAGGGAACCTACATCGTCACCTACGCTCAGATGACCTCAATACACAAGACTGTCACTACAAAGACCCAGAGCCTTGCATTGTTGAGGTCACCTCAAAAACATTCCGAACTATAGTTCTAGATAGCAAAAAGGTAAATAATATGTTGGTTAATTGTTTTGGGAGTTGTGTTTTAAATGAAAAAAAATGTTTTCAAAAAATTGTGAGGTTGCTGCCATGTTTTTTGTCAAATCCTCACTAATAATCATCTGTGTTACGTGAAAAATCCATGATCAATCTAAAATTTTCTTTACTTTTTATCAACTTCTTTTATATTGACGCACCGCTTTGCCATTTTAGAGTAAAGTAAAAAATGAAAAGCCCACGTGAGCTGGTCATTTTCCTGAAATTCCATGCTTAACACTGAATCTACTCCTCATATTTATTCAAAACAAATCATTTCTATTTTAATATGTCTCACATATCTTGTGTTACACTGGTTGCAGGATGTATTGCTGCTATACTACGCCCCCTGGTGTGGATTCTGTGCTAGTCTTGCTCATGTTTATCTAGCACTAGCTCGATATTTTCACAATGCTAAAGACATAGTCTTTGCCAGGTATGGTTTATTTTACATAAAAACTCTTCTGGCCATGTTCATTTCAATAAAGCATTTTGAATTTGACACATTGTTTTCTCAAAAATTACACAAAGGTATTTTTGGTTTTTTGGGTTTGCCAGGATAGCTTAGTGAACATGTGACACTTGTATTCAAATTAACCATTGTAATCAGCATAGTACTATATTTGTATATGCAGTCTATAGAAATGATTTGGAACTGGAAAAGTCGAGGAGTGATTTTGTTGAGAAATGTGAATATTTAGAAACATATTAAATTTTCCAATGACATTTTGGCTAGTAAGCGGCCATTTTTGTGTGTGTAATTTTACGTTTTTGCTTTAACTGAAAAAGAAGTGGAATGATTTTGTCAAGATTTTATATGTGAATACAAGACACATTAGAAATTGCCTATCATGTATTATTTAACAGACTTTATATGGAAATTTGTATCAGTACAGGAATGTTTATTTTTGAAATTCTTTTTATATATTTTTTATATTTTCAGAATAAATGGTGATACCAATGACCTACCTTGGCAGTTTACTGCTGATAAGTACCCCAGTATACAGTTCTACCCTGCTAGAAGGTAAGTAGTATGCTTAGTGTTGGAAGCAAGGTCTTGACAGTTGACACTCAACATATGGAAAGGGTTTATAACTGTGGACACATTTTGGATGATAGGCAAACAATGATATTTATTCTATGTACGTCTGATATAAGATATCCCCTAATGCAAATACTGTACAGTCCAAGATTTTTGTGAAGGTATTTATAATTTAAACACATGTGTTCAAAATTGATTATGTTTTAAAGTTTCAATTTTTTCTAATTTCAGAAAAGCTGATAGTGTGTCATATCCAGAATTCCTTCCTAAGACTTTACCAAACCTCATCAAGTTCATACTAAAATATTCCACTAAATCCTTAAAGCTACAAACAGTTTTAGGCACATGTACTCAGCCCTGTGTGCAACATAATAAAAAACTTGTGAGGCAGCGTATACAGAATTTAGCACAGGACATAGAAATGTTAAATAATCGCAGAGACAAGTTTAAGAAACATTTAAAAACTATTGACGCTGCTCAAATAGATGATAGTGCCATCATAAGTCACCAGGAGTATATATCAGTGCTACATCGTAGAATCGATAAACGGCAACTGCAGCTAAAAAATTCCAAGAACTTGCTCAAAGTCTTATATGAAACGCAGGATCGTTTTATGTCTGAGAAACAGCTACACATATTAGTGGAGAACTATGAAACATACAAATCTAAACTTAAATTGAAATCTAGTCTTTCAACTGAAACAGCAGAACATGATTCTCCTCAAAATACAGGAAAACCTGACAAGAAATCCATCAATGTTGATATGAAAGAGGAATTATAATATATTGCCTGTACACAGTGCTAGGGAAATCGGAGGCATTTTGGCAAACCAATGGCCAAGATGGATGGAGTACTTAAGGGGTGGATACGCTGGTATGCAAAATGCTTGAAACGGCGGCAGAACGGCAAGACTGCTTGAATTGAAATGGTTGAAATAAAAGTGAAAATAGGAGAATTGATAGAAATGCTTGAAACAGTGAAACATGCACAGCACACGAAACTGTAATTTCATTTTCCAAGACATATCGATTGAAATGATTGAAACGGTTGAAAAGCCTAGCCGAAATGCTTAAAACGAGAAATGTTCATGTTTGTTTTTCTTTTCAACCGTTTCTTCCTTAACTGATTGTGTGATTGAAATGCTTGAAATGGCGAAAACAAGCACAAACAGCGAAACTAATTTCATTTTCAAAGACGATTGAAATGCTCAGATTGACGCAAGCATTGAAATGTAGGGAATTATGCACGCATTGAAACAATTGAACTGATTGAAACGATTGAAATGCAATTCACAGTGTATGTAGGGCTTAAGACTCTGTAATGACCTGGTACATTCTGTCTTGTTGTTTTACACTAACATACTTTGTTGGCCATCCAGTATATTTCAAAAACATTGTTACCAAAGAGAGTCATGAGAAATGTCCATCTTGTCCCATGCTTAATCTTGCCATCAAGGTTACCTTACACTATTTATTTAAAATGAAATAAAAAGCTATGAGTGTCAATGATATTTGTTTCTAGTTTAATGACAGTCATGTTATAATTTGTAGCATGGGAAATGACTAGAATTGATCATGAAAAATGGATAGTTTGCTACCATCTTATTGTAATTTACCCTTTGCAAGTTTCAAATTCATCTCACACTCTATGTACATTATTGATATACCTCTGAACTCACCAATCCTGTCAGAGCCTGACAACCCTCAAAGACTGTGCTTCATATATTTAATGTAAATGTGGCTCTGAAGTGGTATCTGATTTGTTGAATCTTTGAATGTCAGACTGTAAAAGAAAGATTGTCTTTAATCACCCCTGTGGTGACTTCAAATTTTTTCAATTTGGCTATATTAAAAAACCTTTATGATTTGGATTTTTATTGGATAAATATGTACAATGGTGCAATTTTTTACCTGTCAGTAACAGATGTCAAAAATAAAATGTTTTATTCCATACTTGGTAGTGTTATAGGTAAATAACGTGCAGGAATATAATTGATATCTGATTTTGAAGTGAGCAAGTGATATATATATTTATTATATCATTGAAATCTTTCTCGCTTTCTCATTGGATAAGAACCGATCACATGATTAAAAATATTAGGGTGTATTTCATTGTTTCCTGCAGTCTCCAGCCGCAGCCTCGTTTTCAACTGTATATACCACGATGTATATACCACGGAGTATATACCACGGTAGAAAGTCCCGGGTGTTATGCCTTTGTTATGACGTCACAACAATATTGTAGAAAATACTTGGATACGCAGGCAATAAAACTTCATTGTTATGACGTCAAAGCTTATATTTGTAGTATAAGCATTGGTACTCATAACAGTTCTGTATCCGTTGCCATGTTGTTAATATTTATAAACCAGTGATGTCACAAGACATCTTGCACGTGCGACTTTTAAGGATGAAAGATGGCAATATCTTGCATCGGATAAAGTGGCTGTACATGTATCTTGGTTATTCTTATGTGTTTAAATAGTTTTAAAAAATACACCTAATTTGCAGAAAATTAAAATGATATAATAAATCAAATATTCCATTCTATTTTCGGTAAATACATGTTCATCTTTCCCTCAGGTATATACTGAGGGAAAGATGAACATGTATTCACCTCAATAGAATGGAATATTTGGTATATATCACCCGCTGATATCATCCACTCATCAGATCTACCCACTGATATCATCCACTCATCAGATCTACGATGTCACAAATTCAGAGAGTAGATACTGAGCCATGGGCCTTGACTATATAAACCCTCATAATCTACAAAGTATAGAATATAGAGGTTATTTAATGGGAGGGATGGAATATGGATTTTATTCCAAGGGAAAATATGATATTGGCCAAGGAAAATATCATATTGACCGAGGGCGATAGCCCGAGTGTCAATATGATATTTTCTGAGGCCAATATCATATTTTCTCAAGGAATAAATCCATATTCCATCACAACCATCAATAACCTATTTATTTCATAATATTTTTTTTTCAATTTTTGTATGTCATCATCCAATGATTGTGACATAAAATTATACAATAATTTCAATTTTCCAAACGATTTTTTTACTTCCTGTAGAGATGTGCTAGACGAAAAGCGTAAAACTCAAGAGAAATTACCGGGAATATTTCTGATACGGGATCCAATACGGGATCTGATACGGGATTTTGGCTGATACGGGATCTGATACAGGATTTTTCAAATAACACTTTTATTCCCTGTTATTTTCCCAGGGAAAACATGTTATTATGGAATAAAAATCAGTTATTAAATGCTCGATTTCTGATACAGAGTATATCCCTCAGTGAATACAATATATATTGTATTTTCCTCAGATATACCCTGTATCAAAAACAAAAAAAAACAAATGCACGACATAGACTATGACTCGAGTGTAACCATGTCATACATACTCTAACCCGCGACCCGGGTGGCGACAGTACATTTCACCAGAGTGCACCCTTGTAAGTACACACTCTCAACCGAGGGCACCCTTATGATAACACACAAACTACGATGCAACCAGAAAAGAATGTACTGACTAGGAAGCGCTCGTTTGAGAGTGGATTGACGAGGGTGCCCTAGGGTGAGAGTGTGCACTGACAGGGTGCACTCGGATAAGAGTATGTGATGACGATGGTGCACTCGGGTGAGAGTGTGTACTGATATTCCACTATTAATGAGTTCCCGATCACGAGATTCATGCAATGATGTACAAGTATGATCTACATGTACTTGGAAATAAAGCCCTTGAACTTAAAGATCAATGGTGATGTGTAATATCGTTACAAGTTGATAGTTTTTGACTGAAAAATTCACTTCCTATATTTGAAAGTAAAACTCATTTCGAGATAAGTATTAGTGTAAGGGTCGGTAAGTCCATGGGCATCCAAAATGTTCTGTGACATGGGCATTGTATTTTATTAACATGATTATCCCGCAAATTTATATTTACTTGATAGTCTACATTTTTGCGATCACATGTGGTAAACTACCACTTGCGTTGCGATCTGCGTTGTGACAACCCCGTGATAAGACCCAATGCAGGAGTTGCGCAAGCGCAAATCGTCGAAAAACAATTGCAGCGCAGACCCAAATCTTGCAACTAGCGCCTGATAAGGCCTCTGTATATAATATAACATACATTTACAAAATTTAAAAAATACATTTATTCAAAATTTTATTTTTCATATTAAAATGTTAACAAAAGTATTATAAAAAGTAGTATAAAAAATGACATTAAGTTCCTCTACCCTATGAACATGAATGAATTATGCAAATATTTCTTACATTAACAATAATTTGAGATTCAAATACAGATAAACATGGATTTATAAATAGATGCATTATCAAGCTGTAGTGACTCTCGTATCAAATAAGTAAATTGACTAACATATCAGGTAAGGAGCAATTATTCCGGCTCATGCAATGATTTACTATGAGAAATTGTGCTACTAGCTGGGATCATGTTTTCTCTTATGATAAATCAGATTCTCTTACAAGGTTTAGTTAAAGAGACACTTTGATTAACGAGAATGGGGAAGGAGAGTAATGCTGAAATTTATTTTCAATATTCACTTTAGAGATTTCCATTGCAAACAATTTTTCTCAATTTTATTTTTATTCTGTAATACCATTTATTTATTTTTTATTCTGTAAACAGTTTATATAAATCCGACGAAATTTTATACGGTACTGTAAATATACACGAGCGATTCAAATATATATATATGTGCCAAAAATTTATCAAAAAAATACAAGAACACAAATGTGTACCAATGGGTGATCCCATCAAATGGTTATCCTGAAAATGAGTAGACAAGACTTTACCAACACAATTTTAATTGATCCGTCACACAGTTAACTAGAAAACATGTAAACAAGACTTTACAGACAAGATTTTAGGATGGAAAATCCAAAATGGCTGCCTTGACATTTACCCAGAATGTCAAAAAATCTGTTCCTAGATTTTCATACTAAGAATCATCCCTGAAAATATGACATTGATCTACCAAATGGTTCACCTGAAAACGCGTAGACAAGACTTTACAGACAAGATTTTAGGACAGAAAATCCAAAATGGCTGCCATGACATTTACACAGAATGCCAAAAAACTAATCAGATGTAGATTTTCACACTAAGAATCATCCCTGAAATTTGAAATTGATCTACCAAACGGTTCACCTAAAAACGCGTAGACAAGACTTTACAGGCAAGATTTTAAGACGGAAAATCCAAAATGGCTGCCTTGACATTTATCCAGAATGCCAAAAAACTAATCAGATCTAGATTTTCATACTAAGAATCATCCCTAAAAATTTGAAATTGATCTACAGAACGGTTCACCTGGAAATGCATAGACAAGACTTTACAGACAAGATTTTAGGACAGAAAATCCAAAATGGCTGCCTTGGCATTTGCCCAGAATGCCAAAAAACTAATCAGTTCTACATTTTCATACTAAGAATCATCTCTGAAAATTTGAAATTGATCTACCAAACGGTTCACCTGAAAACGCATAGACAAGACTTTACAGACAAGATTTTAGGACGGAAAATCCAAAATGGCTGCCTTGACATTTATCCAGAATGCCAAAAAACAAATCAGATCTAGATTTTTATACTAAGAATCATCCCTGAAAATTTGAAATTGATCCACCAAACGGTTCACCTGAAAACACGTAGACAAGACTTCACAGACAAGATTTTAGGACGGAAAAATCCAAAATGGCCGACAATAAAAAAGTGATTATGTGTTTTTGCTGATTTCTTCTTACAAAATTATCACATATTACTACTGTTAACAATAACATAGGCTTTTACAACAAAGTAGATCTGAAATTATTTATAAAGCTACTAAATAGTTAAAGTATGAAAACTCAAAAACACCATTCAATATGATACAAAGTATTATCGTGCGCTAACTTTTCTTAAGACATTCAAAATGGCTGACATGACTGAGCTAACAGGTCCAAAACCTAATCAGATCTAGAATGAAGTGAGCTGAACAAGATGTTAAAGTTTTAAAAGCAACTGTGAAGCCGTTTTTCTTAAAGTTTGCAGACAAGGATTTTAGCATTTGACTTCAAAATGGCCGACAGGAAGTAGGTATCGAGTTAAAATTTTTTCATCCACATCTGTATGCACTCATAAGTTATCCCTGAAAATTTGAAGGTGATATCTGTAGCGGTTTTGGAGAAAACTCCCGGACGTACGGACAGACGGACGGACGGACGGACGGACGGACGGACGGACGTACGGACGGACAGACGGACGCGCCTAGGCCGACAATATGACCCCACACTATGTGGTGGGGACATAAAAAATGAAGTATCTACAACAATAAACAATGCCCTATAACAAGTGAAATGCATAAGATAGTGTTGCTTTTAATGTACAGGGTGGGCCAAAAAACCAATATCCAAGTTTAAAGATGAATGATTCATATGATATATTTTAAAGCGCTATCAAAGTGTCGTTGGTGTGAACTTAGCTTTACTACTGTTATTTTCTTATTTTTCAAATGGAATGTTAATAAGTTAAGGCACTGTAATAGATGACAAATTGCTTCTGGCTTATCTTCCTGTCCTGTGGTTAGTGTGTTAAAGGAATATTCCTTGCCAAACCATCTCTCTCCTCATATGGTAGCTATAACCATATATATGCTTGCCATGTTTAGCAAAACATGCAAAAATGTTTTGATATGGTCAAATTTGATCACTAAGAAATGTGATGCTCAATTCCAATAAGCTGCCATCTTTTAAAATTTCACATAGGAAGTGATGTCATCGACTCTCAACTTTGCATATAGCATTAGGCGAGGAGCTATTAAGAATTACAAAACCAGCTAAATATCGGTTTTAACTTTGTATCTTATTTAATCCTTCTGAAAATCTCTTCTGTTATTCTAAGTTGACAAGCCCTGAAAATATTTTTGCACAGAAAGTAATGATCACTTGTCTAGAAGTGATTTTGTGCTACTTTCCTATACTGTTATGGGCAAGGTTATACAAGTTGAGAGTTGATGACATCACTTCCTGCAAGAAATCTTAAAAGATGGCAGCTCACTGGAAATAAGCACTAGATTTTTAAATGATCAATATTGACCATATTAAAACATTTTCCCATGTTTTGCTCAATATGGAAACTATATATATGATTATAGCTACCATATCAAGAGAGAAAGGGTCTGGCAAGGAATATTCCTTTAATGTGTAAACATGAAATACATTAACATTTATCAAACAGATATCAATTTTCATCTGAGATCATTATCTAAAATTGATAATGCCTATAACTTGTACATATATTACATACATCTAGTGCATATTACATGAAAAACAGTAATGTCAAAGAGATGTAATATCATTCTGATGGAATGTGGTCATGAACTTAAAAATGTTAAAACTAGGAACTCTGCAGTAACTCCCCAGAGTAGCAAATCCCATTGAACAAACTTATATCAAATATCTTGTCATTTTGAACATAACATGATAAAAATAGCCAGATATCAAGTCCATATTATATATTTGAAAAAGGAAAAAACTATTATAAACTACTTTTTGAGTAGAAATCCATTACCTCTAAAATTTTGACCAAAAGTTGAAACCAGCATTTGCGTTACTATAAAAGATATTTCTCTCAGAGAATGGCAGCCATTTTGAATTCAATAGCTATCTTTAAAATTATTTCTTGAGTAGAGTCCTTTGCATAATAAGGCATCAGCACATGAAATCTGCACCAAACCTGACAACTGTTATTTGAGGTATATGTCAAAAATTATATTTTTTCATGAACAATGGTGGTTATTTTGAATTCAGCAGCCATCTTAAAAATTCCTTCAGGAGAGTCCTATGTCCCTAATATGGAAAGCATCACCATATTTTTCAACCAAATCCTTTGACTGGTATTTGGGTTATCACATAGGCTTTTGCCATAAAATCACTGCTTTATATTTACTGGCCTTTACTGTACCACGTGATCGAACAAAGAAACTGTCTAGCTATAAATATGGCAAGATGTTGCATCAATTTAAACTACATAAGCCTCATCCCAATACATGTTTCTAAGAAAGCATTGTCAGTTGTACAAGGTTACCATTAAAATCATTCTGAGCAATAGGCCCTTATTGAACCATGACAATGCACAATATTGGTGTACATTTCAATTTCTGCCACTTCAACACTGACACCATATGATCTAGTTAACATTACAATTCATTTCTGGATTTCTTTTCTTACTAATAACAAATTTTTGTAATCAGTTAGTAGTTACGAGACCTTGTGTTAGATTATACAGTAGGTTATCTGTGTACGCCACTAATCTATATACAAGTACAACTGTGCATGTCTTTTATGTACAAAATACAAAACACAACTACAACAGCAAGACTTTAATAAAAAATAAAGATTATAGTAAATATTTCTGATGGAACATTTTTTATGAATCAGACAAATACATGTAAATAGTGTAAACAAATACATGATTGAATGTATAAACGAACATTAATCAAGTTCTACAAGGATCAATCATCTTGCTTCATCATTCAAGCTTTAGACCTATCCTCATAGAACTTACTGACTGAGCATAGTAACTGCATGATCAATAGGGTTAGATCAATCCTTTCTTTACTGGTTCTTTGAGAGGTTGGTGTCACTACGAAGGCAAGTATTCGTGGGTTCTTCTTAGATCCTCACGCTGTCATGTATAATATAATAAACAAGTTTTGGTTGACAATATTCCAGTTTCACTTTTAGCAATTGCTTGAAACTGTTTTAGATTCAGTCAAAATATTCAATTGGATTTCCTCATCCATTTCTTAATTTACTGCTTCCACTGTTTCTACCGCTATATTGTTCCCAACACAAATAATGTCTCAAAGTTCTATGTCATTGTGTTCATTCCCAGCTATTGGTGCATCAAAGGAAAAACTGAAAGTACAACAAAAGAGAAGGCACTTATGAACAAAAGGGACCATGTATGGAATGGCAAATGAATTTAGACAGATATCTTTTACCACTATTATTTTCTCAGCATCACAGGCTGGTATCGAAAAATTTGTCCGCTGTGACGGAGCGTGCTATTTTGCACAGAAACACTGAGAAACCCACGCAATATATTTTTTTACTCCTATGTTTCGCTATACAGAAAATAACTTACTCCATGCAATGAATATATCATTTTCGGGTAATTTTAACATCTGTTTGAAGTCCAACAACGCTAAGAGTAAAAGCTATTGAAAACGGCGCCGGAGTATCATACTCCAAAATGTACCATTTCTTTTATTTCTTTTTAATGGTACAATATAGTGACACGATAATATTAACATATGTTTTCAGCATAACTCTGAAGGTATTAATGAGATCTTGATATATTGGGTATTTTTAATATTTTGTATAAAAAATTATGTTTAATTTTTCTATCCGCTGTGACGGAGCAGCTTTAACTGTGAACTACATTAAGAATTTAAAATTCAAATATTTTTTAAAAGTACCCTTAGAGGAGAGAACGTCTCAAACCACTTTCCTAAATTATGACAAGTCGTCTGGGAAATCTTGGGTAATGTAAATCTAAGATATGAAAATGACCACTCTTTTCACATTTTCGGAGGATTGTACTGAAATCAACATAAATCAACATGGTGTAAACTCAACATAATATTTCTAATACGTTTTCGCCAAAACGTCTTGGAAAGTCACATGTAGTGTAAATAGGGCTAATATGAGTTTATTCGAGATAGCGCACAGACATCCTGCATTCCGACAGTTGTATAACCTTTTACCACATAATATTACTGTATATAAGATGATCCCAATGCAGATTTAATTTGTAATTATTTGAAATTCATGCCTCATTGTTTTGCATAGTCTAAAAATATAAAAAAAAAAGTCTTGGTAAAGGTGCTGCACGGTAAAACCTGTATCAATGATCATCTTTCTCTTGTGAACACCTCTTCTTTTCTCATATTCCTCCGACTTCTGTATGAAACTGCCTCTATGGAGTGAGCATTTATCAACTGGGAACACATTTTTGAGGCTCCATATGTGTTCACTGTACACATGTTTTACTGTAGTTGCATCAGATAACCCTAACTATTGAAGTTATTCAAATAAAGAACAATCTTAAAATTAAATTTTGCATTTTCGTATACCAAGATACACTCCACTTACCTTTTGGAACGACTATAGAGGGACTATAGAGGGAAGTTGGATTGCAGTACAAACTGAGAAAAAAGCTCAAAGAGTGGTCATACATACATCTCAAAATTTGAATTGTGTACTTTTATTACGTTTCATTTTTCAGAATACTTTACGAAAGAGATTTGACACGTTCGCTCCTCCACAGTGTAGTTAAAGATATATTATAAATCTTGAATTCTTAACGTATTTCAGATGTGAAACTGCTCCGTCACAGCGGACTTAAAAAATTAAACATTATTTTTTATAAAACAAACTAAGAATACCCAATACATCAATATCTCATGAATACCTTCAGAGTTGAGCTGAAAACATATGTAAATATTATCGTGTCACTATATTGTACCATTTAAAAGAAATAAAAGAAATTGTACATTTTGGAGTATGAAACTCCGGCGCCGATTTTAATAGCTTTTACTCTAACCGTTGTTGGACTTCAAACAGAAGTTAGGGCTACCCGCACATGATATATCCATTGCATGCAGTAGGTAATTTTCTTTGATATAGCGAAACATATGAGTAAAAAAATAAATTGCGTGGATTTCCTTGTGTTTCTATGCAAAATAACACGCTCCGTCACAGCAGACAAATTTTTCGATACCAGCCTGTGAGCATAAATACAATATTTCTCATCAAAATATGTTTCCTCCATATCCATATTGTACATACGTATATCAATATTAAATCTCTTGTATTGCTGGACCCCTAGAAAATAACATGGGATATGTTGTTTTGCACCTCATTTCAATGCCATTCTCCTTTCAGAAGTTACTGACAATGAATGGTCTAAGAGAAAAAATGTTGAAATTATTGTTCACCAAATCAAGCCAATCCTTTTGCAGAAACTAATTCACATATCAAATATGAGCAAAATCACTCTATTGCTTTTGAGTTATAGCAAAAAACATAAAAATGGTGGCCATTTCTCAAAATGGGTGCCTTCTACCAAAAGTGTCATTAGACAGTGTGCCATGCTTAAAGTATTCACATACCTAATATGAACAAAATCACTCCACTACTTTTCCAGTTATAGTAAAAATGTCAAAATGGTGGCCATTTTTCAAAATGGGTGCCTTCTACCAAAAAAAAGTCATTAGACAGTGTACCATGCTTATAGTATTCACATACCAAATATGAACAAAATCGCTCCACTACTTTTCTAGTTACAGTAAAGAATGTCAAAATGGCAGCCATTTTTAAATTAAGCCACCTTATACAAAAAGTGTCAATAGGCAGTGTGCAATGCTTATAGTATTCACATACCAAATGTAATGATATCCAGTTTCTGGTATCATCTTGCTAACTGCCTTTGAGGTATTATGTTACTTGTACATGTGTGGGATTACAAATATACAACTTGGTCTTCTAAAGCTAGAACTTGTACTGTCCAGATCATTACATGGTACTGCGTGGTGAAATATTTAATAATACAATACAAAAAATGGATTATTAGCATAGAAAGGCCTAAAAATGATGATGAATAATATTCCGAAGCCAGAAAGGGTGGATTTCTCCAACAATTTGGAGAAACACTGGTTAAATTTCAGGAGTGAATTTGAGTTCTATCTAGATGCCCTTGGTGAAATCACAGACAAACAGAAGATAGGACTACTCGTTACCTGTGCTGGGCCCAAAGCCAGTCAACTGTTTAAGACATTCAAATTTGATAAAGATGAAGACTCTACAAATTATAAAGTTGTACTTCAACAATTTGACGCATACTGCATCCCAAAGCAGAACGAAACCTATGAACGTTATGTATTTCGGATTAGATTACAGAAAAATGGAGAATCCTTTGAAGAATTCCTGTCAGATTTGAAGGTGAAAATCACCACATGCAAATATGGGACACTGGAAGATTCTATCTTACGTGATCAGTTAGTAATCGGAGTCAACGATGACACGCTCCGAGAACGCCTATTAAGGCAAGATGATTTGACATTGACAAACTGTGAGAAAATTTGCAGAGCTGCAGAGCAAACCGTTGAAAGAATGAAGACATTTAAAAATGTTGAGACTACTGCGTCTGCGGACATCAACAACGTGACAACTACCCCAAGGATGATAACAGACTGTTCACAATGTGGATATGATCATGCTATCCGTAAATGTCCAGCGTACGGACAAACGTGCAACAAATGCGGCAAGAGGAACCACTACTCATCTAAGTGCCACATCACGAAAGGTGCGCGACCCAAGGAGTATGGACGGAAAAAGCGACAATCAGGCCGCAGAAAACAGGTGAACATTGTAAATGATGAAAATGAAACCGATAGCAGTGACTGTGAGTATTACATAAATTTTGTAAATGAACAACCTGAAGAACAGTACTCAGAAATCAGTGACAATCAACCATCACATGAGATCAATGTTGTAAATGATGACAAATGGGTAGCTCCTTTGGTGGTCAATGGTGTTCTTATACCATTTAGACTAGATACAGGGGCCAATGCAAACATAATAAACCAAAGTGACTTGAAACAATTAAAATGCCCCCCTAGCATATTCAACAGAAATACGAAATTGTATGATTACAACAAACAGCCTATTGAAACATGTGGGGTGTGTGTATTACAGGTTCAAGTAAAAGGCAAGTGTCACAGGGTCCACTTTGTAATTGTAAAAAACGGAATTTCGTTGCTTTGTGATAAAACATGTGACAAATTGGGCCTTGTGAAGCGTGTCTGGGTTGTCAATAATAATACACCTGTAAAAGAGGTCAAAGAAATGAAAATGCCTAATGTGAAGAGTCCTGGGGAAAGTAACATGCATCACAATAGCAAATCACCTGCCACAAGGGTGGATAAATTGATAAATGATTATCCAAGTGCATTCAATTCAATTAGCAAGTTTGAGTCTATGCCTTTCACATACAAGATATCTTTGGAAGAAAATGCACAACCAGTTATTCATGCCCCAAGGCATGTATCAGTGCCTATGAGAGGTAAAGTGCACAGTGAACTTTCAAGACTTGAAACATTAGGCATCATAAGAAAGATTAATGACCCTACTGATTGGGTTAATAGCATGGTAGTTGTAAAGAAATCAAATGGTGATGTAAGATTATGTGTAGATCCTACAGATTTGAATAGGTCAATCAAAAGGGAACATTACCCAATACCAAAAAAGGATTTGATTATTAGTGAGATGAAAAATGCAAAGGTGTTTAGTAAGTTGGATGCTTCAAGTGGTTTTTTTCAAATTAAACTCCACCCTGAAAGTCAACCCCTCACAACCTTTAATAGTCCCTGGGGCAGGTACTGTTACCAACGTCTCCCACAAGGTATATCTAGTAGCCCAGAGGTGTTCCATAAGGCAATGGAACAGGTAGTTGATGGTCTAGACGGTGTACGAGTATATATCGATGATCTGATAATCTGGGGAGAAAATGCAACTGAGCATGACATGCGCTTAAAAATGGTCATGGAAAGACTGGTCAAATACAATGTCAAGTTAAATAAAGGAAAATGTCAAATTGGAGAATCAGAAATTACCTTTTTGGGAGAGAAACTAACTCAAAATGGAGTTCAACTTGATGAAGGTAGGATAGATACAATCACTAATTTAGAGAGTCCAAAAGACAAAACTGGACTTCAAAGAATATTTGGGGTGATTAATTACGCTGGAAAATTCATCCCTAATTTGTCTGCAAGAACTACTCACATGAGGAAGCTTTTAGAATCTCAAGTTATCTGGAAATGGGAAAGCAATCATGAGCAAGAGTTCCAAGACATAAAAAAGGTCATAAGTTCATCCCCAGTGTTAGCCTATTTTGACCCTCTAAGGAAAACAAGAGTTTCAACAGATTCCAGTAAGGACTCATTAGGGATGGTTCTTATGCAACAGCATGGTACTGATTGGAAGCCAGTGGCTTACGGTAGCAAATCCCTTACAGAATGTCAAAAAAGATGGGCCCAGATAGAAAAAGAATGTTTGGGATTAGTTGAAGGGTGTAACAAATTTCATGAATACATATATGGGATGGATAAAATTGAACTTGAAACAGACCATAAGCCCTTGATACCAATATCCCAGAAAAATTTGAATGACATGACCCCAAGGTTACAAAGGTTGTTCATGAAACTGCAGAAATATGATTATACAATGATATACACCCCTGGAAAAAACTTGGTACTAGCAGACGCCCTCAGTAGAGCAAGTTTCAGAACAAAAAGATCAGAACCAAGAGTTTCAAAACTAGATATCCAGGTAGAAAATCAAGTGAACATGATATTTAATGAAATACCTGTCTCAGAGAACATAATGAGAAAAATCCAAATAGAAACAAAGAAAGACCCCATATTATCCAAGATTATTGACTATGTAAGAAATGGTTGGGAAAAGGGGTCAGAGAAAATATACTCCCAAATGAAACATGAAATTACTGTAGTGGATGATATTCTCTTGAAAGGGCAAACAGTAATTATCCCCAAAAGCATGAGGAAGGAAATATTGAATAGGGTCCATGAAGGTCACTTGGGAGTAGAAAAGTGTAAGCGAATAGCTAGAAAATCAGTATACTGGCCAGGCATTAATAATGATATCTCAGACATGATAGGAAAGTGCGAAACATGTCTTGAGCTGAGGTACAACAATGCAAAACAGCCATTGATAAATGGAGACAAAACAAAAGGCCCCTGGGAAAAGGTTGCAATAGACCTTTTCAAGCTCTTTGATAAGGACTATCTTTTAGTGACTGATTATTTCTCAAACTACCCAGAATGTGTTCATCTGTCAAGTACAAAGGCAAAAACAATAATCAGTCACATAAAGTCAATATTTGCAAGATTCGGAATTCCTTTGAAAGTGAGAATTGATAATGCTACTATGTTTGAATCAAGAGAATTCAGGGAATTTGCAGACACCTATGAATTTGATTTGTCATTCAGTAGTCCTTTCCATAGCCAGGGTAACGGAAAGGCAGAAAATGGGGTCAAAATAGTAAAAAGGCTGATGAAAAAAGCAATTCGCAGCAATACTGACCCACATCTGGCCCTGTTAGCATACAGGAATGCCCCATTAGAGTGTGGTAAGTCACCAGCAGAGCTCTTAATGGGGAGACCATTAAGAACTCGATTACCATCTGCAATACAGGCCAACGATAGATTTACCGATATAGTGAAAAGTAAAGCCCTGCAGAAGGAGAAGCAGAAAAAATATTACGACAAAAACACAAAGCAACTTTCAGAGTTAGAAAATAATCAGACGGTTAGACTGAAAAGAAACCCGAAAGATAAATGGGATGTAAAAGCCAGAGTTGTCGCAAAAGTTTCCTCCAGATCTTACAAGGTAGAAACAGAAGGAGGGAAACTTTTTAGAAGGGATAGGAGAGAGCTCCTGTCATCAAAGGAGCCATTTAATGAGATAATGTGTCAAGACCTAGATATACAAACAAGACCTCCCACTCCTTGTCCCCCAAATTCCCATGAAACAAATCAATCAACCAACCCATCACCTGTTCCAACTAGTAACAGGTTCAGTCCCTTATTAAACATAGATGTGGAGCATCCAGCTGCTGAATTAAGGAGGTCTGGCAGAGTGTCAAAACCAGTTAACAGACTCTGTTATAATTAATCACTTTTGATCAGTTAACTGGTTATTGATACTTGTCACTTGATACTTGTTATTAAGACACTTTGATAATTTCAAAGATACTTAAATCACATGAGATATTAAAAAATGAGAGTGTATCTAAAACATAAAACTTTCGAAACTAGTGATATCTATATTGTAACATAAAGCTTTCGAAATTAGTGACATCTATATTGCCTTTTTTATAATCATTCAAACTTTGAAACATTTTTCTGAGATACTTAGAAGGTTAAAGATACTTACAATATTGTATGAATAAAAGGTGATTATAGGGTGCAGTTTAAACATCAACAATTTGTAGATTATTAGTGTGCTATGAATAGAATTAATGTACAATCATTCATAGATCATTGTTTAAGAAAAGTCTTTATTATGATCGATCATTTGTATTATTTTTATATTCCTTTACATTCTTTAGAAAAAGGGAGATGTAATGATATCCAGTTTCTGGTATCATCTTGCTAACTGCCTTTGAGGTATTATGTTACTTGTACATGTGTGGGATTACAAATATACAACTTGGTCTTCTAAAGCTAGAACTTGTACTGTCCAGATCATTACACCAAATATGAACAAAATCGCTCCACAACTTTTCAAGTTACACCAATAATTGTAAATTAGCGTGTAAAGGCTGCCATTTTTCAAGATGGCTGCCATGTGCTTCTTCGATATCTACATTTCTAGCTATATTAATGTCCTATATAATTTTTCTACATTTAAAACATATTGCTATTACAGTTTTACATATTGTACCTAAATTACTGTAAAATTGGCACTAAAATGGCCGCCATTTTTAAATGAGCGACCATTTTGAAAATTGGCTCTTGAGCAGAACTCCTATCCCCATAGGATGCATAATCTGGCCAACGGTATTTGAGTTATTGCCCGGACGGACAGATGGACGGAGGTGTTCCCTATATCCCTCCGAACTTCTCAGTGACTCTCGCACCACATATTTACACCTTATCATAGTATATGTAGGCTGTTAATATTTGAGCAAACTAATCTGCATACAGGGTGAACCAAATGAGGTTAGAAGCATGCACTTTAAATTATCCCCTTCACAAGTTGTTAATCAGAGGGTCATTAACGGAAACTTCGTAAAGTTACAAATTCTTAAATCAATTGTTGTAACCATGGATACAGTGAGAGAACAATGGACTTTACAAACTCTTAATTTTATGAAGTTTCTGTTAATGGTTCCCATGATTCTTTGAGACAAGCCATTCATAATGCAATGAGTGAGTGAATCATGAATGATCTGATGAAATATTGATAGTGATTAGCATAGACTTCAGATGATAGAAAGAATGTTCGTAAGAACATGGCAATGCAGCCCACTGCATGAATCCTCTCAAGAGAAATCAGTAACATATGAAGTAAATCACTGCCACATTTATATCAACCTTATAAAATTATTGCTATTCATGCATTAATGCATGCTTACCATTATAAGCAAAGCTAGTGAGTGACCTACAATGTTCGACATTGATTAAAAGCAAATAGATGGGTGCCCTACTGCATTAAATTTCTGCAAATATATACTTATGTAGTCAATCCCATTTCATTGTACAGGCTGACCCAAAAGTCCTTACCCAAATGAGCAGTTATAATTTTCTGGAAATATAAGCTGAATCCATGTCACACTAACATATAGACTGTAGAAAATGTTATGATGCAAGGTCAAAAATTGGTGAAGATCTTTTGGGCAACATTTCTTTTGGGTCATCCTGTAAATAACCTTTCTATGGTTCTAATATTTGTAACATGATACAATACATGTGTGAGATACATGTATGAAACATGGTATAATACATGTATATGATAGCTGTACATGTACATGCTTATGGTTTATGCAAGTGTGAACCATTATATTAGTAGGCCAATACCTACAGTCAGCATTTTGTTCCAACAGCTTCTTTCTCTGGTGACCTACAATATTTCACACATTAAGGCCTGTGAGGGAATATGGAAATAAAATACTATAATACAACAATTACTATTGAAAAACAGTAAATCAAGAATGTACATGTAATTTAACAAAAGTAGTTTGCTTACATTATTAAACTTATACTGCTTACATGATAAAGCAAAATAACATGCTCAATATGATATCACATGAAATAATTGTTAATCTAACTTACTTTTCATAACTAAAGCTAGCAGCTAAACTAGTTCCATCTGAGTACTCTTTGTTAGGAGACCCATGCATTTGTACTTCACTGAGATTCAAATATGAGGCATACTTCTTGCGACTTTCAGCATACACTTTACTTATGGTTGCATAGCCACTGTCATTAGCTTGTTCAGCCTGAAATTAAAAGATTCACAAGAATAAAATTTGAACATTGAAATGTAGGTTGCACTTATAAAAGATATTAATACAAGGCATTAACACGACAAAATGTCACCACCTTGTTGCTCACAATATCAAAAGTTTAATCTTAAGTCAGATTTGAATTTCTGAGAACTTACAGATGATTTTGAAAAAATAAATTGGTCAATTTGAAGCAAGTTGGAAAAAAGACCTTTTTCGATCCTGAGAAGGTCATTGAAGGTGAAATCTCAAATCTAAAGTCAGATTTGAAATTCTGAGATGTTGGATGATTTTGAAAAAATGGTCAATTTGAAGCAAGGTGCCAAAATACCTTTTTGACCTTGAGAATGTCATTGAAGGTCAAATCTATAGTCAGATTTGAACTGTTGAGAATTTGTAGATAGTTTGAAAGAAAATTGGTCAATTTGAAGCAAGTTGAAAAAAGACCTTTTTGACCTTTTTTGACCTTGAGAAGGTCATTGAAGGTCAAATCTCAAATCTAAAGACAGATTTGAACTTCTGATAACTTGTAGATAATTTTGAAAAAGAAGTTGGTCAATTTGAAGCAAGTTGAAAACAGACCTTGAAAAAGTCATTGAAGGTCAAACATTAAATATAAAGTTATTGGAAGTTGTAAGAATTTGTTACAGACGGAGACCACAACAAAATGTCACCACTTTTTGGTGGTGGCATAAAAATGACACCATTTTGGTTGGCTTACATGGTGATTATTCATTAAAAAATTACTAAAATATTGTACGTTTAAAAATACTAAGATACTATGTATATTTTTGGAAACTTTACTTTCATCAATTTTATCTTAATTGGTGGGTATTTTTAAAAATAGGTCAAGTTGGAAAAGAAATGAAATTTTAATATCAATTTCTTTACACCTGATCATTCATTACATTTAAGGCCTCCAAGCATATAACTACCATAATGTAAGTATAACTATCTCTAACTACCTTATCGTAGTTGATCCTAGGATTGTACCAATTCACCAAATATTTATCCAGATCAATAATCCAAAAATATGTCTTTGGTGTTGTTGACACCTCATAGTGTTTGCCAAGGCATTTTATCCATTTCTCTTGTATTGTTGGAACAGGTTTGCCTTGGATCTCAAAGCTAGCTTGTCTTGCCTTTGTATATGACGAGACTTCTGGACTTGTCTGGTTTAAACATCAGTTGAATATGCAACCTATTGACAACTACACAGTGAATAATAAGAGTTTAAATAAATATGTGGGATTTAGTTTCTACTTCCTACCTTCTTGCAGACTATATAAATATCACCTACCTTCTTTGAGGCTATATATAACTTGAGTATTCTTTCTGCCCACTTGAGTAGAGTATTGCCATCTGGTGGCATGCGTAGTTGGTTTGGCTTTTTATGCAGTAAATTCAGCACCCTAGTTAACTGTTGTATAACATTTCTGGAAGGATAAGTAGAACATCAAGCTAGCATGGTTTTGAAATAAAAACAGGCTAAGAGAGGTAAAGGTAGTGTAGTCAAGTGTATAAAAATACCAGGATATCAGCTACTGCATTGAAAGTGATGCAAACCATATATGATATGACAAAAGAACCATGTATGACATGGCAAAAGAACCATATATGATACGGCAAAAGAATCACGTATGATATGGCAAAAGAACCATATATGATACGGCAAAAGAATCACGTATGATATGGCAAAAGAACCATATATGATATGGCTAAAGAATCACATATGACATGACAAATGGTATATGCATTGATTTATGATTCAGGAATTCCTAGTGAAATACACAAAAAATGGTTATGGAACCCCTTTCAATAGAACCAAATAGAGGTGTCAAGTATTAACCGGTTAACCGCCGATAATGCCTTGACCGGTCTGTGTTTTTATGGGTGGTTAGTTGACCGTGTATAATTCTGTTATTTCCCGCGCGTATATTGCATGCTAATCTGTTTGGTTTTAAAGTGTCAGTTTAACTTAAGCTACTCATACATGTCATAAGTCCGGTAACTCCTTACAAACATCCAATCAGCAACTTTAATCCCTGCCACATTGCTTTCCCGCGCTTACTTCGCATATTAATCTGTTTGTTTTTCAAGCGTCAGTTTCATGTGAGCTACTCATACATGTGATAGGTCCGATAACTCCTTACAAACATCCAATCAGCAACTTTAATCCCTGCCACATTGCTTTCCTGCGCTTACTTTGCATGTTAATCTGTTTGTTTTTCAAGTGTCAGCCATGTGTAATCAACTCATAGGCCAGATAATTCCTTACAAACATGTAAACATTTTTTGCATTTTTTAATTCGTCAGTTTTGTTATTATTGTTGTCTATCAACGTCGCCAAAATGTCAAAGGTCAAAGCCTCGCTTTGGTAGTGAGAAAATTAAAATTAAAATAAACACTTATCAGCTGCAATTCTCGTTGTTATGGTGCGTTCGTGGAGATTCCAATGATAAACCAATGTGGTAAGTTATTTAGAGGTACCGGTAGTCAGGTAGTGTATGAATAGAATAGAGTAAAGCTTGACGAACGTAAAAAATATATCATTTTCCAATTTTTTCAACTTTCAAGATCGAAGATGAAGATTTCATTTGAAATTATCAGTTCAAATTTCCCGTCGGTTAACCGACTTTAACCGGTAAAAACACCACTAGAACCAAAGGTTGTCCACTAATAGACAGGTTTTACTGTACTCACTTATATATTGCTATTCTGGAATCTCCCTCCTGAACAGAGAGAAGTTTATCTTTGGTCTCCTTCCACATGGCCACAAGGGTGTGTTTGTGGGGCTTAAGTAAGTCTATCTGCTGTAAGAACTCGAGGACAACTGGCTCCCCAGGAAGACTGCTTAGACTTTGGAGACTTCTCATGGTGTCTGTATCTGAAACAAACAACATAATGGGGTGTAACAAAAGCAACATAGCAATAAGCAGCACAATGAGGTGGAACATACAGCACCATAGCAACATGCTGGGGTGGAACATTGGCACTATGTCAACACAATTGGAGTGTAACATAAGGACCATAGCAACATATTGAGGTGTCACGGATACACAAATGAGGTGTAACATAAGAACCATAGTAACACACTGGGGTGTAATATAGGCATTACAGCAACATAAGGGGGTGTAACATAAGCACTATAGCAACACAATTGGGGTGCAACATACACTGTAAACCCCAAAAATTGTGTTCTTAAATTGCTTATATTACACGTCACCCACTTATGTTGCTGTGGTACTAAAACGTTTGTGATGCACCCTGATGACTGGCAATTTCAAGGGATCGACTTGTGAGTATGTCCTTAAGAAAAGCAAGCATATACATATACATTCTTATCCAGCAAGTCCAAGAAATAACAAATCATGTAATTTTGAAAGGTTGATGAAAATCAATTTTCAGTATTGTGACAAGCAGTTAATTTAATGCAGAGTAGTTATATTCAAAGATTAGTGTTGAAATGGCTTCCTTGAGACTGCTAGAGACCCCGGGGGGTTCACTATATATAAACCTTGACGGGGATCCTCGGCGCATGTGGGGTACCTTTTTCAACGTTTGGTATGGCAATGGACCCATATTTTAGGATTTGGTATGGGAATGCCCGGAAATTTCTGACTTCTGAGGTATGGCAATGGTCGGACCTTTGCTCTTCTGGTATGAGAATGGTCGTTGTAGATACGTTACCTGGTATGGCAATGAGTTGCAAATCTGAAGTTGTTTTGGATCGTTTCCCGAAGTATCTTCTTTTCCAGGGCCTTCTTCAATTTTTGAATTTTAGCCCTTTTCCCGGGAAATGAGGACCAATCATAGGCTTGAGCCTGCTGTGGGCCTAGATCTACTCCCGTGGATCTAGGCTACTGTAGGTCTCAGGGTCTTTTGATCCTATATTTCATTTACTTTGAATTAAGGTATGGCATTGGTCCCATATTTGAACATTTGGTATGGCATTGGTCCTACATTTTGACATTTGGTATGGCATTGGTCCCATAATTGGACATTTGGTATGGCATTGGTCCTATATTTGGACATTTGGTATGGCATTTGTCCTATATTTGAACATTTGGTATGGCCTTTGGGCGTTATTTTGGTTGGTATGGGAACATATTGAAATTTGACAGATTGGTATGGGAACATATTGATATTTGAGGCTTTAGCCTAGGACCCCCGCTGAGTTTTATATACAGTGAACCCCCCGGGCTAGAGACAGACTATCTGTCAGTAACTCACTGTAAGCTGACTGAGATATAGTATCTTCTTGCATCTGCTTGGCACGCTGAGCCTCCAAGGCATACGCTGCAATGTTACGTTGTTTCTTGTTACTTGTCCTAGAATAAACAAAACAGGTGGGTACATTTTATTTACCGTATGTTGAACATCAAACTAAACTTTTTTGACATTACTGCATATTTATAGAGATTAACTTATATTGATTATCTTTTCTATTATATTAAATCTGTTAAAACTTCATGATTTATTGTTATTTTCATGGATTAAATGAATCACACCTACTGATCAGAAAAATGGGATTGAGGGAAAGCAGGTAAATTCTGCTAGAAAATTCAACAAATCTGGAAGATTTATATGTTTAAGAGAAAGTTTACTCGAATTGCTGAATGGATAGGTGCATGGTATGGTAAAATATGTTAAGCTTGGATGAGGAAATGTAGAATGTCACTTCTTAGTTCAAATTTAACTTCCTTCTAATTTGCCTCGCTGACATTTTATTGTTTTTCTAAAAATCAGGAAATAGGATGAGTGGGGACATTTTGTAGGAAATTTCAGTCACAAAAAATAATGAGTGACAACTTAAACTTCCTTCGAGTGTAGGTCTTCTAGGATATTTTTTAACCACTATGCTTCTAAGATATGAGATGAGATCTATCAAAAAAATAAAGGTGCAATGTCACCCACGTGCACAAGTCAATGTTGCAATAAATCAAGCAACAATGGGCTTCGCGACCTGTATTAAATATTTGTAAGTGGCATTAACATAATAAAATGAATGTTATGTTGTTTAGATAACTGCACTTGATATTATTTCTTCATATATCTACTTACTTCTTCATCCTCCAATATACCACTATGGCAATGATTACAGTGATGACTATAACACAACACACCCCAGCTATGATGCCTATGTATATGGCTGACAGACCTGATGGGGCTCTCTTTACTGCAAAGAAATCAACAATGCTGATATATATGTATGTAAGTATGGACAGTATTTCTAGCTTTATTTAAGGGAAAATTGAAATCTCACACAATATTTGTCTAGATGAACATTCTGAGGAATTCTAAGAGTAAATTGAAATTACAATTATATTTTTAGCAATGTAGTTATCCTAGTAAGTATATATTATGTAAACATAATCTAAACTGCAATTGGTTCTTTTAAATCTGCACAAGTCTCATTTAATATAACTATACTGTAAATCCTGGAAGAGGTAGTAAGTAGATGCTGTGAATAGGGCTGGAAGTTGATGTTATGAAATAGAGTTTTGAACTTACAAAGACTTGTGTTGGTGGCTTGTGAGAGACAAGATGATATCAGCCAAACTAATCCAGTACATAATATAGGGTGACCAGAAAAAAATGGACAGTTGATATTTTCTTTAGCTTTCACATGCTACGGTGAGGGTCATTTTTGGCACAAATGTACATTAGTCAACGCATGACATTATATCAAAGTGTGAAATGTCAATCTTCTTCCATTTTTATTTCATGGCTTATTTAGGTTATGCTGCAAATGTGCTCCCTGGCACAGAAGACAAACTTTGATTCTGTGCGTAATGATACATGGTTTTTAGATGAAGCCAATATTCTCAATTCAAAGAATTATGTTTATTTGAATACAGCTTCCTCAGACCCAGTGCCTCAAAGGCCATTACAATCTACAAAATGTACAGCTTGGGTTGTTCTCTCAAAGCTCGACATAATTGGGCCTTACATATTTGAAGATGCCACAGGAAAAGCAGTCACAGTCAACACTGAACAATACCTAGCAGTGATGTAAAAGTTCTGGGGAACCTCTTGTCAGATGAGGGAACATTTCTAAGGAATGAACAGTGGTTCCAGTAAGATGGGGCTACACTGTGCAAGGTTTGGATTTTGATTGTTCAGTAGGCAGTGTCCCAATATATGGGCCCCTCACAGACCTGACTTAAACTCTCCAGATCTTTTATGGGGCCTATTAAAGGATTATTTGTATATAACAATCCTGTTACCATAAGTGAGCTGAAATGAGCAACTAAAGCTAGAATAAGAGCTACCACGGTTGAGGAATGTGTCAGAGTGAACAATGATTTTGAGCGCAGAATCTAAGTTTGTTTTTAGTGCCAGGGAGCACATGTGGGGCATGTGCTGAAATAGTCATCAAATAAATATGGAAGAAGATTGATATTTACTACAACATAATATCATGCATTGACTAATATGCATTTGTGCCAAAAATGAACCTGATCATGGCATTTATGAGGAAGTTAAAGGAAATAAAGGAAAAAACAATTGTCCACTTTTTTCTGGTCACCCTGTAATAGAACCTTGAACCTTGGCAATTTAGGATAGTTTAACATTGGAACATGAATTATTTTCTATCTAGGTAAAGAAAGATCTTACCTTGACAGACCTTGCCCAGCAGTTCTCCAGTTACAGTTAGAATATATTCCCCTTGACATTCTGAGACACATTCCCCAGTGTCAACTTCTATGAAGTCAATACAACGCCTACATTTAGATGAGCTATAGCATTCCACACACCTCTTGTCTTGGCACCAAGCTAAAATAAAATACATTGATACATTATTCCTAAGAGTTAATTTCACCATTTTGACTTAAAGGTCTGATTTGTTATACACCAATGATTCCCAAAAAACAAATAAGATATTTGAATGTTTTGTCTGCACTGGCAATATAGTCACAAGACTTGCCTTCATGCAGCTCTGGGATTATTCAAAATAGAACTGTGTATAATTTAAAATGCATAAAAACTTACGATCATAGCAGTCTTTCTGATTGTCTGAGATATAATAGCCTTTCCTACAAAGACATCTGGATGTGCCCTCATCACAACTGGTGTTCCATCCACAGTCACTGTGAACTGAACAGTTCTTGCCTGCAATTAGAAATAATTCTTGATCCATCTCCAAATATTGTAAAGTCAATCCTTTTTTTACAAATCACTTTGTAAATGATCTGAGAAAGACTGATTGATTTGCAGTTACATAACTTTACAATGTTAAAAGTCAAGTCATCAAGTTTGAAATTCCAATTTTCTTTGAAAATGAGATTTCTCTGTCAGGTCGATTCCCCATTAAAGCCTATCATGTTATAAAATCATGAAAAGTAAAACATATCTTATGCCTCATTCAAAATCTATGGTAACTATATGACAGCAGTAGCTTCCCCAAATAGAGAGAAATATGCAGCATAAACTAAGATATAGGGATAAGCAATACTATGTAGATTTTCTATATCTATTTTGTGAAGCTGCCATAGTGACAGAGGCTTTATACAGATAATACGTATTTTCAGTTGTATAATTATCAAATTAAAAATTAATAAAAAAGTTATATGAAAACTGATCCACAAAAGCATAATTTACATAAACATATTCCAAGACACCTGTCTTTGTCTTGAAGTAAAAAATTCATCGGATCACACAATTGTATGGCAGGAATTAACATTATGTTGTTTGAAGCATGTTTACAAATCACGCATCTTTTCTTCATGATGTAATAGACAACATTAATGTTTTTAAAGCAATCTGCAATGATGATATGACATGATTGATGTCAGACATAGACCCATATTTAGAAATTCATCTTTATATGAAGATAGCGCCATGGTTCAATGTAAGGTTATTCCTGTATGATATGGCATTCAAGACAAATCGCTTAGAATTTAACACCTATTTATCCAACTGTAACCCATATCATGTTTAACCTCTCGTAATTAGACCACCTATTATAAAAATTGACTCTTACTTAAAACTACCTATTACAACACCTATTACCTACAACATGTTAAATTCTTAATTTATCCCTATTATCTACAAGCCAGAGACTAATGACTTACCTCTAGTAAGTTGTCCACCTGTATTAGTACATAGTAGAGTCAGGATCAACAGGACAAACCCCCACATTGTACACTTATAGCCTATACTTGAAAACTGCAACCTGCATCCTTCTGAAAAGAAATAATAAAAAAAAGTATAAAATTATTCAACATGAAAAATCTGTTATTACATACTAAAGGCATATAGTAGAACTACAATATTCCTCTTCTAATCTCTTTACTCTTTACCAATTACTGTAGTTTATAATAAGGTATGTATATACTATACAACCAATGGGAAAGATCAGCTGTTATATTCAAATATACTAACATCTGTCCTAGATATATATGATAATCACATGATTGAAAAGATGACTGGGTTTTCACAGACATCACATTTCAATTCACAACTTCATTTTTAGCTGTGTGAGAGTCCACTTGTGTGCAATACACAGACCAGTGCAATAGACAATACAACTTAAAAGAGAGAGGGTTCATAAGTGGGCTAATAACCCAGATGCGAGTAGAAATAATCTTGATTTACGTCATTAAAAATTAAAAATTCAGTGAAAGTAATATCATATTTGAAATCTACATGTAAAATTACATCTACAAATGTGGTTTTAAAAAGTGTTTATCAATTTTGAAAAATTAATTTTCTTTGAAAATGTGACTTCTAGCTCGGGGAGATTCCCCATAGACCCAATGCTATAAAATCACAAAAAATGAAATATCTTTTCTTTTAGTGAACAGATAATATTTTGCTTTACTGGACATATTTTCATTAGTATAAGTATCAGACGCATAACGGTTATATGAAAATTGAGCCACTTAAATTGATAATATTCAAGTTTAAGGGAACTTTCTTATATACCTGCCATGTTAATTGACCCGAATCAGCCACCTGGTGGTGAAACTGGTAACTACCTACTCGCATTTGGGTAATTGGACTTGTCTCTTTTGACAACTATTCTATATTAGAGAGGTGTTCCTTAGAAAGATCCTTCATAAGTAGGCAAATTAGACTTGTCTCTTAATAATCCATAAAATAAGTCCTGAGTATGTTTTCAACTTTTCCATTTTCCCTATCTATGAGTAGTTCATTTCCAAAAATAGTTTAATTGTTCTATTCAGTACATACTTTCCTTAGTAATCTTACCCCGGATTCCAAAATCTGGACATTTCCAGAAATTGTGCATGTGACATCAACAAAACATGTCTTATACGAAACTTATTGAAGATTTCCGAAAGTTTGAAGTTCATTTACCAATACATTTAGAAGGAACATAGGAGGATAACTTGTTATATGAAAAACTAGAAGGTTGAAGCAGTTGCAGGCTTTAATCCTTCCTGTTTTAGGCTTTTAAAAAGGAAAACAAGAACACAAATGTGTACAATACATGTCCCCACCAATGGGTGATCCTATATACTGCACATTTTTCATCCTGAATGCCTAACACTAATCAGTTGAAAAGACATCCTAAGAATCATTCCTGAAAATTTAAAATTAATCCCTCAAACAGTCAACCTGAAAACGCAAAGACAAGACTTTACAGACAAGATTTTAGGATGGAAAATCCAAAATGGCTGCCTTAACATTTACCCAGAATGCCTAAAAACTAATTATTTCTAGATTTTCAAATTATAAATCATTCCTTAAAATTTGAAATTGATCCGTCAAACTGTTATCCTGAAAATGAGTAGACAAGCCTACACAGACACGATTTTAGGACGGAAAAGCCAGAATCGGCAACTTGAAATTTATGCAGAATGACGAAAAAGTAATCAGTTCTAGATTTTCATACTAAGAATCATTCCTATAAATTTGAAATTGATCCCTCAAACAGTTAACCTGAAAATACATAGACAAGACTTTACAGACAAGATTTAAAGACGGAAAATCTAAAATGGCTGTCTTAACATTTACCAAGAATGCCGAAAAACTAATCAGATCTAGATTTTCATACTAAAAATCATCCCTGAAAATTTGAAATTGATCCGTGAAACGGTTATCCTGAAAATGAGTAGACAGGACTTTATCGACACAATTTTAGGATGGAAACACCAAATTGGCCACCTTAAAATTTACCCAAAATGCCCAAAAATTAGTCAGTTTTAGATTTTCATACTAAGAATCATCCCTGAAAATTTGAAATTGATCCATCAAACAGTTAACCAGAAAACGAGTAGACAAGACTTTACAGACATGATTTTAGGACGGAAAATCCAAAATGGCTGCCTTGATATTTACCCAGAATGCCAATAAACTAATCAGTTTTAGATTTTCATACTAAGAATCATCCCTGAAAATTTGAAATTGATCTAGATACTGAACAGTCCACCTGAAAACCCGTAGACAAGACTTTACAGACAAGATTTTAGGACGGACAAATGTTGAGGTGATTTTGGAGCCTGATCACGCCGCAATGTGGATTGGCTCCCAGAATGCAACATGACACTTGTCAGCTTTCAAAATGCTGTTCCGCCATTTTGAAATCTGTCACAAGTAAATAAGGTTACCTGATGTTGCATTCTGGGAGTCAAGCCTCTTTGGATCACAAACATGGCGACTCATGAAAACATTTGTTCGATTTGGTAGGGATTTATCGATCATTTGCAGGTATGAAGCTTTGGATTCATTTATTGTGCTACTAAAGTGAATGGGAATTATTTTTCTACCGCTTGGGAGAGCTTGAGACACAAAACTTTAGCTCATTGTGACAACTTTAGAGGGTTGAGATTTATTTTTGTCCCCCACCACTTCGGCAAATCCAGGTGTCATTTATGGTGAGCACTGTGAATCACATGTTTGATCAAGGTGAAGGTGTCAACATGAATACATTGCCTGATGAAAAATCCTAGGAAAATACATAAAAAGTGAACACACCTGTCTTTTTAACTTTTAAAAAGTTGTTTACATCCGGGTTCTCTGGCTGTTTCATTTAGTTAGCTTACTTCCTTTTAGGTATTTATCTATGATCACGATAAGAAAAAAGATTGTTCTCATTCTTGATATTTCGGTACATCTAAATTTCACAGTGAGTTTATTTTTATTTTTTTGATTCTCAAAGTTATTTCCATATGTATATTTTTTATACATATGACTTGTGTTTTGTTATTTGGCTATTCTGTGTTACTCCCGCCCTAATTTTATTAAGAACAACACCGCCATTTTTCTCCGGAAATTGAATTTCCACACAATAGTGCGTCATTCTCTGTATAAATACAACAGATCGTCCCAGAATATTTTGGTAAGAATACTGTTTATATATGTGTTACTATATTGGAAGTTGGCTACATATTAGCTTGAATGAAAGTCAGGTTTGTTGATTCTGTTACAACCGGAACTTGAAAATTTCCAAAATTGAATCGTTTCTGGAAAAGTAAAATTAAATCACTTCAGAAGTCGGAACATCAATTTTAACATGCACTTGTTTTATTGACATGGCTCCTAATTTTCACATAGTAAAGTGTCAACATTCTCTCTCAATTCACAATTAGAGAAGATTTGCAAGTCATAAAGTAAAAAGTCAGTTGAAAAATGCTGTCCGATAAACTTTTTTTTCATGGCCCAACCCGGCTGCGTCGGTAGAACTTGAAATAAGAGTTACTTAAAGATTAGTAGTCTTACCTTCTAGAGGTTAGAACACACAGTTCAATGAAACCATATCACCTTGCATAAGCATACCCTGCGTGCAGAGTCTAGTTAAACTACACTCTGCCTAGTAGAAACCATATTACAGTTTAGTAGCCCCGCCCCCACGACGGGTGCCGATGACAGTTCGGGTAATAAATCACTTCTGACCTACGTGCTGACCTTTCTTCCACCAATCAGCGAGCTTGAAGAAACATGCGCCAAAATAAATTCTGAATTGTCATTGGTCAATTCCGGGCTTAACGATGACGTCAGAAGGAATGACCATATATAGAACGTCGGTCAAATTTGGCCGACGAGCACTGATTGGCGCGGTGAGTTCACATGTTTATTTTAGTTTGAAAGAGTGAAGACGGAGCTCTCTTTTAAGAAGTGATGTCGAACGAATGCAAAGGGTAGCATAAGCACAGTACTTGATTAAAATTTGTGTAAATGCTTTTTTGACTTTTTGTTGATTTTTCCTCGTGGGAAGGCATTGCCCCTCTCAAGAAATAATGTATTGACCTTGAACTTTAATTTGGTGACATATCATCCAACCATGTCTGATGGGAAGATAATTAGTATATATATATTAAAAAAGAATGTTTTGCGGTCATTTGCATTTGCAGTCATTTTCTTAGGAAATTATTCATTTTCACGGTCCATATTTTACCTCTTGGATATTGTGCTAAATGCTCAATGGTTGACACAACAAAGATGATAGGGTTTCATTGAAATGTGTGTATTAACCTCTTGAAGGTAAGTAAGACTCCCAATCTTTAGGAAACTCTTATATTTCAAGTTATACAGACGCATTTAAGCCATGAAAAAAGTAGTAGAATCAATACGTCCAAATCCAAACAGGGAGGTAATTCCGAACGGGTTGCAAACAATGGCAAGCAAATCATTTAGTTGAATAATAGTACCTCTATAGGCTATATATAATATTTATAACCTGAAAGATACCATATAATGATGTATACCAATAATCTAACAATAAAACAATTATTATGATATAGGTGTTCGGAATTACCCCCATGCTAGTGTTTGGAATTACCCTCACAAACCCTATGCTTTTAACAGGAACCTGTATCATTAGTTCAGGGTACCATATAATGATATACCATCAATCTAACAATTAATAAAAGAAGTTTACCCCCATGGTAGTGTCCGAAATTACCACCCAACATATGGGTTTCGAGGAGAAATTATGTCCATGATTATAAAAAGTTATACAAGCCATAGTATACTAAAAGAAGATGCCAAATTGATAGTACAGCCGGATCATATTTGACTTCTGGTTTTCACGGTTTATCTGTCAATTTCACTTCAGATTCATCTTCTCCAAGATAAGTGAGTTATGTCCTTTTATTCTGATTATGTTTTTCATAATGTTAAGTAGTTTTATAAAGGAGATAAGATTAAATGCTTTGGGTTGACTTTATGTCAAATTAGAAAATTTGTGAGTCCCAAGGACGCAATTTTTAAAAAAAAGTGTGTCCTTTGAAAAAAAATGTGTCCCCTACTTCTAGCCTGTTTTGAGGTATAACTTTATTTTAAAAGCATTTTTTACCAAAACACCTTTCCAGTGCTCTCCCCAGGATTTTTTTTGTAGGGAGGATTTTGTAAAAAAAATTGCAACATTTTGGGATTTTGTTATTCTGAAAGTGCAACATTTTAATATTTTTTACTCCTAAAGTGCAACATTTTATTTGTGTTTTTAAGAATTGTGGTAGGGTTGCGGATCTAGGGGGGCTGGGGGCCTTTTTGAGCATTACTGGGCCTTTTAAAGCCTTTTTTTTAATTTTAGGTCAAATTTTGCAGCAAATGGGCCTTAAATTTTCAAAACTTGGGCCCACTTTTTGGTTTTAGGGGCCCAAATTTTTTTAAAAGTTTGGGCCCCCCCCCTTGTTGGTTCCTAGATCCGACCCTGTATACGTACTCATTATGCCTGTTTATCAAATATTTATGAAAAAAGTAATCTAAGTTTTCATTTTTGGTAATAAACTTTTAAAATTTAAATTTGCCGCTTCGTCCATTCAGCAAAAAAGCATATTTTTGTTGAAATTCAACAAGGCCATTTTTACTTAATCGGGCGACCAGATTCACTTAAAAAGTACTTACACTCGATTGTGTTGTGCCAGACAACTTGGCAGCGGTGTGCTTCTGACATTCTTCTGATAAAATCAAGTAAATATATCGAAATAAGGGGAAAGTTTAAGTCTGGGAGAAAAATAGAGGAGTGAATACGAACGGCACAAATTTGCGTTCGGTCGTTTGAAATAGCGAACAATTCATTTTCTTCCATGTTAATCTGTCATTGAACCAAATAAATGTGCGTTCGATAAAGTTCTACATATACGAACGACGTGAACGATCGGTCAACTAAAATAGCGAATGTTCGCTTTTCTTCCATGTAAATTCTGTAATTCAAGCAAAGGAATATGCATTCGATAAAACACTGCTTAAGTGAAAATTTTCAAACAAACAAAACTTTGACTTTTCGGTAAGATTTTGTTATTTTAAATCTTTTGAGGAGAAACAACGTGTAGGGTTTGTCAGTGGCGCAAGGAATAACCCTGAGGCGCATTTCTTTGATTGCAATTGTTTGGAGGCGCAGCGCCTCAGTAAGTTCAATGTAGGGAGAGCACAGCTTTCGGTTTTTTATTTCTTGCCGCGAAATTAAAACGGAAGTAAATGTTAAGTACGGACTGAATAAATGCATGTTCGTTTTCGACAATGAATACATTTTATTTCATGAATAACCTAATATTTGTTTCTGAATAGGAAAAACTGGCGTGTCATGGTTTCAAATCTAAAAATAAACAAAGTCGAAAAAATTCGAGAGAATCATGATTATTTGTTAGTATTCAACATGTTGAGCCTTATTTACGATTCAAATAAAGGTGAGAGATCATAATTATTTGTTTTTGTTAGGTATCGTTGTAAACACATTGTAGTATTGACCTAAAAAAAATTTGCGTCCAAAAAACGGAAATATTTTCAATTTTTGCGTCCTCCAAATTATTTTTGAGTCCTTAACATGTACGGGACGCCATTAATGCAAGCCCTGAGCATTACATAAACTGTGAATTCTGTATTGATGCTCCAGACATCACATGGGAAGAGATAATATGCATAATTCATAGGTTGCTAATATAAATCCAAATGTGCAAGTTACAAATTGTACCAAAGAGAGGTGTTATTCTTTGACTATTATATATTAAAATGATTTGATCTGAATGGCCCATATTCATGAAAAGCTCCTATGCTAAAGCCATAAAGTTGGGCTTGTCGTCGTCGTCGCCATCGTCGTAAGGACAGTTTACTTTATATTGTCATTTCCGCTGTTGTTTACCAAGTATTGACAAACATTAAACATTATTGAAGCAGTTTCTTTCTTATCACTGATTTGTTAAGAAAATATCAACATGGTTGGTTTGATTTATGACCAAGGTTGAGTTAGGCAAGTGGGGCAGGGTTGTTAAACTGTAAAATTGTCTTAGCTGTTCTTAGGTTATTGAGTAACTAACTTCTGCGCTCAGCATATAATTTTACAGAGTCTATTATAATATATACTTAGTTGAGTTTGTCAAATAACAAAATATTCTTGATGTTCTCTTGGTGAAAATCCATTCATTTCATTATATATATCTTTTATCAACTCTTTAGATGTCATATCATGACATATAGTCACTTAGGTAGAGCAGTTCTTCCCATTGTCGAGTTGAAGAACTGGTATCTTTATCCTGGCTAGAACCATAGACAATTCTAGCCAGTGCCAGCCTTTTATCGAGTTAGCAGCACTCTAGTAATCGCTGGTATAGGTCAGCAGTCATAGGTCAAAGACAAATCACAAGAAGTGCTGTGACCTGGGTTTGAACCCAAGACCTCTACTTTTCAGCTTGAAGCCATTAAAGACACTCACTTCGCAGTTAAGACATTTGTAATATACATACATGTAGATGATTAGATTCACCATTGTGTGATAATCTCATATAGAAATAGGACAAGTTCTGATTAATTCATGAGCAGTTTGCCAATTAGTCAGTACATTTGAAGTGATGTTTCATATTATGGAAATGTTGGCACATCATATGACAACACTTTTCATATAGTAAAGACACATCACAACATCAGAAGTCAGGTTACTGGATGTTTCATATTATGGAAAACTGCTGAATAAAAATTTTGATTCTGTGGAAGTATGTTCACTTCATTTCATTTTACGGCGCGTCAGACAAAAAATTTCTGAAGTATCACTTTAAAATACATAAGAAACAAGTAATTTAAATTTGTTCACTGGTA